ACACTGCGCCTACATCTTGACAATCAGAACTATCTTAATGTGATCAGTGTTTATGCGGCTACCTTAAACCAGTCTGATGACATTAAAGATCAGTCCTATGAAGATCTTGCAAAATGCATTAAAAGCATGAGGCCTAAAGAGCAGATTCTTCTGTTCGGCGATTTTAATGCCAGAGTTGGACGGGACTACGATGCATGGCCTAAGGTCTTGGGTAAGCACGGAGTTGGGTGCATGAACAGCAACGGACATCTGTTACTGAGTCTCTGCGCACAATTCCAACTTGCCATCACGAGTACCATGTTCAGACTTCCCGCTAAATATAAAAACACCTGGATGCACCCAAGGTCCAAACACTGGTACGGCAACGAGACGTTTCCCAGGTCCTAGTTACCCGCGCAATACGTGGTGCCCACTGCTGGGCTGATCACAGGCTTGTTGTTACCAAACTGCGTCTCCAACTCCAATTTTCCCGCCGGTCTAGAAAATTTAAGCCTAATGTATGTTTTAACGTGGATGGGCTAAAAGATCCTGTGACGAGGGAGAAGTATGCTCGCACTTTGGCCACTGGATTACCATCCGTCAACAAAGACACTGGCCGAGTTGACTGCGACTGGGGTAGAGTACCCCAGTCGCAGTCAACTCGGCTCAGTCTTCTCATATCCTAGACACCGCTGCAACTATTTTGGATCAAAAAGTCCGAAAGACCGAAGACTGGTTCGATGAGAATGACATAGTCCTGACAGGGGCAGTCGATATACACCGACGTCTTCTCCGGCAACACCACGGAGTAAACCAAAGTGTGCGATCTACGGAGATCAGAAAAAGTGACCATTAGCTTAGGCGGCTATCTCAGGTAAATAAGGATAAATGGTGCCGGGAGAAAGCTCATCACATTCAGTGGCTCGCTGACACTAATCAGTTTGGAGAGTTTTATGGCGAGGTTCGTAAACTAATTAGTACGACTTCTTTTGCAAAAGTGCCCATTAAGCCTGTTAGTGGCGAAGGTCTTCTCAAAAGCAAAGAGGAAGTACTCGAACGTTGGGCGGAACACTTCAGCATTCTGATGAATGTGGACCGGGCTGCAGACCTGGAACACATTCGTTCGATACCTCAACTCCCAATTTGCACTGAGCTGGATGAGTCACTATCATGTGAGGAGATTGCTCTCGCCATCAATCGACAGAAAAATAAGCGCGCGGTGGGCATCGACTTTATACCAGGAGAACTGCTTAAATACGGTGGTAATGAATTGCAACTGGCTATTTGGGAACACTTTGATCGTATGTGGAAAGAAGAACAAGTCCCACCTACTTTTAAATTATAACGCATAAGGGCCCTATATCAAAACAAACGTCACCGATCCGATTGCGATTCATACCGCGGTATTTCACTTCTATCAGTCCCCGGAAAAGTTTTTGCGCGTGTACTACTTAACCGCCTCATGAAACTTTCAGAACAACTTTTACCCGAGACCCAGTTTGGCTTCCGACCTGAATGAGGAACGTGTGAGGCCATTTTCTCTGTACGTCAACTGCAGGAGAAAAGCAGAGAGCAAGGTCGTCATTTATATCTCTGCTTCGTTGACCTTGAGAAGGCCTTTGACAGTGTGCCTCGAGAAGCCCTCTGCATAGTACTTTCTAAGATCGGGTTTCTAAGTTCGCGATGTACTTTGCAGTTGTTATTCAAGAAGTCTTGCAATTAACCTCTGAAGGTCTCCGCATCCGTTTCCATACGGACGGCGGTATAATTAATCTGGCAAGACTGAAGGCTCGCACCAAAGTTTCGCATACTATGATCACCGAAATAATGTATGCCGATGACCTATGCTTTTTTACAGAATCCCCAGACGGCCTGCAGCAGCTAATGTCCGATTTCAACGAGTCGTGCCGAAAATTCGGCTTAAAAATCAGCGTTAAAAAGACGGAAGTGATGTCCCTAGACATACAAGGTCACGAGGCATTGGCAATAAAACTCGGTAGGGACAAGCTGAATCATGTCGACAAGTTCTGTTATCTGGGGAGCACAATAATCTTCTAAATGTGATCTAGACGCGGAAATCAACACCAGGATCGGCGCTGCTGCTGCATCGTTCGGCTGTATGTTGGATGCGTAGGTCTTCAGCTCCCATGAACTAAAGCTGGCGACTAAGATCTCCGTATACATAGCTGTTGCGCTGCCAAATTTACTTTATTCTGCCGAAACATGGACCGTGTACCGCCGTCACATCCACACGCTCGACCGATTCCACCTCAAATGTCTGCGTAAAATACTTGACATACGATGTTCTGATCGTGTACGGAACACCGAAGTGCTGCGAAGAGCCAATGTAGGTGGCATTGAGGCTTACCTTATGCGGCGTCAGCTTCGGTGGTGCGGACACGTGTCACGTATGGCGGAGCAAAGAGTTGTTAAGCGCATCTTTTACTCAGAACTGGAGGAAGGCAAGCGTAAGCATGGCGGTCAAATCCTCAGGTACAAAGATGTGCTTAAGCGGCACATGAAGAGGTGCAGCATCGACCCGCTGCTATGGGAGCAGCAGGCAGCCAGAAGGACTGAGTGGAGGGAGCTAATTAAAACAAGCGCCTAAATCTTTGAGGACAGGCGGCTCTGTGAGCTAGACGCGAAGCGAGATGAACTAAAGGCTCGACCACCAGCGGCCATTATTTATAATTATGTGAACGGTGTGCTAACGTGCCCGCAGTGTGCGAGGATTTTTACGCAAAAAATTGGCTACATAAGCCACACGCGAGCACACCAAAGACAAAATCGGAGTTGAATGCAGTCGCCGTGGCCGAAATCGGCCGGAAGCAATCATCATCATCATAGTTGCAATTCTTCCGCATATAGATGGTACGAAAAATCATGTATTGTGATTAAGTTTATAAAAATCGAGAATAATATAGGGTCATGCGTATCGCCTTGCGGTACGCCAGACTCAATATCAGCCCATTGTGAAGACTCATGGCCCACAAATGGTCAGTACTAAAACTTTGCTGTAAGAGCGAATCTTAATTGCGCAAGTACAGAGAGTAGGATATCATAATCATCATCGCTGATGATAGATTTAAGTTAACATGTAACAACCTGTTATGAAGAACATATGGCTGACATACAACACAATAGATTGAACAAGTCTGCTCAAGTTTGTGAGCACACCTTAAATCGGCCCAACCACTACATCATTTTTGATAGACCACAGATCCTTGCAAAAGAACACTTATTCCTCCCAAGGATGATTCGCGAGGCTATTGAAATTAAAAAACACCCTAATTTCAGTAGAGAAGAGCGTTGGGTACTTCCATCAGCTTGGGATCCTGTCATCAATAAAATTAAATCTAGGACCAAACGAACCACTACTGCAAGACAAGATACAATTAGCTTCCTCTGCATAGATCGGACACAAAATTAATAATCATCATAAATCAAAAACTGACGGTAGCCCGGGTTAACTATGACAATCAGACGTCTAACACCTCAGTCTGTCCCGTGACCATGAACGCTGTAAAGGGTTCGAAACGTCAGGAATTAAAATAAAAAATAAACGCGATAAATCCGTAAAATTAGTTTCATTTACTATAGGTAAATCTCAAAAAGTTGTTATTGGATGCTATGGTGAATTTGAACCAAGTTCATCATCGCTTTTTGGCTGTTAGTGTGTTATAAATTTTAATCTCATAATTTTTCCAAATGCGTCAATAAGTTTAACTTCAATAAAAAACGACACCAACAATAGAAAAAAGGTATTTAATACATTGAAAGTTTTATTATAACCTAAATAAAGTTCATTTAAATATCACAAAATAAATATCGTGAATACGGTTCTCACGCAAACATACGTGGATGCCTAGCTTACTTTAGGGTGTCGGTTTTTCGTGACGGGGTGCGCGCGCATCCAGCGCGCATCTTAAAAATTTACTCTCATCATTTTTCCCTAACGCGCCAAAAGAAGTATAACTTCAAAAAAAGTATGTGTACCTAAGTATGCACGAAAGAACTTATACCTAAGTATTAACGTAACAAAATAATAAAAAAATTAAAATAAAAAAAAACTGTGCCAGTAGTATTTGTGTATGAACAGACTTGTCTAAGCAACTGATATAACCGGTTTAATTTTATAACTTGGAATTAAAGGTAAATGTCAGTTGTTATTGCTTGCCACGGTAAACAGCGAAATCGTATAATATCGAATAAATAATCGAATACATTCGATGTATTACGAAATGTATATTCGTTACATTTCGTTCTATTGAATTATTAAGCAAAAGGCATTTGTAAAATTACACGAAGCTTAATATAACCCGGTTGTAACTAAAATATAGATTTTAGTGAAATAACTAATTGGGGCAGAAAGGTTCTTGCGTGGAAACGACGTCACGGCAAGCGCAGCTTAGGTAGGCCTCCTACAAGGTGCACGGACAACCTAGTAAAGATCGCAGGGACGCGTTAGATGCAGGCCGCTACCGATCGAAGTGGAAGTCAATGGGGGAGGCCTATGTTCAGTAGTGGACGTCTTACGGCTGATATGATGATGATGACGATTATTTTTCTCTTTGAGGGATGATCTTTAACTTAACTCCCGAGACCACCTGGTCATCAGAACTCATGAAGATAATAGATCTAGACTCTAGAGACATTACATTGGTTACGGGCCCTGTTGAGGAATCAAGATTTTTATTTTCTTATTATCAACCGTCTATTATTGAGATAAAATGACATTGATTGATTTTATTGTTGATCGTGACATTTCACATTAATCTGAATGTGATGTTGCCATATGCAATCAGACACACTATCCCATCCACTCGCGGCTGGTCACAAAAACCTAAAAATATCGTCGCCATATTGGTATTGTCAAAAAGTTCGCGAGCAATTGGTGTCGAGGAAAAAAATGATTTTTCGCTTTTCCACACCCGAATCACGCTTGTTATTGTGATCGGACGTTTTCCGTCTTGCGTTTAGATGATTCGCTTGTCGAATCCGGTTCGCGATTTGGTTTGTAAATGATGTTCTCTATGGAGAAACGTTCTGGGCGCAGTGGGTCCGGGACGTCCGAGGAGTCTGAGATGAACGGCGGTGGAGAGGTAGTGAAAGAGGGTGTGGCGTCGGACGAGGTCTATTCAGCGGTGGCAGCGGTTTCTGACGAGATCGGGGACATTCTGAAGGATGAGCTCGGCGACGCCGACCGAGCTGACAGGATCGGCGCGGAGTTAGCCGATCTGAGTGCGCAGCTCGGTCTATTAGCCGGCTTAGACGACGACGACGAGCCGCAACAAGATTTCCCGTCGCTCTTCGAAATTGCTGTTAGTACCCATATATTATGCCGATAATCATATACATTTTCACAAGTCTGTCAAAATCAATGAAAAATAATCGAGTGAAAATAAAACGCAAATTATTACGTTCAAACGTCTGCCCGATATAAAGCAGTTTAAAGTTTCAAAGGTTTAACTTTTAATTAACAAAGCATTAACTTTCTAGATATCAAAAGAACAATAGTGATTTCATTGTTTAATTAATTGAAATCTCATCAATAACCATTTTACACATTACAATTGATCGAGATAGTTTTATTTCTCTCCTATATGCAAAATTGTTGAAGTAAAAGTAATCTTACATTTTTTTTATATTAAGGAGTTGATAGTGACAGTAAATGCTATCTATGTTACATCAGTTTTTTTAAACCAGTTGGTAAATTTTCTCACCATAGACTTGATAAAATAAACCAGATTTGTGATTGATACATAAACTGGAATACACTTATGAAATGCAAAAAATTAAAAACATGGTGCATGCCACACACACTCTGAAAATTGTGTATATTGGCATGGCACACACCCCAGGCATTTGCCATCATTTATATAATTAAAAATTCAAGCAGCCCAAATTTCATTTTTTAACTCATTTCCAATAAGACATTTTTGAAACAACTGATTTAAACAAGAGTATTAAGGGGATAAGCATAATACCTCAACTATAAAAACATAAATTTCACAAAAATTCCTATTTACCATGTCAATGTAGATTTTATGATAACCACTACTGCAGAAGTATAAGATTTGCCTCAAATGCCAAAGTAGAAAAACTGTGTTTCGTAACTACTGAATGATTTTGAAACATACATAAATTATTTATATTTGCTACTAAAAGGTTAAGCATAACTTTTCATCAAGGAAATGCAGCTACCATTGGGAACATGCTGCATGGACTAGGTTTAGATAATAGCTGATTTAGTCAGATGTAATGTTGAAAATATTTATAATAATTAATTAATAAAAAACATTACAATTAATTAACAAAGTATAACTTGTTATATTTTGGCAGACCCTGACAATAGCCAGGATTAATGTCAGGTAGAAGAAAATTTGCAACTTATATTTTATCTTGTGAACATTTTGTAATTCTCTACTTCTTCCTTTTAGGTTAGTGGTGTATTACTTCTACATCTATTGATAAACACTGGCACATATAGGGACATATTAAACACTAAATATGGACAATAGTACAGACAAATCGGCATCACCCACTTGTTCTCTACTACTCCCTTTGGTGATGGGAGTACAGTTAAATTAATTCTACATGTGTAATTTGCAACTAAATTTATTGGTATACATTCATACACAGGCAAATATGAACATGCATATAGAGAACAGTACACTGACGAATCATCATTACACACCAAATTAGTTAATTAAATATCTCCCATGTAATGTAACTCCGCTTTAATTTCTATCGCAAGCGAGATGGCTTATTTGGACTAACTATTAAGTGTGAAGGTGGCAAGTAACCAGACAGTAATGGTGGTAAGCGATTATCGTCAATCCTATACATCCACAACCCTTGAAGGATTGCAAATAAAATGCAAAAGTAAAACCCTTCTATTTCTAAGCAAGCTGCTGTGAGACCTTGGTAATTCATGGATGGGCCTGTTGATTTGTGCACAGCGGAAGCTGCTGCAGTCTTACCCTGCTGTGCACTATGACTAACTACACTAACCCAAGGAGTATCATAAGGTCTATTTCCATATTCTATTAGATACATTTTTTTACTAGCGAAAGGTATTTGGCATTAGCTCCATATTACTAAAGTCTAAAATATATCTCCAGTAACCAAATCTATCTGTAGATCGAAAATTGAAACCTGCCGTTAGCCTGCAATACTTTTTTGTTTCTCCTGCCTTTACCTCACCTTTGTTGGGTTAGAACAACATGTGAATCATGTAGTTAATCCCACTTGACTGAAGTCAAATGAACTTGTGAATAAATATTGAGAACTACACTACTAAACAAATACTTGTCCCATATGGAAATAAAACATCAACAGCCTCAAAAGCTGCATGAATTTTTACTGCTATCAACATGGTATGCAGATGTTTATACATGTTTGTTAGGATACTGATGTAGAGAAGGACATTAGGTTGAATGTATAATAGGTAAATGCATATTTCATGATACTTATTGTTTATTATATACAATGTGCTACTTAAATATCCATTTAAAATATAATATATATATAATCGCCACTTACCATCAGGTGGGATGGCAGTCAAGTGCTGGCCAGTTCAAAATAAAAAAAAAATCATAAATTATTATACTCTAATTTTTGATAAATAAGTATCTGTTTAATAAACATGATTCAATAGATAATAGAGCCGAAATTATATTTATATATGAAGTTTATATCTATCTTAGTAGAAGATGAGTGAAAATTAATTTATTCTAATAGCTCCAGATAATCTGAAAAAAGTCCAAAGTCAACTATTATTAGTGTAGACCTGCAATGAAAATATGTTTGGGTAGTGAATGTTGTTTTAATAATTTAAAACTTGATTTGCTTTGCTTGATTGTTTTTACCTACAACATTTACATTATGTTGTGAGATTACAGAGAGTAATTAATGATAAAAAATATGTATTTTTATACTTTTTGATATTATAGTAGTTTTATTTTAAATAGATAGATATTATAGTAGACTTTGCTGTCTATATGTCTGTTTGTCTGTCACCAGGCTGTATCTCTTGACCCTGATAGTTAGTTGAAATTTCCAAAGATGATGTATTTCAGATGCCGCTATAGCAACAAATATTAAAAAAAATATTTAAGTAGGGCTGCCATACAACAGACATAATTTTTTTGCTGTTTTTATAGATAATGGTACAGAACCAGCCTTGTGCGCAAGTCCAATTCGCACTTGGCTGGTTTTTTTTGTTTCTTATTAGATAATGTTTCCTCTTTGAGGTTTTGCTTTTGTAAGGACTATGTAAAACTTATTAGACACAGTTCAAAGAAAAGCTGTAGTTACTATGGACTTATAATTTATATATGACAATTGTCTTTAATGGACCATCCCAACATTTTTTACATCAAAATCTCTTGCTTTTATCATATTATAACTAATTCTTAACTGTAACAATACTTATTAAAGTAGTAATCAGATTATCAGTATTTACTTCTTTTAATATAATAATATTCCGAAGTGTTTTGGCACATTGTTTCACAACTGTTTTTTTTCTTAATCTATTTTTAATGTTGTCTGTTTAGTGCCACAGTACAGGGTAATGCGACTTGCCCTCAAAAATACTATTATCCAATTCTATCTAGTTATGCTTTTGTCACATGTCCAATTTATTTTAAGACAGTGTTGAAATGTAACTACTATTGATATTTACCCCCTTTAAACATCTGCACAGCGCATTTGTCTAAAAACTGGGTTAGGGTTTAACCTGTTGTGTTTCATAGTTCATGTGGAATGCCTTTTACTTTCTTAAATTTGTGTATACATAAGCATACCTAAGATGCCATAGACTTATGGCCTACTTCTGGCCAAAAGCCTAGTACACAGGTACAGATAACTCTGTATTTGACACTGAATAAGTACATTCCATTAATAATCTGTTCTAAGTTATATATTGCTGAATATAAAGCCCATCCGCCTCTCCCGTACATGTTATTAGATAGAATAGGTAATATACCTATTCTATTTTATCCTTATCTATTTCAATACAATTAAAAATATATCTCAGTGATAGTATCTGGGTGCCTTTAATGAAACCTTAATTTGAAGAGTCCAATATTGAGTGAATCATATATGCACGTAAAAGAACTCTAAAATGTTAACTTTACAGCTGTTGTCTATTCAAAACTTAATTTGTGATATATGTTATGCTATTTACGGACAAATGCACTTTAAATGTTTTCACTCAAGGCTTTCTTACACAAATTTACTAGGAAAATGTGAACTATTGATTTAAGACTAGTTACTATCTCCGTTTATGAGTTATGTAACAATAAAATCTACTTATGAAGCTTACCTATCAGATTTTATTTTTATTTATTTATTTATTTTTCAAGGAAAACAAACAGCTAAATATTGAACTAACAAATAATAAAAATACAGTGTAAATCTCTAAGCCAGTAAAGTTTCCACCAAAAGTAAATACATACAGGTAGGCTTTTCTAAGTGTATCCATTTTTTTTATTAAATTCTAGACATAAATAATCTAATACATAAAATTCTCGTGTTACAGTGTTTGTAATTGAACTTCTCCGAAACGGCTCGAGCGATTTTCGTGAAATTTTGTGTGCATATCGGCCAGGGTGGAGAATTGGACAACATCTATTTTTCATCCCCCTAAATGTTAAGGGTGGTCCACCCCTAATTTTTTTTATATAAAATTTTTTGTTTTTATTTTTTTTATGATACAGCATACAAAAATACATACAACCCAAAATTTTCTGCCCTCTACGCGGGCAGCAGCTAGTAATGTTATATAAAAAAGATAAATATTTAAAATCACTTATAAGTAATTAATTACATTCATTTTAACATATACTCAAAAAGTGCGTGATTTATACGCAACTCATTCATTTTACTGGCGATCATTCATAACTAACACGCACACAAGTTCGTGCACAGTAAAATTTAGGTATATATGAATGACATTGTTATTGAATGACATTGTTACGGTGGTAGGGCCACACAGCAGCTTCGGCTGTTGCACGAATGGGCAGGCTCGTCCGGGTAAGTACCACGACCTCACAGAAGACCAGCGTAAAGTGGAAGTATGACAAATACTTTCGCGTTTCGTCTGGTGAGTGAGGTGGCCAGAGCCCAATTATCAAAAGGTTGTCAACGCATCTGGAACCCTCGGGTGTAGCAGATGTCCATGGGTGGCGGTATTCACTTTACACCAGGTGAACCGTCTGCTCGCTTGGCAACTGTTCACATAAAAAAAAAAAAAAAAAATAACAACTTCTGTTTTTTAGGGAATAGAATGGCATTTAAAAAAAAAATATTTTTATTTTATTATGTATGTTGCGTGCACAGTAAAATTTATGTATGTTGCGTGCACAGTAAAATTTTGGTATTAATGAATGCCTACCGCATTGTCAATAAGTTCCTTTTTTTGGGGAATAGGATGCCAATTTTTGAAAAAAAAATATTTTTATTTTTATTTCAATAAAAGATTATACTACCGAGTCTGAACTTCCTGTGTAAATTTGGGCACCTCTCAAAAAGCCTCCCTGTATAATAGACATCACGGTAGAACTTGTTTTCCTTAAATGAATACATTACAATGAAACGAAAGCTCTGAAGAACATTTGGTCTAAAACTACCTAAACTTGAATATATCTATATGATTAAAATTATTGTTGTAGATGCCTTATATTGTACCAAGAAGTGTCACTAGACACAAGGCTCACATGCCAAGTCTATACTGAAAAGTGTGAAACTGAATCATTAAGAACATAATATCAATTAAGAATGTTCAAGAAGATTGTTCATAGGAATACCTTAATCATAATGTGTAAAGTGTGTTCGGCTGGGAACAGGCTGGCTCTATTTCATTAGGGTTCCATACCCAAAGAGTTAAACAGGACCCTATTACTAAGACTGCTGTCTGTCGGTCAGTCTGTCACCAGGCCGTATCTCATGAACCGTGATAGTTAGTCAGAATTTACAAATAGGATTTTTCACAGATGATGTATTTCTGTGTCATACTTAGGTGTCTTTTGTGATTGAGTCACAATGTGATAAAGGTCTCAGCTCCTGAGTTCACTATGTTCATTGTTTAGTGAACAGCAATAATATACGATCTTTCATTTGAGCTTATGTTTGGGTAAGTAATGTTGTGGTGATTTGTTTTGCAGATGAGCCAGCGGAATTCGGGCAGTGGATCATCTTCCTCCTCTTGGTCGGGAGTTCGAAGGCGTAACTGCAGGCCTAGGGCTCCGCCGCGACGCAGGGCACCCTACCTCAGCAGCAAAGAGGTGGGTGTAACAAAGGACTCCAATTATTTAATTGCAATGCAACAATTGTCTATTATGGTTAGTTCACACACCACATACATGCAAGTTATTTTAAAAGAGTTTCAACACAATTTCTATTTTTTCATGGCTTATAGTAGGCAATGTGAAGGCCAAAGCAGTTTTTGTAGTTTCTTTTGTTTGAGAAAGTGTTAGATGTTAAATGATAACTAATAATGATGTAGAGTTGCAAATGCATTGCTATCTTTAAATAAAGTCTAACACTTTACGCCGGTCTTTTGTGAGGTAGTGGTACTTACCCAGACAGACCTGCCCATTCATGCAACAGCGAACACAGCCCTACTACCGCGGATTTTTTTTTTTCAAATCTATACATAATTTCAAACATCTAACACGTCTGAACCTGTCTGTAGCAGGGCTGTGTGCGCTCGTTGCACTTCCCGTATAAGTATAACCAAGCATTGCTGATTGCATTGCCCCGCCCATTCGTGCAACGGCGGACACCGTTGCGCGGCGGCCCTACCGCAATTTTTTTTTCTTTTTCAAATCTATAATTTCAAACATGGAACACATTTGAATTTGTCGTCCGTAGCAGGGCTGTCACCGCTCTGTGCACTTACCGTATAAGTATAACCAAGCATTGCTTATTGCATAGCCCCGCCCATTCGTGCAACGGCGGACACCGTTGCGCGGCCCTACCTACTTTTATTGAAGTTATACTTCTTTAGGCGCCTTATGAAAAAATGATGAGAGTAAAATTTTAAGATGCGCGCGCATCACTGTAACAACAAAGTAACATCTTTAAAGCTGCCCGGTGAACCGCTTATGTTTTATAGATGGAATATTCTCAATCACTTAGCCCGTTAGTTCTCAACAAAGAATGTAGATGGCGCTTTCATAATTTTATATTATTTATATCCTTCTTCTTAGTCTTTTATTATTTTATTGTAATCAATTATTTGCATGCAATTAAAAACTAATTTTTGAATTATGCCAAAGGAGTATAACCTCTCGTACGCGCGTACATTAGTACACGCCCCCCTTTTTTTCTTTTTCAAATGTATAATTTCAAACATAGAACACCGTTCGAATTTGCCGTCCGTAGCAGGGCTGTCACCGTGCGCGCTCTGTGCAGGCGATGCGGCTGCGCGCCGCGATGGCGCGCCGCGTCGCACTCCGCTCGGGGCGGGGGCCGCCTTCGGACGCGTCCGACGTCGGCGCCGACTCCGACTCGGACGACCAGTGGACGGAGCTAGAGGACGCGTGTGAGTATTTTCGACCGACTTCGAAAACGGAGGAGGTTCTCAGTTCGACTGTATTTTTTTTTAATTGTTTTTTACCTCAGCCAGAACTTTTTTAGTTGAAATCAGGTGTTTCCCGTGTTGTCCCATGTTGATTTGATTGGTATTGCATTTTGATCTCCAGAGGTACAAAGGGAACTATTCAATAAAATTAATACATAGCGAGATATTTTAAGTCGGTTTTGTTTTTCGTTAGTAAATTAATTGAAATGTTTATGTTGTTTAAGTAGAACCCGGCGCCATCAAAACCACAGCGTGGTCTACTGTGATGACGCTTTGATTACTCTGGTGGGGCTTATTTTTATATGATAGGGAGCCCGAGAGCTGGCGGTTCACCTGATAACCTCCGTCCATTGATATTTGCAACACCGATAGGGTTGCAGATGCGTTGCCAACTTATAATAAAGTGGGCACCGGCTACCTCACTCACCGGACGAAACGCAGCAGTAACACTTCCACTTCACGCTGGTCTTCTGTGAGGTTGTGGTACTTACCCGGACGGACCTGCCCATTCGTGCTACAGCCGAAGCTGTTGCGTGGCTCTGCCACACCTTGTACTGTTGCACGAATGGGCAGGCTCGTTCGGGGAAGTGGCACACCCTCACGGAAGACCGTCGTATAGTGAGAGTATAAAACTTTGGCGTTTCGTCTAGAGAGTGGGGTAACTGGGACCCCACTGTTTAAATGGTCGCCAACGCGTATACAGCCATTCGGGTGTTGCAGATATGTATGGGCGGCGGTAATCACTTTACATCTGGTGAATGGAGAATAAAGGATGTCGACTTAATATTTGTGTGAGATACAGTAGATGATTGGATTGGCGTAGTTTTTAGGGCTAATATCGGTTCCCCCCAGAACATGGATTTATATGACCTGAAATATTTGTTCAATATCTGTGTGCCTGTATGTCTAGGTTTAGCTGTCTTTGTTTAATTTGATACAATGCAGTGTTATCTTGTCCTGCAATAGGAGTGATGTTTAATAAGATGAGAAAGAAGAAGAGAACTGTATTATAAGTTTTTCTTACTGGCTTATTCTTTGCTCAGCATTTTTTCTTCTCTAAGCATTTTCTCTTTCTGTGCAGTTTCTTGTCCAATACCAATTCGCGTTTGCCCTCATGAGTCACTTATATGATCTTTTTTCTCACAATACCATAAGTATATAAATATAATCTGTTTTCTGAACTTTCAGCTGGGCTGTCCGACACTTCATCTGGCAAGGAGGCGGCCGGCGTCGAGGACATGGACTGCAACGACTACCAGAAGGAGCCGCCGGTAAGTCAGAACAGAACTCTGTCATTCTTTTTTTTTGTGCTGGAAGCGGCTGCACCAACCAATACCTGTAAATTAAAATGGGACGACTAGGATACTGCTAAGGCTCCTAAATGTAGTTGTACGTAAAATAAGTTAGCTTATCGTCGGTGTGGCAATCAGCCGTTTAGCTTATTAGTAAATGCGTCTGGGCGCGAACCCAGAAGAGGAGGGTTCGATCCCCGCAACGGCGAAGAACTTTCGTCCATTGTTTTTTGTGTTTCCTACAAAGTGATATATTAATGTTTGAGAGAATGTAGATTACTTTGGAATAGGGCGAAAGTGAAACTTGTCCTTCACTCGCAGGCGGAGGCACCGGCCCTCGGCCAGTTCCTGCTGCCGCTCCTCAGCAGTGGCCCGAACCAGCCGGACCCTGAGCACTTCCTCATCAGGCACGAGGACATCCTTCAGGTGAGCTGACGGCGTTGTTCATCGAGGCAATCGACAAATGCACTATGTATTTGTATCGTTTTTATGGTTCCGTACCCAAAAGGTAAAATGGGATCTTATTACTAAGACTCTTCTGTCTGTCTGTCTGTCTGGCATGTTATAAGTCAGAACTGAGCATGCGTTAAGTCAGCACTTAAGATAATTAACCATTTCATTGGCGATAGTATTACATTGTATTTGTGGTGGTAGGATATTGAATTAAAACGGGACTGAAAACCGGTGTCGGGGTCAGGAACAAATTCTAGTTACTGTATCTCGACTTCACGGTCCTATGCAGCTAGCTACACAGATCTTCACTCAATATCATTTTTTGTTTGTTTTTGTCGTTATGTTTGCATTTATTTTAAGTTTTTCCAATATTATTTTATATATTGTGTAGTTACATTATTTTTTAAGTTTTATACAGGGTGCCTTTTCTAAAGGTGCCCAAATTCACAAAGGAGGTCAAGACTCGGTAGTATAATCGTTTATTCAAATAAAAACAAACTTTTTATTTTCAAAAAATTGCCATCCATTTCCTAAAAAACAGAACTTGTTGACAATGCGGTAGTCATTCATAAATGCGTCGCATACTTTTTAAACGAACTATGTGCGTTTGAGTTGCCCATAAATCGCGCACTTTTTGAGATAAGTTCAAATGAATGTGTGTAATTAATTACGAGTGATTTTAAATATTTGTCATTTTTTATATAACATTATTTAAGTCTAGAAATTAATTAAAAAAAATGGATAAAATATCCAGGCGAATCACCAACACATTGAAACCTATCAGTGCATAATAAAAAAACAAGAATTTTTTTCTTTTTTTACAGCTGCTCGCCTCCGCAGAGGAAAGCGTCAGGGAGGAAATGCCCATTGAGGACGAAGAGGCCACCCTCGACTCTCAGCCGGAAGCGTAAGTGGCGACGACATTGTCACGTCAGCCTTGAACTATCTGAAGCCAACCTCCCAATGTCAGCCCATGCATCAGTGTTTACTGTTGCACGAATGAGTAGGTCCGTCCAGAAAAGTACCACGGCCTCATTTATTGTTGCGGTTGTAACGACACGCTGTATATCGCGTTAGCCCTGCCCGTCTGCACAGTTAGAGACTGTCAATGCGATTAAGGTAGGTCTCGTAACTATAACATTGATGACTCCATTGTGCATTTGCCAAGGTATTGGCTTTGGAGCCATGGGATATGGCTTCAACTGCCACAATTGGCAACTATTTGTGTGACCCACAGCACGTTAAGACAGACCCGCATCTGGGTGTGTGTTAACGTGAAATTATTATGTTAATAAAGTAATAAACAAAATCATCAATCCTTGCTATTGTTTCAGATTGCCTAGCAGCGATGCGTTTGTATACGAGGAGCCCCCAGTCACCCCCGAGGAGGAGGCTGCCTTGCTGCACTACGTCTGCGGTACAATTCTTCCTCAATATCCCTTCGAAGCGGTCGGATAATAATCAACCTGGAGCATTGCATCCCTAGTTTGTGAAAATGTCATTCAAGAAAGTGTGTTTACAGTAAAGGAATCACACTAGATAGCGCCAAGCGTTATTAAAAATGCAATTAAAGCTATGTGGATAAAACGTTAAGATTTTCAAGTTGTCAGGTTGGCTTGACGGCTAAAACGTCTGGTCACGTAATCTGGAAGGAGCAGGTTCTAATCCTGGTTACACTAATAAATTATTGGCCAATGTACAATTTTTTAATTTTAAACATGGGTTAAATTACCGCCACGGACAAGTATTCACTATACACTAGTAATCATATTGTTTCTCAGAGGCCGACCCGGCTGCGGAGGCGGATCCCGGATCGGAGGTTGGCTTCAGGCCGGTGGAGGAGTGGCTGCTGGGCGTGTTCCACTCTTGGTGCGAGATCAGCGCGCTCATGTACACCCTCATCGGCACGGAGATGTGAGTGGGAGGATTCTTAATTGCTTTCTTTGTGCCCCTTCGCTACAAACTAATAGTGAAGCAATTTTAATAAAATGTCAAGTTGATTGATGGATGAATGAACTCTATTGGCCTGGGGAGTAGTGAAGTGCGCCAGAGGGTCCCCCACTTCTGGAAAAATATTGTGTGAAGAACATGTTGTTTTATAGTGTCTGGGTGTTTACATTTATTTTATTTAGGTATTTATTGTACACAAAACACAGGATACAAAAAATCCATGAGTTCTCAATATTACACAAAACACAGGATACAAAAAAAACAACAATGTAAGCAATTTACAAAAGGTAAGCTTAACTCAATCCATGAGTTCTCAATATCACTCAATTCATGAGTGATTGAAGGTGAAGGTATAATATATATTTATTTATCAAAGAAAAGTGTGTTGAGGTATGTTTATCAATTGTCTAGTACTCACAGTACAAGCGTCGCCTAGTTTGCGTAATAACGTGAACTATAGTCATTATAAATGATCGTTAATCGCATATTTGGCGGTTCCAGGAGCGTGGAGTCTGCGCGCTCCGAGTGGTGGTACCGCGCCTCGTTCGGCTGCCACTGCCACCTGTGCCTGTGCCTCGCCGACAACGCGCCCGCTCTGCACCGCTTCCTGCGCGCGCTGCTCTGGGCGCTGGCGCACGGTCAGTGCGCGCACGCGACCGCGGCCAATGGCCAATCGCCGACGGCCATTCGCCGGCGACTAGTAGCCAATGGCCAATCGCGGACGTCTAATCGCCAACGACCAATAGCTAATGGCCAATCGACAATGACTAATCGCCCACGATCCATTAGCATTGACCAATCCCCAACGGCCTACCGTCCCCAGTGCCACCGTCCAGCGCATTTGTAGTAGTGCAATACATAAAGTGACTAAAACTGGGAAAGTCAATTTCCTTAGCAGTCATATTTCTCATAAGTAGCATACATTATTTGTTGTAATGTATACATCAGCATGAGAATAATTAATGCAAGTACTATAGAGAAATTAGTAAATGTTAAGATACCAGTGAATTAAATTTAAGTTTTTATTAATTACAAAAAAAAAAACCAGAAAGATTAATCTTTTAAAAGGAAGGAGTAATTTAAAGTGACAAGAGAAATATAATAATATATTTTTACCAATCTGGGAAGTCAAGGAGAAAAGGAATGTGTAACCCCAAGAGAGGAGCACATGTTTTATTTTTCTGGCTTGTATATAATAATTAACTTTTATGCTATCAGCATTTTAGTCCTTTTTCGTCTTGTCCAAATTTAAGATTCCCTACCTGTTACATATCGATGTATAATTGTTACAGGTGATTTTTAAAGGAAATTTCTCCCGCAGGTGGCAACACCACCGCTGCGGCGGGCATCATGCGGGCCCTGCGGCTCCGCGCGGGCTCCACCAGCCGCGCCTCCGAGTGGGACATCGCGAGGCTGCAGAGGCTGCACTTCGGCGAGGACGGTAGGTGTTGCCAGGTCCCCTTCTAAATGGATTCTAATGGATGGGATAGTCTATATTGTTATGAAGGAAAAGGAAGCAACTTGTCTGTTCTAATTTTGGTTCTAATTAATGAGTAATCCGCAATGTACGTTTCGTACGTCAATATATAAATTTATATCTTGAAGTTTCCGTCTTTAAAAAAACGATACTTCCATATGATATATTTCTTTATCTGCTGACCGTACATTGCTGCAAATGCTGTACTTGATAAATGTGACTCCAGTGACTGTTGTCACATTGACAGAATTCTGTTTGGAGTAGCCGTTCATCAAAGGAGGAACGTCCAAACGGTGTAGAGAGTGTAACGTGAACCGTTTGCCAATTACAGGCGCGGCCATCGTGCACGAGCAGCTGGGCAGGTTGGCGGAGCAGAGCGAGGTGGCCGGCCAGATCGTCGCCAAGGTCTGCCTGTGCCGGGAGCACGGGCGGCCCCTCGAGAAGGAGTCAGTGTCACCATGAGATGACTCCACGACGGAATAATGGCAACACTTGGCCACGTGGCAGGAACCGCTTTAGTGCTGCACGGATGGGCAGGCTCGTCTGGGGAAGTGGAAGTACTAGGGCCTAACGCCAGACCGGCCCGAAGTGGAAGTCGTACTTTTTAAGTCTTATATCGCATTTCGCCCTGTGAGTGGGGTAACTGGGGCCCAATTTAAGGCTGGCAACGCATCGGCAACGTATCAGGTGTAGATGTCTATGGGCGGTGGTAATCATTCAAAATCAGAAATAGTGGGTACGGAAACGCATATTTAACTAGTTTTCATTTACACAAAACGCATTTGACTATGCCAAATCTTATAATCCTTTTTTCGAAGCAAAATAAATTACAGAAAAGAAGAAGATAAAACTTTTCGGTTCATCGGCAGGTTCGCCGTGGAGAGGTTCTGCAAGATATTGGAGAACTTCAAGGCAGCTTCTAGCATCACTTTCAAGGTACGAAAGAGCAAATAGATAACTGCATATCCCATTGCTACGCAAACGGCTCTTCTATACAGAGTGTGTATGGTTTTTTCCAACCAATTTGAAAAACAGAGAAGGTTCTCAATTCGACTCGTTTCTTTATGTTTGTTACTTCAGAACTTTCAACTGAGTGACCTGATTTTGATGATTTATTTTTAATTTGAAAGCTGGTGCTTCCCATGTGGTCCCTTATTAATTTCATAGGTATTGGATCTTGGGCTCCGGAGATACTCTGGGAACTGCTGAAATTCAATTATGGAATGATTACAGAGTGAAATATTCGGAGTCGGTTTTGTGTGCCTAAGCGTGACGTGTTTTTTGCACAGAGTCCAGTATCGTAATCAGTACGATATTGAAAGAATATTGTATATTAGATTAGTTTCCATCTCAGAATCGAATCCCCGTGCGCAGGTGGAGATGTCGGCGGCGGAGGGCGGCGATGCGGAGTGGGTGGAGCACGCGCGGCGGCGTCTCGCGCGCTTCCTCGCGCCCCACCAGCGGGCAGCCACCGCGCGTCGCCTGCGCCACATGGCGGCGCGCACCACGCCGCGGGACCGTGAGTTGCCGACGCTTCGACCACGGCGCATCGACCGCGACACATCGACCGCGACACATCGACCGCGACACATCGACCGCGACACATCGACCAACATACATCGAGTTCGGCAAATCTCCAATACACTTAGTTGAACTGTTGACTATCGTACATTGTGTACGACACGTCGACCACAAAACATCGACCGCAACACGTCCCAACATCGACCGTCACCATTAGAATAGTCCCAACGGCCGCCATACATTAGAATACTTGAAAAACACTGCCCCGAAAAGTGCGCACTATCGACTTGTCATCAATGTATGAGATATGATAAGAAGCCTGTTTTTAGTAACAGATATTATTAACGTTAGTAACATTACTTCATTCAGCTCTAACTGCCAGGCCTAAATTTGAATGTTGAATTTGAATTGAAAGTCGTCATTTGATTTTGAAATTGAAATAAAAAGCTCCCTTTTGTTCTTTTATGTAATAAAACAGGCCTACTAAATAAAACATGTCATGCGTTGCACAAAAAGATATTGCATGCACATTTTTCCAATAACACACGTGCGTTTTCACGATTCCGCATTCAGCAGTACGCAGCCGGAATGGACGAATGCCGAATTTCGGCCGAATATTCTTTATCTAATGTGTATCCTCTGTTTCCACCAGTCGAGGCGTGGTCGGGATACAAGCATCGTTGCGACTGCCTGAACCCGAAGACGCTCTGCGCTCAGCAGAGGAAACAGCTGTTGAGGTGAATATCTTATAATAGTTGTATTCATGATATTCATCGCACCACATGAGGGGATGCTTCGGAGGAAACCGTCTTTTGTTTCCTTCGTCGCGATTAAATTTAATCTAGAAAATAACAACATTGCCGTTACTGTGGGATATCATTATCGTGTGTAGTAAAGACGTTTATTATTATCACAATTATCAAACAAATAGTTGTCCCATGTGGGAATTGAACCCACGACCGTCGGCGCTGAAGCCAGTACCTACCTAGGCAACTGCCCTATGGAGTCGTCGACGACGAAACGTGCCCATAAAGAAAAACATAACTAAAACAGTTTTAACTCTATATTTATATTTTTATTCTTTTATATTTTTTTATCTTTTTATTTAAAAGGAATTAACGTTTTACGAATACAGAGATTCTAAAGGTCATTCAAATATCTTCCCTATACTATGGAATTTAAAGCACGATTTGCTGCGCAGATATCTATCACCTTCCAACTTCATGGAGCCATCAGTTTTATTCGAAATTATATCAAGAAGTATATCAAGAAGTGTCATACTTCTCCATTTCGTCTGGTGAGTGAGGGTCCACTTAATAAAAGATGGCAATGCATCTGCAACCCTACGAATTTTGCAAATGTCCATGGACAGCCACCTTCTCATAAATCTGTATGTCCCAAATCAAGCAGAGCTTGTACGATTTGTACTACTTAACAAATTAATTTACTTTTCTTATGTTAACAAATACATATGTATTTTACCAACATGTCATGTTAATAAATACATATGTATTTAATAACATAAGTATAAATATTATCCTTCTGACATCATCCTTCTACCCTAATTCTACATAGGTGGGGTCGGCCCAAAATATGAATCATGTTGTCAAATATTATAAGTAAATACATATTATAAATTATATAAACCACAGTCATTGGAACAACATTACGTTCATCACACAATATTTTTCCATTATTGAGGATGAACTGTCTGAGAATATAACCCGCACCCTCTGGAGCAAGAAACAGATTCACTGTCCCCTACGCCAATCGAGTCATCAATTTTCTGACGTTATTTCTCATGTGTTTCCAGCGACGTGTACTACAGGATATCATTCTTCGGTATGATGCAAGCGGTGAACGAGTTCAACGGTGGTAAAACCGACGAGACCGGGGAAAAGGTGGGCTTTCCTGTTATTTATATTACAAAACTTTTTACTGTGGTACGAATGGTCAGGGTCATCCAGGGAAGTACCAGTCACATTGGGCCGGCGTGAACTGGAAGTGTTATACTATATACATTTCGTCTGGTGAGTGAGGTAACCTGGGCCCACTTTAGCTCACGGTATTGGTCCACGGTTCATCGGGCCCGTAAAGTTTCTAAACGTGATGGGGGGTGGTGGGTTCTCCCATTTGCGAAATTAACGCCCGGTTTCTGAAACACTGATCATCGTATAAGTTAACTATTCAGCGGTCAAATGGCGTTTGAGTTGCCAAAGAAGAGAGTTTAACCATCACTTTGGCAACTGAAATAACGTTTGAAAAGCCATTTCACAGCTGATTAGTTAACTTCTATAATTATCAGCGAGTGTTTCAGAAACCGTGCGTAAGTCCTACTGACATTGAAGCTGGAGGAGAATAATTTGCACTAAATTAACGCACTCCTTCCGTCGTTCTCTCTCTATTGACGTGTTGCTTCTCTCTTCATTCGCGTCTCCCGTCTCTTTCGCGCAGTCGCCGAGCGATCTCGAGCCGGACACTTCGGGGCGGGAGCTGCAGCAGGGCGACGGGACCGGTGCCAAGTAAGTAGTACTAATTCTTACTTCATCACTTGCATCGCAATCGAAGAATGTCAACCGGAGTGTTTGGATTTTTCATTCATTCGCCATCAATTTGTTTCGCAATCCATTCGGTCATTTCATTCGACGACTAAGTGACGTAGTGCCCGCACGGGCTTCGCGCTCCGCATCGATGGGAATCGATCCCATTCGTGATGAGATGTGGGTATTTGTTTTTATTTCATTTGTGTTTGTAAAGTTCATCTACACACAGGATTATCTTGTTGGGGTAATTTAAAAAAAATCATTCATTCGTTCATGCGCCCCTGAAGTTAGTCCAAGTTGTTGCATAGTAGTCACGCAATTAATAGGCATACGGGATGCATATTTCCCTCTCGTCTATTTCGCATTCCGTCTCGCTCCGACGAATATTGTGGCAGCCTATGATCAGCTATATTATTAAAGAGTGTCTATGGTTTCTCACTTTGTAGGCCTCCCGATAGCGACTGTCGGCCGACGTCGCCGACGAAGAGCGGCGATGAACGCGACCTGAGCGACTCCAGCGCGGATCTGGACGAGAGTGAGTGGCCCCGGTGGCTTTGCTTAGAACTCTTGTGTTCGATTGCCGGTCTCAACTTCGATTCTCGAATCTGAGCCCACTTATTCTTCTTTCGCATCAACCGGGGACTCGGGAACACGAAGACGCAATCTTCCGCGACCCCAGCACGACTATGCCCGTGTCCCCGGGCGAGGCTGGGCACTCTATAAGTGCGCGTTGGTCCGTCTCCTCGACACGTACGTCACAGTGGTGGTATTTCGCTGTGGGCCACTCCTTTCCACGCGAAGAGACTACTGACTGTTATTCGTATCTTTTAGATCTTTTTCTTTCGGGGGGGAAATCCTACTATCTAGCACGTGACCTACTGCTGCCAATCCGTGTCCTCTTTTAGTCGCCTTGTACTATTCGTATAAATATTCGTATCTACCTGTTGTTAACATGTGCTATTTCCCTCTACCTCCGCAGTGTCGGCGTCCGACTCGGCGAGCGGCTCGGGCTCGGGCTCCGGCTCCGGCTCCGGGTCGGCGGCGGGCGGCGCGGGCGGGCTCTGCGGCGCGGTGCGGCGGCTCGTGCGCTCCATAGCGGCAATCGAGCGGCTCATGGACCGCGTGCTGCGCCACTGCGCCGCGTGCCCACCGCCGCCGGCGCCGCACACCGCCACGCACAGGTGACCGCCCATGACCCCGCCACGCACTAATGACCGCGTTTGACCCCGCGTCGCATTGATGACCGTCCATGACCCCGCCACGCACTAATGACCGCGTTTGACCCCGCGTCGCATTGATGACCGCGCTTGACCTCGCATCGCGTTAACGACACCACCGCGCATAGGAGAACGCACTTGAGCCCGGGTCGCATTCATGACACCATAACGCACAGTTGATCACACTTAACTCCGAGTGTCACCCAGATCACAGACCGAATATAGTGTCGAATGAGGCAGATGTTTTATACGATCATTCTTTATGATGATGAATTTCTAGGAATCTCGACCAACGGCTCATTAAAAACCGGACGTAATAAGAAGAGAAATCCTTTCATAAGAAGAGAAAACATAAGAAAATCATAAGAAGATAAATCCTTTCCGCCAAGTATTAAAAATCGGTTCACTTAGCTACCATAAATTTGGGTAAATCGTGGGTACTTATTAGGGGATTTGATTTCATCATCATCATCACGGCGTCACCTTAGTATTTTTAAACGTAAGCAAGCCTCGCTGACTTATGAATCGGTACAGCATTGAACACTCTAACCGAAATTAAAACCGTCAACGATCACGTTGCAGGAAGCGCGTGGACCTCGGCCTGTCGGAGGTGGACCGCAAGCTGATGGCGATGTACCGCCGGCTGCCGGACGTGCACCGACGGCAGATGCAGGTCTACCGGCGCCAGAAGAAGCTTTCCACGGTACTGCCACCACCACCACCGCCGCTACCACCGTCGTTATCCTGCGACTCGCCCCACCACATTCGGAAAATATCATTTGGCTGATACATGAGCATTGATTCGCTTGATATCATGTTGGTGACTCACCTCACCACATTCAGAAATTATCATTATTTCACTTATACATGAACATTGATTCGCTTGATAGTTGGTGTAATTACTTCTCACGCACATTCTACCATAGTGCACTTAAAGCTTTTCATGTGGTAATTTACGCAGCTCGCGTCTGCATACCTACGGGCGTTGCAAATGTCAATGGACGTCGGCTATCGCTTAAAACCAGGCGCACCGCAGGCTCGGTTGCCACATTCTAATAGAAAAGAATTGAAAAGTCGCGTCTATGTGCGTGTGATTGGGCAGGTGTGCGCGCAGCTGGTGGGCGGTCCCGCGCCGGCTCCGCCCCCTCCGGGCTCGCCGCCGCCGCCCCCCCCGCACCAGCCCTGCCGCGCCCTCTGCCCAGAGTACCACCTGCAGCGGTTCAAGGAGGTAGGCCCTCCATTCAAAATTCCTGTGCTCGTTTTTGCTTTCCAATTCCACGCCGGTCTCATATAACACCATACCTTAATCGAAGCGACATGTTGAATATGCGGTCAAGGCGAGCACTACATTTTGCTTCCTTAATTTTCGGGGTAATAAATAAACAAAGTCCATCATATCTCTATGGCAAGTTAAAATTTACACAACGCCAATCACGACTTTGTGACCGTCTTATATGCCCTGTTTTTAGTTCTGCGGCTTTCCGTGGAAGCTTTCGATACTCCGCCACAAAGTGTTGGAATAACATCCCACCACCTATTAGAAACTCTTCGTCTTTACATATCTTTAAAGCAAAATACAAAAAGTTTCTACTTCATTTGCAAAAGACGGAGTAAAACCGATCAGATCGCTGTCTGCATATATTATAATATATTATATATATATAAAGTTGCACCCAGACAACTCAGCTCTCATAGGTATATAGGCACTCGTATTGTGTTGAGGACATGTTATAGTTTTTGTTAATAATTTTTTTTTTGTTATACTTTATTTTTGATTTTATTGTTCCTAACTTTTATATTCCTTTTTTATTGTTTTTAGTCTATTTCATTGTTATTTTTGTTGGCTGTATGCATGGAGCTGAACGCCAATCTTACAAGGTATCCGCAGAAAACCAGTGCCGTGGTATTGTTTGCCAGGGCAATATACTGAGCGGAGACCTTTTTGGTGCATACATTTTTACAATTATAATGTTTTTTTTTTTTTTTTTTTCCTGTAATGTAATGCGCCGAATAAATATTTCTTCTTTCTTTCTTTCTTTCTATACACTCCGACAGCGTCCGGTTTTCTTGCCCCGAAGACTAATCTATATAAAAATAATAATTTAAAAAAATCCAATCAAATATATTAACACACAGTAAAGTAAAGTAACAGCCTATACATGACCCGACCCCACGCGCATTGACTGACTTCACATATCTTCTAAATATTTGTTACTTATTATTGTTTCGATAATATGCGGGTTGTTTTAATTCACCATTGCATTGATATTGAATTAAAAACGAGCGCCCGGACACAAAATTTTCACATCTTAATGTTAAACATATTTAAAAATAAAACGAAGTATGATTTAATGAAATTATGATATCTGTTCTCACCAAAAACGATGTTCTCTAGTTGTTGCACAAAACTACTGACCCTAGAGGGAACACTAGGTCAAATTGATTGAATTGCGATATGATCGTATCGGATTATACCTTCACAATTCTAATGATATGTTGAATAGGAGTGAGGACAAGTGCAGCAGACGGAATGGAACATTCATGCTGAATTAAAATAGACTTTCTACCTGTCGCAGGTGCGGCGCAAGGTGATGCACATGCGCGACCAGCAGCTCTACTACCACCGGCTGCGAATGTGGCTGGAGGACCAGCTCGGCAACGAGAGGTACGCATTGGCTCTTGGTGGCCGAGACGTCCACCGATTCACCTATGGGATCGCCTCGTTGTGGGAAGGTGGCAAGCAAGCTCACATTTGCAACACCCGTAGGGTTGTAGATGCATTGCCTACCTTTTAATGAAGTTGACCCCCGGCCACCTTACTCGCTAGATCAAACGCAGAAGTATAACAGTTCTACTTCACTTACCCGGATGGACCTACCCATTAGTGCAACAGCGGAAGTGTTTGCAATTTTCCGTTAGGTGTGTCAATGACCTCGCCTCTCGAAGGATGGCAGCGCAACAGCAATACTCACACTCCGTACACACACATTACTTCACTATAAAAGTGTGTTACGGAGTGTGAGTATTGCGCAATACCACTGGCGTTGCAGGTTACTAAGGAGCAATTGGTTCAATCTGGATTTGTGTCCCGCGCCTTTTGTCGATAATTGATTATAAATTTGCGACACATTGCAGCTGGGATTTTTTTTTATTTGAGAAAATGGCAAACGACCTTGCGGTTCACCTGATGTTAAGTGATAACCGCCTGCCCATGGACATTTGCAACACCCGTAGGGTTGCAGATGCGTTGCCACGTCTTAATAAAGTGGGCCCCTGCTAGATATAGCAGAGCACTAGATATAGAGTGATAACTCACCAGACGAAACGCAGAAGTGTAACACTTCTACTTGACGCCGGTTTTCTGTAAGATTGTGGTACTAATCCGGACGGACCTGCCCCTGCTTCGTTCAACAGCGAACACTGTTGCGTGGCCCTACCACAGAAAGATATTAATTATAAAAAATTCCTCACGAGATTCTACACCAATATCATTGCGAAAAAGGCACATTCAGTATTATAATATATTTATATTGTTTAACTGTAGAAACAATGCAATGAAATTTGGAAACTCTAGAAATAGTCTAAATACACGAACTCACATTTGTTTCAACCCAACTGGGAAATGTAGAAATTTTCTTTAAAAGCCCTTCGGTTTAAGTTCAGCAGAAGTTAAATACCTACCTGAAATGTCGATTTTTCTTATCCAATTATTATTGATAAGATGTAAATAAGTTTAGAGGTAATCGAAATCGTCAAACGAAGTGTAATTAATATTCGATGTGGTTTTTTATTTTAATATTGTAATTAAATCTCTTCCGCAGCTTACCGAACAAAACCGTAATTCTAGTCGAGGAGCTGCCGCGTCGCAAGCGGCGCACCGCCAGCCCGCGCGCGCCGCGCCTCGCCATAGCGCCCAAGAGGAAGCTCAAGCCCGCCTCGCCCTCGTCTAGCAGCAGGCCGCACAGGGTGCTGCAAATGCTCAAGCACAAGCTGCCGCTGCAGGCGGAGCACAAGGACGAGCAGAGGTCGGAGGCCGAGCCGCCGGAGGCGTTCCCCCTCGACCGCGAGGACAACGTGAGCGAGACGGAGACGGTCGTCGGCGAGCGGGACGGCGACATGTGCAAGGACATGAAGGACTGCCTCGCGAAGTTCGCCAACTTCGCGCTCGCCCGCCCCGAGCCGAAGGACGCGCCGAGCCAACAACCGCCCAAGTGCCCCGAGTCCGTCAGCCCGCCCCTGCAGGAGCCGTCCCCGACCACCGTCGCCCCGATGCCGGTCTACTCGCCCAAGCCCAGCCAGCGGCTGCTCGCGGCCAACAAGCTGCTCAGGCGCAACGAGCTAAACGACAAGCCCATCGACTTCCAGTCGCAAGCGCCCGAAGCCATCAACGCTCCGATCAACGCGTGCCGAACACCGCCGGCGGAGGGGGATGATGGGGGCGACGGCAAGCCAACCGAGGCGGACGGTTGCGAGCTGGTAGTGGACTCGGGCAAGGACGCGAGCGTCTACAAGTACGTGACCTTCGGCCTGGAGATCAAACGCGCCATGGAGGAGTGCCAGAACATCATAAACTCGTACAACAGTATCAAGGACAGAGACGGGAAAGAGGGCGATGAGGTGCAGGACGGGCCCCTCTCGCTGGAGCACATATGCGAGGTGATGATGAGCCTGGACAAGAACGCCGAATACCTGGAGAGGATGGACTTGGACGAGTCGATAGACCTGGGCGCGGCCAACACCAAGCTCGCCGAGCTGGTGGAGAACATGCCCCAGATACTGGCGAACATGCCCGAGATCGCGTCGAAGCTGTCCGAATTCGCGAACACCTCGTTCGAGCTGCCCGAGTTCGCGTCGATCATGAGCAACCTGCCCGAGATGGGGAGCGAGGCGCAGCTCACCCCGGAGACCTTGAAGCAGATACGAGAGCTCAAACTTAACAAGACGAGGGACGGGGTAAAGGTGACTAAGAACACCGCGAAGCGTAAGAACAACCGCCGTAACAATTCGCGCAGCAACATCGACCTGGCGAGCGAGGTGGTCGGCACAATGACCTTCGAGCTGGACAGCAAGGAGCTCTCGGAGCTGCTGAACAGTGAGAAGGACTTCCAGAGCCTGATGAACAATAAAAACAGCAGGGAGGACTTGAAGGACCTGCTATTCTCTATTTCAGCCCAGGTTGTGATAAACAAGGTGTTCGAGTATGTCAAACAGAACAAGAGGCCGGAGCTGGTGAAGTGTCTGGAGGAGGATAGAGATCTGTTGGGTCAGAATATCCTCACCCCCGAAATGTACACACGTGACTCGACCCTCTTCGATAACTCGGTGAAGGACGCGCTGAGCATGGAGGACCTGAGGGAGCTGGTTAGGTCCAGGTTCAATTCCTGGAAGCACTACGTCGCGTCCAAGTTCAAAAACATACCAATGGAGCTGCTCGAGAACGAGATCGAGATTATGCTCGATAAGTTCCAGTCATACATACACGACCTGGCCGAGAAACAGTGCACGGGCGAAACCGACAAGATAAGTGAGAAGATAGAGGAAGTTAGAAGAAGCATGGAAGACGACGGGGGCAACAGCGAGAGTTGCGCCGTGTCCAAGGAGTCGCTGAAACAGATTACGAAACTGCTCAGCCCTCAGGCCGGCAACACGTTCGATCTGCTATTCATGAAACTCTCCAAGATGACCGAGGATCAAAAGACGACGGTGAAAAGCCTGAAGTTCAAATACATCGACGTGGTTCGGAGGTGCATCGACTCGCAGCAGCTGATCAACTGGATCCTGTCGGACCCGGAGACGGCGGCGGAGGTGATCCTGGAGCACACTGGCTTGCCCGGGAAGAGGCCGGACAACGTTCCGGACTTCGCCGCCATGAGCCTAGACAGGAAGAAGGACTATTTCACGGAGCGACTGAGCGAAATGAACCGGGTGTTCATGCGGACGCTGCCGAAGAAAGCTCTCACGGGTGACGAGTGGCTCGTGATGCTCTATCGGCTGGAGCAGCTCGAGGATTCGCTGAAGGACACCTTCGCCAAGGTCCCGCCGCCGGCGAGGCAGAGCGCGCAGACGCAAGCCGCCAGCGAGGCGGAGATATTGGCGGCCAAGGGCCTGAGCAAGATCATCGGCAAGGCGAACGCCGTGCGGGCCCCCAAGAAGCCCAGCGTCGAACCGAAACCCGCCAAGAAGGAAGAGAAGCCGGCCGAAGGGGCCGACATCAAAGAGACTCCGAAGGACGACAAGGACGATAGACGGAGCAAGAACGAGGCGCTGCTGGCCAAGTGCGAGGCGATCCTCACGTCCAAGGGCGAGAAGGGCCTCCTCGACAGCTTCTACACGATCAAGTCGTACATCACGCAGGGCCTTCCCGTGCCTGAGACGTACAAGAAGCACGTGATCTCGATATGCTCCAGCATCGATGCGAAGCTGCTCGACGAGGGCATCGCGGAGACGCTGCGGCTGCGGCCCGACGGGGAGGCGGAGCCGGGGGCGGGCGCGGAAGCGGATGCCGGAGCGGAGACGGGGGCGGGGGCGGACGCTCAGAGCCCCGAGATGCTGGCGAAGTACTCGGCGCAGGCGCTGAGGAGCGCCAAGCACACGCTGAACGCGGTCGCCTTCAGGGGCGCGACGAGGAACGGCGCGAGCAGGTCCGAGAGCGACGCGTGCGACACGCCGCGGAGCGAGTGCAAGTGGACGAGCGACTGCGCGTGCAGCTCGTGCCGCGAGCCGGGCGCCCCCGAGGGGGCGAGGCAGCCGCGCCGCCCCGACCCCCCGGGGGGCGTGGACGACGCGAGGCGCCAGGAGCCCCCCAGGCAGCCGAAGCAGCCGCCCAAGCAGAAGCCGCCGGCGAAGGTGTGCGACAACGCGGCCCATCAGCAGCACGTGTGCAAAGGTAAGAGCTGATAGCTAGAATCGAAGAAGAGAGAGAGAAAGAGATGTGTTAACCGCCGCTGGGCCGGAGGATATTTGCAACACCCATAGTATTGCAGATCCGATGCCACTTAATAAAACGAGCCCTGGCTACCTTACTCACGAGATGAAATACAGAAGTATAAAACTTCCACTTCACACAGGTCTTCTATGAGGTGGTGGTATTTCCCTGGACGGACATAATGCGCATGGAGGAACAGTAAAAGGCCGTTGCGTGGCCTTACCACAAAAGGTGTCCACGTGTCATTGTGATGTTCACCCTTCATGCAAAAACTGGGAACACTCGGTAGACCGGTATCGATGAGCATGATGATTGCTGTTGCAGAACTACGAAGCACCTTCTACTGTTTCACGAATATCAGACACCGAATGAGATTGACAACGCGTTTCAATATCCTATCTACAGATAGATTTGGTTACTGGAGATAGAAGTTTGACTTAAGTATTATGGAGCTAATATCAAACAAATATCTTTCGCTAGTAACCGAATCAATCCGTAAATTGAAAACGGCCTGTGGCGATTAGTTTCCACCCTCATTTATGGTGTTCAGCAATTTCGATCTCCGATTTGTATTTTCTGTTGCCCAGCGGTGGGCCACGGGGGGGGGAACGCGTGCGCCGGTGTCGGCGTCGGCGACCCGTCGTCTGACCAGCCCTGTTCCTGTTGCTACTGCACAGTCTTCGGCCACGCGGTGAGTGCCTACAATGGTTCCGGATTGGCGGGGCGTGTCAGTCTTATGCAGGGGTGCCCAACCTTTTTTTGACCTGGGACCAATTTGGTCAGTGGTTCCGGTTTCGTCCAACGTGTCCGTCTAACGCAAGCGTGCCCAACCTTTTTTTTGATCGGGGACTAATTCACTGTCCTTATTAGTCCACAAGTTAAAATTGAGAAAGGAACCAATCTAACAATGATCTGTTATCTAAGCGGTTAACATAAGTAATCGTAAAATTCCATAAATCAATAATGATTTATAGAATTTTACGATTTCAGGTTTTTTTTTTTATGTTAGAAGTTGTGAGCTGGTGGTTCAGCTGATCTTTAGTGATAACCACCTCTCTTGCAACACCCGTAGATTGCAGATTCGTTGATACATTTTAATAAAGTGGGCCCCCGGCTACCTCGCTCACCAGACGAAACGCAGAAGTATAAACTTCTACTGCGCGCCGGTCTTCTGTGAGGTCGTTGTACTTACCCGGACCGAATTGCCCATTCGTGCAACAGCGAAGACTGTTGCATGGCGTACTGGTACAGAATAATGACATTTTTGAGCCTGCATTTTCGGATTGACAGGCAGTTTATAAATTGTTGCGGTAATTCTCTAGCCGAAAGCTAAACACACAGCGTCTCTTACTTTCTACTACTAGACTATAGTATTTCTGTATTGTTAACTCCTCATTTTTTTATTTCAAAAACTTTTTGTCTTTATTAGATCAAATAACAAAAATCAATCATGTAGCCCTAAGCCAATGTCAGACGATGACAAAGTTTCGCGGGCTTGTTTTTTTAAATATCTATGTCCATTGCGATTTCTAACAAACTGCAAGCACTCACTATATTTTTTTTGTGTGAAAAGATGACAAACGAGCCGGCGGTTCACCTGATGTTAAGTGATAACCACCGCCCATAGGCATTTGCAACATCCGTAGGGTTGCAGATGCGTTGCCACCTACATATAGATAAATAGCTCACTGAACACCGTCTCATCTCGTGTAACAATGAATTTTAACAGTTCTTTGATTTTAAAATTTGTAGAAAAAAACGAAAAGTTTCTCGCCGCTGTGAGAATCAAACCCACGTCTTCGGGATTCCCGCCATGACGCTCTAACCACTAACCTAAACGGCTGATTGCCACACCGACGAAATTCTCAACGTTTTTTATCTACATTGTATTGTAGCATTTTAAGCAATGAATCAGTTCTTTGATTGTTAAATGAGTTTTATCTAAGGTCCTAAGTTTTCGACATCTGCAAGGGCCAAATGAGTGCCATAAGTATAATTGTTTCGTGTCTGCTCGTGTGTTTTTGCGCTATGTGCATATATATTTAAAATAAATTGTCAATTTTATTGTCACATTCTACTAAAGTGGGCCTCGGTTACCTCAATAATAACCAAAGGCACCGAATAGAGATTCAACCTTACGATATTGGTAAACCGTTTTAAGCTGTGATAGCTCATTGTCCGGGCGCTCGCTCTCAATTAAATATACTCGAGCAACCTGAGTTCGATCCCCGGTGCCGGCACCAAAACGATATTCTTTATTTTAAGTGCTGAATTTTCACGTGCTTAGCGGTGAACGAAAACATTACGAGGAAACCTGCTTATTTTCAGAATAATAACATAAAAAAATTATGCGTGAAGTCCGCCAATCCGCAAAGTGGTCGCGTGGTGTACTATGCCTTTATACCCTCTGTACAGAGAAGGCCTTTGCCCAGCAGAGGGACATTTATAGGCTGGTACTCCACTAAACCGGTTTCATTCACACGTTCGATTATCGAGCTCCAAAGGCCGGTGTCAATATTCTATCTATCTGTAGATTTGGTTACTAGCGATAGGTGTCCGACATTTTTTATAATTTCACACGGACGAACGCCCAGATGCGAAACAACTATCTGTTGGTGACACAAATAGTTGTCCCGCGTGGCAATCGAACCCACGACCCCGGATGCCGAAGCCAATACCTTGGCAGCTGCGTTATGGAAGACATTGGCTATATAATGCTTACGTCAACTGTCGTGGGGCCACGCAGCAGCCTCGGCTGTTGCACGAGTGGGCAGGCTCGTCTGGGTAAGTACCACGGCCTAACAGAAGACCGGCATCAAGTGGAAGTATACTTTCGCGTTTCGTCTGGTGAGTGAAGTAGCCGGAGACCAACTTTCAAAATGCTGTCCACGCATCTGCAACCCTCGGGTGTAGCTGATGTCCATGGGCGGCGGTATTCACTTAACATCAGGTGAACCGCCTACTCGCTTGGCAACATTCCATTACCGAGACCCATACGTCAAAATTCTATCTCCAGTAACCAAATCTGCAGATGGATAGATCAAATATTGTAACCGTAAGCCCATTACCGACACCCATTTTGGTGTTTCTCTGTTACCGATCGCCCGCAGCCGCCACTGACCACGCCCGTGCCGAGGAATTTCAACGAGACGCGCGAGCGGCTGAGGTCTATACTGAACAAGAAGAAGCTGAAATGCAAAACGGCCAACGTGAGATATTTCCAATGATTACAAATTGTAAATTTTTCTTTGTAGACGAATGAACAATACTTTCCGCGCGACGGGATTCGAACCTGAGTCTTACGTTTCGCGCCTAACTCCCTACCGACTAAAGCCCGGTTCCTATATTCAACGAACGGCCGTTAGTTACATTGTCATTATGAAGTCGTTACAACGAGTCGTTATGAAAGTTACGAAGTTATTTAACTAACGGCCGTTTTTTGAATAGAGGAACCGGGCATGAGTCCAGCGGCCGATGAGATCACGACGCGAAAATCTTGAGATCTATCTTCTATTGCATTTTTAGCAATGCTTGGCGCCATCTAGTGTGCATCCTTTGCAGCATATAATACTTTACAAAGAACATTCAGCGATAAACATTTACACACATCCTTTACAGCATACAACACTTTACAAATAATATTAAAACATTAACATTTGTAACGAGAGTTTGTTTCTTTAAAAAAAAAATAAGGAATAAGTTTTGTTATATATTTTTTATAATATAGCCATCATTTACGCTCACTACATGGCGCCAAGCTTAGTTAAAATGCAATAGAAAGAACGTGAGATGTCGATTTATTCGCGCCGTGAAATGATCGACCGCTAAGCTTAGTTTGTAAAGCGTCTGGGCGCGAAACCATAATACCCAGGTTCGAATCCCGGAGCGTCGAAAGTTTTTGTATATTCATCTACAAAAAATTTACAATTTAAAATTTCATCTTGAGTGCAGAGACTAGCACTAAAAATAAAATTTTAAAATTTCATGATTGTGTGATACATAATCGGATATATGGCGCCGTTGGTAAAGCTTCGCTGTCTGGGGGGTCGTGGGTTCGATTCCCACACGGAACACAAGTGACACAATCTGTGTGAACCACATAATAATTTTTCCGGATCTAGATGTTTGTCTCCCAAGGAGGCGGCCGGTCGTAAAAACTTGCAAAATCGCTTAAAACACGATTCACGTGTTGTTCCGACCCCACTTATGTGGGATAAGGGCAGGGCGATGGGGATCATGCATAATCGGATCTATTACAGGGAGTGCATCATGGAAGTGTTCGGAGTGATACCCGCTGCGGAATTTCACTATCGTACACATTTATTCATTTATGAAAGGATGAACCACGAATTTACATTTAATTCGTTATAACCACTTATATTATAATTAACTCAATTCACTAGCTCGGAGCAACTCAAGACAACCTGTTACGTCTATCACATCTAGATGGCAGCCGACAAGGGAACAGACTTTTAAATTGCTGTCGGTGTTGCCACCATAAACCAATAGAAATACTCTAGATCAGTGTTGCCTAGTAAAATATTAATAACCCATTTCTTGTGTATACTAACATTTACATATCGCCAATAATCACTGTACCGTTTCAAGTAACATTTGTTTAACTGTGGTAGAGCTACGAAACAGTCTTTTTTTAAAAATGTTTCCCTTATTTTTAGGACACTATCATGTGTTGTAAGAACGTTATACAAACATAAATTCCACGCGGACAAACACCCAGATGCGAAACAACGATCTGTGGGTCGCACTAATAGTTGTCCCGTGTGGGAATCGAACCCACGACACCCGACGCCGAAGCCGATACCTCGGCAACTGCGCCTCAGAGTCATCAAAAAGTCTTCTCTGTTGCACGAATGGGCAGGTCCGTCCGGGTGAGTACCACGACCTAGCGGAAAATCGGCGAGAATTGGAAGTGTTACAATTCTGCGTCTGGTGAGCGAGGTGGCAGGGGCCGACTGTATTATAAGGTGGCAACGCATCTGCAACCCCCTACAGGTGTTGCAAATTCAATGGGGAGCGGGTACCACTTAACATCTGGTGAACCGCCAGCTCGTTTGCCATAAAAAATCGGAATTGTCTACTATACGCTTTGTGAAACCAGTTGTCGCCAGCGGCATTTCCGGAGTGATACCACTTCGAGAAGAGACTCCACTCCTACTATATACTACGAATATCGACAACGCATTTGTGACTCCTCCGATGTTACAAAATATGTCCATGGAAGGCGGTGGTCGCTTACAATCGGGCGGCCCCCTAGCTCGGTTTTGAAGCCTTTGTTCAAAAAAAGAAAATAAGTGCGTGTAACGTATACACGCGGTTGAAGTAAAATTATTATTATTAATGTGTTAACTATTAACATACTATTAATATTTTTTTTCTGATCATGCATAATTATACGTAATTTAAATTATTTCATTGATTATTGATGTATTATTTAATTAGTATATTTTTTTTTATTTTATTTGTACAGTTTAGACATACACATACATACATACATACGGAGTAAATATTTAAAAATCGTACTGTCTTGTCCCTTTAGTCGCGTCTAAAGAAAGTTTCACTTCAAAAAACATCACAATGTTTCTGAACACGCTTACCGACTATGTTTAACTGCAACTGAGAGGATTTTTTAATTTTTTACACAACGCTTTTTAGTCCCAAACTAAGCAAACTAGATAACTGACAAACATACTCTTCATTTGAAAATGAATGCATATATATTATAGGTAAATATACATATATTAACATCTACACAAGATTTTTACAGTAGTTTGGTTGGGGACCGAACCCACGCCCCCTGGCGCGAGAGGCAGGGTCACCAACCATTAGGCCAGTCGGATCGTCGAGTTTATGCCGGGTGTAGGTGAATTGTAGCATTTTTGTGCAGGGCGAAACGCAGGAACCGGAGAAGCGGCAGCCGGTAGAGCAACCGACGAAGCAAGCGAAGCCGCCGGTAAGCTATCAACTGTTAACAGGCTTTTTTTTCTCAACACATGTCTAACGCTACTTGCCAATAATCATAAAAAAATATAAATCGTCAAAAAACCCAATATTTAAAAAAATTCAAACAAACGAATTAAACAAAAAAGAAACAAAATTTGTAACAAATGTTGTGGTTTGGAGATTTTCATTCGTTTCCACATCGTCGCATTACGAGTCTCTTCTTCTAACAGTATGTTTTATCTCTTTTAAATTCATTCAACCCATTCATATGCTTTGTGACCTTTACAAATTAACTTTACGTTACAGTTTTATATTTAAGGGTTTTCTAAAATTATTTGTTTTGGTAAATTTAATAACTCTGTAAATATTGACGTTTAAAGAAAGTAAATGTTTAATACAATTTTAAAAGGTATATAATTATATGTGTTGATTTACGGTCGCGTTAGTAGCGCCACGCTGTATATTCTTTTATTGTTAACATAACTGTGGTATTTGTTGAAACTATATAAAATACTCATTCAATCAATCATTTATTCATTCGCTCTCTATTCCAGGCGCTGCCGAAGACCCTGCCGCCAAGCACACCGTGCCGGCCCTCCGGCGAGTTGGCCGACCGCATGGCCAAGATGACCGTCTCCGACAAACCCAAGGTGAGCAGCCAACCGTCGTGCTGCCACGCAGCGGCCTTCGCTCTTGCACGAATGGGCAGGTCCGTCCGGGGAAGTACCGCGATCTCACAGGAGACCGGCGTGATGTGGAAGTGTTACACTTCTGCGTTTCGTCTGGCGAGTGAGGTAGCCACTTTATTAAAAGGTGGCAACGCATTTGCAACCCTATGGGTGTTGCCAAAGTCACATCACTTAATCACTTAAAATCAGGTGAAACGCCAGCTCGTTTGCCACATTTAAAAAAAAACGCATCTGCAACCATACGGGTGTTACATCGGGTGAATCGCCAGTTCGCTCGCCACCTTCTCACATAAAAGAAAAACAACAGCCATCATATTACCAAGCTCGACGGTAAACGGTCACCGTCCCGTAGATATTGGACGCACAAAACTTCTGCGGTAGGGCCACGTGGCAGTTTCTCCCCTTTTATACAGCGTGTCGTTACCATCGCGACAATAAATGAACACACGTCTAACGCTACTTGCCAATAATCATAAAAAAAATATTAACGTTAAAGAAAATCCATAATTAAAAAAAATGTTTTTCAAACAAACTAATTAAGTAAAAAAGAAACAAAATTTGTAACATCCTATACAACTCGCGCCATAGCGTTGCATTACAAGCCTCTCCTTCTAACAGTATGTTTTGTCTCTTTTAAATTCATTCAACCCATTCATATGCTTTGTGACCTTTACAAATGAACTTTACGTTACGCTTTTATAGGTAAGGATGTTCTAAAATTCTTTGTTTTGGAAAATTTAATTACTCTGTAAATATTGATGCTTAAAGAATTTAAATGTTTAATACAACTTTAAAAAGTTATCCCCTATATGTGTGTTCATTTATTGTCGCGATGGTAACGACACGCTGTATAGTGGCGCGAAGGTTATCACATTAATTTCAATAATAAGTGAAGATGAAAAAAATATAGTATTTCATCACTATATAGCATAAAACAAAGTCGTCCCGCTGTCTGTCTCTCCCTATGTATGCTTAGATTTTTAAATCTACGCAACGGATCTTGATGCCGTTTTTTTACTTGATAGAGTGTTTCAAGTTTATATGTATAATACATAGCACCATAAAATAAAAGAAACAAGGTTTTCGATCAAAACAAATTTAATCATGGTGAAATAGACGTGAATTGGAAAATCATTACATGATCCATAAACGCAAATGACAGAAAGTGTATGTATTCTTTCTTGTTATTAGCAGATCATTCTGCGGGCAGTACCGCTGCCTGCCGTCCGCCCCCCAGGCCTGAGGGCAGTGGGGAGGGTCAACCCCAACGCGATGGAGCTAATTAGATTGCAGGTATGGTAGGGTGTGGTAGGCGTGTGGCAGGTGCGGTAGGCGTGTGGCAGGGCCACGCAACAGTCTTGGTTGTTGCACTATGGGGGAAGCTCCGTCCGGGGAAGTATCTCGACCTCACAGAAGACCGGCGTGGAGTGGAAACGAAACGCAGAATACACTTCTGCGTTTCGTCTGGAGGGTGAGGTACCCGAGCGAGCACACTTTATGAAAAGGTGGCAACGCATCTGCAACCCTACGTGTGTTGCAAATGTTCATGGCCGTCGTTTATCACTTAATATAAAGTGCGCTTACCACCTCTCATAAAAGTTAACTACACCTTACCTAAACAGAATTGTATGACTATAACCTGACCAAAATTATATTTACAATAAGTATTTTGCAGTTTATTTAAAGCTTTTTAAAATTCCTTTATTAAATTAGTAACACACGGATAAAGAAATACCACCAATGAAAAATTCCGTATTATTAATTTACATATTCGACATATAAAAACAAAATGTGTTACATTCACATTTATGTTTTTGAATTTGTCATGCGTTCCTTGCTTACAAAAGAATTTTTTGCATTTTGAAAATTAAATTCAAAAATATGCCATACCTCCTGTATTCTATGCAAAATTAGCAGGGCAGCAGTAACGTTTAAAGAGGTTGAATGTGTGAGTGCAGTGACTAGTGAATTGACGATTCTAGCGTTCATTTCGACTCCTTTTTTTTAGAGTGCATACGGGATTGATTCAAATAACAAATTGTACTCTTTTACGCTTTTAAAAATTCACTCAAAAAATATCCCTATACAAACAGTTTTATTTGGCACTAAGCGTTTTCGAGAGAACTTTAAATAGATTTTTTAAAAAAATGCGAAATACTTATTGTAAATGGAATTTTTAATTATAACATATTTTTGGGGTGTAATAGATAGTACCCGGAGGACCAGGAGGTTTCTTTTTTTGGTAAATCGTGTGTTTTGGAAATTACATTTAGACCGACTGCGCGCAATGCACATTTCAGTGTGCTGGATTGGTAAAGAAACAAGAATGTCGTGAAGACAGAAAGAACACTGTTTATTTTCAGACGTTTGTACAAGTTTTTTCTTATACAATAAAACGTTCTTCTAGTGGCTGCAGGCTCCTCCTCTTCCAGGCTGCAGGGCTTCTTTCTTGCTGACTTCTTCTAGTTGCTTGTTCCACTGGTAGATCTTGATGCTCGTCGACTGCGATGATGCCCCGAAATGCCGCTATATTTATGTGATCCTGTGGGAATTAATTCCTGCTCTCTGATTGGTTGTCGTATTGGTATCCAATCAGAGAGCTTACATTTTTTCTTTGGCACCCTCTTGGTGCGTTACCTTAAAGAATTCGAGGTCTTATGACTATATTACAAATAATTAAATTTAATTAATTACGATAACACTATGAAAATACACTTTTTCCCTAATTATTTTATCGTACTAATTTTACAACATATGTGTTAATAGTCATATAAAACCAGTTAAACAATTAAAATCTTATAGTATTTCATTATACAGACATTTTTATAGGCAATCTAAAATAAGCAAGTTTTAAGCAAAGTTTTAAGCAAAGTTTTAAGCAATTATTTCGACTTACGTTACATGAATCAAACAGTAAACCACTTATACAAACACTATTAAAACTAAGTAATCCCGCACACCGACTATGAACTGATGTTTTTCACAAAAGAAAGAACTTTAAAAAAAAAAGGGAAAAAAATAACAAAATAAGAAATCGAAAAAAAAATTAAAAATAAAGAAAGCAATGATCTGGAATCGAAAAAAAAGTAAAAAAATAAATGTGTAAATGATCGTGACGCGAACCACGGCCGTCTGTTTTGGGGCCGCCCGATTACCGACTGAGCTATTATGACATTTTCTCTTGCGGCGAAATTTATCGTCATATTCGAATTATATTTTTCATTCCCTGAAAACAGAGATAAAAGGACATTTTCTAAAAATGAAACCTAGCTAGATCAATTTTTCGCCCCCTCTATCTATGCACATACTAAATTTCATGAAAATCGCTGCAGCCGTTTCCGAGATTCCGATTATATATATATATATATATAATCGGAATTCCGATTATATATATATATAATCGGAATCTTGTATATATATATATATATATATATATATATATACAAGAATTGCTCATTTAAAGGATAAGATTAAGGTATATTATTAACCAATTTTTCAAGTTTAGTGAACTAGCCTATTCTCTGCGTTGCTCTAAATTTTATTTGGTTGAAAAACACCAATTGACGAGCAATGCTATGATCCACAGCAATAAGATCCTTCTAAAGATTTACTTACTGACTCTTTTCCACATAAACGATGAAATAGTTAAGTTACAACACAGGACTGTTTTTATTAAATCATGGATTGTGTTACGTTTTCGCAGCAACTGAAGCAACAGCAGCTCCAACAGCAGCATATGCAGCAACAACAGAAAAAACCCGAACCGATATACGATCTTCCCATACACAATAAGCCGAGACTCACGCCGCAGCAAGAGAAAAGGATTCAACAACAAATGCAAATACAACAGCAGCAGATACATCATCAACAACAACAGCAAATATTACAACAGCAGCAGATACAGGAGCAGCTGCAACAACAACATATAGAACAGCAACAACAACATTTGGAGCAGCAACGACAACATATGGAGCAGCGACAACAATTGCAGCAACAACAGATGCAAGAGCAACAACAGCTGCAAAAGCAACAACAGCTGCAACAGCAACAACAGTTACAGCAACAGCAGCAATTTATACAGCAACAACCACAGCAAACGCAACAACCTCTAAAGGCGCAACAGCAGCAAAATTCTCAACAACAATCGCAACAACAACAGCAAAGCCAACATTTACAGCAGCAGCAGCATAAGCAACAGCAGCAACTAATACAGCAGCAAAAATTGCAGAAGCAACAGCTACTTAAGTCACAGCAGCAGGAACAGCAGCAATTAATGCAACAGCAACAACAACAGCAGCACCAACTTATACAGCAAAGGCAACAGCAGCTAAGACAAGAGCATGAACAACAATTACAACAACAACAATTACAACAGCAGCAACAACAAGAATTACAACAGCAGCAACAGCAACACTTACAGCCACAGCAGAAGCAACAGCCGCCGCAACAGTTACAGCAACAACAGCAGCCACAACTCTTACAGCAGCAGCAGAAGCAACAACAGCAGCCGCAACAGTCTCAGCAGCAGCAGATGCAACAACAGCAACACATACAGCCGCAGCAGAAGCAACAACCGCCGCAACAGGTACAGCAACAACAGCAGCTTCAAAAGTTACAGCAACAGCCGCCGCAACAGTTACAGCAACAGCCGCCGCAACAGTTACAGCAACTACAGCAGCCACAACAATTACAGCAAAAGCAGCAGCAGAAGCCACAACAGCAGCCTCAACAGTTACAGCAACAACAGCAGCAGAAGCAACATCAACAACCGCAACAGTTACAGCAACAACAGCAGCCACAACAGCAGCCTCAAAAGTTACAACAACAACAGTTACAGCAACAACAGCAGCCGCAACAGTTACAGCAACAGCTTAAACAACGGCAACAACAGCAGCAGCAACAACAATTACAGCAGCCACAGCAACAGCAGCATCATCTTAAGCAACAGCAGCAACAGTTACAGCAACAACAGCAGCTTAAGCAACAACAACAACAGAGGCATCTACAACAGCAGCAACAACAACAGCCACAGTTACAGCAGCAGCAGCTTAAGCAACAGCAGCAACAGTTACAACAACAACAACAGCTTAAACAACAACAACAGAAACCACAACAGCAACAGTTGCAGCAACAACAACAGCAAAGACAAGGACGGCCACAACAACAACGTAACGCCGTCTCCCTTTCCAGTAGGGACACAAGTGTTTTCTCAACGTCTTCTGGATATTCCGGGTATGTTTTTTTCATTGCTATATATAGGCCTAGCCAGTCAATCGTGGGTTTGATTCCCAGACGAATTCTATATCGTTTCAAACAGATTTGTAAAGTCCTTCGGGCGTATAATTATTATCTATGAATGTATGTTAAGCCTAATGGTCGCTTATATTAAAACGGATTTTAACATAAGCGGTGAATCAGATTCTTCAAAGGTGTGGGAATGACGCATAACTGTGTTAAATAATAATATTTAATTCATCCAAACAGTTATTATAATAGTGTATCTTAATTAATACTATTCGGTGGCGCAGTTGGTAAGCGATTGGCTTCGGTGTCGGGGTTCGAGAGTTCGATTCACACACTGGAACTGAACTTATAAGCGGCTGTAAAAACACATAGCCGATAGATAAAATTAACATAATACTACATATGTCGACCCCACCCAGGCGGTATTGGGCCAGGACCGTAAAGTAAAGTTAAGTAACAGCATATTATAGTCTCACTGTTAGGCAAAGGGGTCCTCTGTGCAGAGGGCATTAGGGCATCGTCCACTACGCGACCCCACTGCGGTTTGGGGGTTCCAATAATTAAAAAAAACTCGACTGCGTGTCTGTGTAACTTTTTATTTTGACATACCCAGTGTCACTCTCATAGTAAATACGAATCTAACGACACCTCTCAAGCTAAAATCCATCGAGCCGTTCAGGCTGCAGTGCGTGCCAAACAATTATAAATACATACATACTCTCGAAAAACATAACCCTCCTTCTGGCGCAGTCGGGTCGGCGCAGGACGTCTTCCTTCACCGCTGAGCTCATAATTCAGCACTTAAAGTCAATTTCATTGTTTGTTGAAGTATATTGTAAAGCGGTAGAGGCACGCAACTGTGTTCACTGTTGCACGAACGGGCAGGTCAGTCCGGATAACTACCACGACCTCACAGAAGACCGGCGTAAAGTGGAAGCATAATACGAGTACTTTCGCGTTTCGTCCGGTGTGTGAGGTAGCCAGAGCCCAATTTTCGAAAGGTTGTCAACGCATCTGGAACCCTCGGGAGTAGCAGATGTCCATGGGCGGCGGTATTCACTTAACATCAGGTGAACCGTCTGTTCGCTTGGCAACTTTTAACATACGCGTCATCCGCAGGGGCTCGTTCTGGCGCGGCGCCCGCACGGAGGACCCCCGAGACCTGGACGCCCTGCTGCAGTACATCGAGGGCCCGCCCCGGCACGTGGACCGCAGCAAGAAGCGCGCCAAGAAGCAGCGGCAGCGCGCCAAGAAGGCGAGTCGACACCTTCTTGCTTCTAGTTTTATATATTTTTTTTATTATTCATATTTGTAGAAAAAGTACGAAAACATTATCACCGCTGTGGGAGTCGAACCGGCGTCTTCGGTATTCGCGACCTGACGCTTTAGCCACTTTAGCTTAACGTCTTTTATCTACATTGTTTTTAGCATAATTTTTTTTTAAATAATATATATATAATATTTTAAACAATTGTTATTTATGGAACTGCTTTTTTATTATTAAATCGCGTGAACCGAAGAAACGATCGATATATAGAATTGCTAGTATCGATATATCGGGCCGCAGATGGAGATGCGGCTGCTGGAGCAGCAGGAGGCGCTCGTGTGCGAGGTGAGCTACCTGATGGGGCGCGCGGCGAGCCTCGAGGTGACGCTGGCGGACGCGACGCGCGGCGTGCAGGAGGCGAGGCAGGCGCTCGCCCCGTACCGCGCCAAGCGCAAGGGTCAGTACGCAAACAGCATGGGGGGCCAGAGCCGACCGCACTTCCGCCGCTGTGTCGAAGACGATGTTGTCCTCGCGTTATACACCGCGTGTAACGCCGTACACCCGCAAGTGCCGCTACCGCGGTCAGGGAAAGGGATGGCCGATGGCCATCCTCACCACCGACCAGCCGATTCACGATTCACTGGCCGAGATACACGCCCGAGTAATGGGGACAGGGCCCCGAGACTCGCTTAAAAGCAGGCCTCGCGCCAGCTTCGTACATCACGCAAACAGCAGTGGGGATAGCACGCCACCTTGCGGAACACCAGCTACCGTATCGCGCTAAGCGCAAGGGTCAGTGCGCAAATAGCAGTGGGGATAGGACCCCACCTTGCGGAACCCCAGCTGTCTGACCGCGCCAAGCGCAAGGGTCAGTACTGCGCCCCTTCTCTTTTCTGTCTGTGTTAGGGCGACCAAGGGGATCCTTGAGTGATGGATCCCCTTGGTCGAAATATTCCCACACGGTAGAAGTATTTGTGTGACCCACAGATAATTGTTTCGTATTTGGGTGTTTGTCCACGTGGAATTTATGTTTGTAAAAACGCTCTTACACAGGATAACGTTATCCTAAAGGTATTATAGGGTTATTTAAAAAAAGTTGTGGGACATGTATAAGCTATTACTATACTTTTTATAATGCACTGCTATCTCACCTGGTGGTAAGCGGTGAAACCGTAGACGGTAAACATGCGGGATCACACGAGTCGTACACGTATTAATAAATCAGTGTGGACATTTCATCTTTTATATCCCCAATAGCAAAGCGGCTGGACCGATTTTGATGAAATTTTCACGCAATCTTCAGATGAGCAGCGGGTGATTCTGAAAGGTTTGATAGCGATCGAATAAAATATTTTTTTTTGTTTGGATAATTAGTGCTAGCCTTGTGTGTATTACAATGGCAACTTATACGACACAATAATTTATCGTCGGGTAAAAAAAACCACACTGAATCAAAGCCTCTACTGGGAAAGAATTGTAATAAGTGTCATATTCTACCGGCGATTCTTTGCTTTCGTCAAACTTCAGACAAAAATTACAAAGGTAACGCACACGATACTTTTAACACACGATGATTGATCTTGTATAACTGTTAAAAAAATGCATGCAAATAATTAATTAAAATAAAATAATAAAAAGACTGGAGGAGGATGTAAATTATATAAGATTATGAAAGCGTCATCTACATATTTTATTCGGAACTGTAACGTGCGAATGTGATTGAGAATATGCTGTCATCTATAAAAAAATAAGCGGTTTAGCGGGCAGCTTCAAAGGAGTTACTTTTGTGTTACAGTAATGCCCGCGCATCTTAAAATTTCACTCTCATCGTTTTTTCATAACGCGCCTAAAATGTAACTTCAAAAATACAGGTGTATTGATTAGCTAATCAGAAACGGTTCGGTCGTAGTAGAGCAAGTAGAGTCTACTACGACTCAACGGTAATAAGTGTCATATTTAATCCGTGTTACTGATTCGAATTTTTTTCCAACTTCAGGCAAGAAGCAGAACCAGAATCCGGCGATGCAGGCGAAGGTGCAGCTACTAGCGAGGCAGCTCGCCAACATGAACCCATTCATCGCCACCACCGCCAAGGTAGATAAATGGTTCGGATGAACGCCGTCTCACGGCTCGTGGTAGATTACCACACGTTGGGAGCGGTAACCCCATCGTTTCTGACCAAACTACTCGTCATTCAAAATCGTTCGTTAGCTCGTTCGTACGACATTTTTGGAGCGAGTGGTTGTGCAGTGGTAAGTCTACCATAAATTGAGCTCCTGATTGGAAATAACTTGATTAATTGTGACCTCACAATTATAAAAACCCTATGGGTATTGCAACTGTCGATGGACGGCGGTTATCACTTAACATCTAGTTACCCGCCAGCTTCCTTGCCGCCTTCTAACATAAAAAAAGCACCTCAAAAGTATAATAGTTCTTCAACACTTTGGTATTCGGCCAGGCAGTGGTACTCTCTCGAGCGAACCTGCAACAGTCTAAGGTAAATAACTGACAAAGCCGACTCTCGTCCGCAGGAGCTGCAGGCAGCCAAGCGGCAGGAGGAGGAGGCCCGCGAGCGACTGCGCCAGTGCAAGCGCGAGCTGGCCGAGGTGCGGGCCGCTCAGCGGGCCCTCGACCAGCAGCCGGAAAAAGTGGGTGTCCCAGATGTACCAGCGCCACGATACTCGCGTCTATATGGCGTCCGCGGTGTCATTGTCACACCGCCATCGTGACACACCCACACGCTGACACTATGCCACGCACACACCACTATCAGCAGACGGACCAAGTGGGTGTACCAGCCATACCGATGGTGGTAGCGCCACGCAGCAGCCTCGGCTGTTGCACGAATGGGCAGGCTCGTACGGCTAAGTATCCAATTTAAATTCCAATTTTGGGCTAAGTGCCCAATTTTCAAAAGGTTGTCAACACATCTGGAACAATCGGGTGCAGCAGATGTTCATAGGCGGTGGTACTCACTTAACATCAGGTGATGAACCGTCTGCTCGCTTGGCAACAATTCACAATGCCACAACCACAACACTATAATAGCACTTCCAGGATCCACCCACAATACAATCACATCGCCATTACGACACGTCTACAAAACGCTATGCCACATTCACACTTTTTGCTTTGTGTGTACGGTCAAACTTGAATTATTACATAATTTTCTCTTCAGTTTGTTCACCTATTTCTTCGTTACGTATTTTGATTATTTTTCCTGATTATTTGCAATAATAACGTATTGTACTGTGACCACAAAATATTATATTTAATGTTAACTAGATTTCTGGGTATTTCTGTACTTACATTAATAATGCATAAATAATTTTTGATTAACATAATTTTAGTCTTAATGTAACTAGTATCATGTATATGGTCTTGTTTATAAGGATGCTCATGACTTTGATTTCATCCTGTATTGTTATCATTGTTATGTCATTCACATTATCGAATTATAAAGAGAGAAAAAAATAAACAGTTACTTTTATTTATTTTATTGAAAACTTTTTGCACAATATCATATAATGGCTGTCATAGCAGTCAATGGACAAATTAAACACACATATAACAACTTTTGCCTCGAGTACTTTTACATAATCACTTTTAAACATTACCCTAATTGTAGGATAACATCCTGTGCTGTAAAGGACGTTTACATACATAAATGTCACGTGGACAAATACCCATATCGGAAACAATTATATGCGGGTAACACAAATAGTCGTACCATGCGGGAATCGAACCGACAACCCCCGGCTTAGAAGCCAATGCCTTGACAACTACGCCTCGGAGTCATCTGAATACTGTTCTAAATTCGTAAACGACTCGTATTCACGAACGCTTGCAGCAGGAAGACACCAAAGAGGCGGAACCGGAGGTTGAGGAACTGAAGCCGCTGCCACCGCAGCTGCAGCAGCAGCCGCCGCTTCAGCAGAGACAACTGCAGGAAGCCATGGGTGAGTCAGTCCCCAACTTTGCATAATGCATTTAATAGACCATGTCGTGGAGTTCATGACAGGAACACACTATCATCAAGGGTACACCTAAATATGATTGTGTCCTTGTTAGACCATGGACACTACCAGGAGTTCATAACAAGAATACACTATCATCAAGATATCATCATGGGAGAAGGTGGCTAACGAGCTTGCTGGTACAGCTGATGTTAAGTGATAACCGCAGCCCATTGACATTGGCAACACCCATAGGTTTACGGTTGCATTGCCACCTTTTAATTAAGTGGGGGACGGCACCGGCTTCATCACTCACCAGACGAAATGCAGAAGTATAACACTTTGCTTCACGCCGGTCTTCTGTGAGGTCGTGGTAATTACCTGAACGGACCTGCCCATTCGTGCGATAGCGAAGACTGCTGCGTGGCCCTACCACTGTAAAGACCTTTATTTTTTATATTATCCTGGTGTGTTATTCCTTTGTATCTCTGGAGTGTAAACCGAAAGTAATAAAAAAAGAAATTGTGTACCTACTAGGTACTGCATGAGAATATTGTGCGGTTTTATGAAACCAGAAGGCAAATAAAACTTTTTTTCGGACCCTAGGCATTGAGCGAATATAAATTTTTAATTAAAAAATAATTAATAATTTAAGTTTAATATTAATGCTAAACGGTTAGCCGATGCGAGCCACTTTACCCTCACTCCGCGGCCGGCTGTAATGCGACATGCGATAGATGGACGAAAAAGTTTGATGCGATGGAAAAAAAAGTTTCACATTACTAAAGTACTTTGAAATTCCAGGCATGGTGGGCATGGGCGGAGACGGAGGGGGCGTGGTGCGGGTGAGGCGCGCGGGGGAGGGGGTGACCCTCTCGGTCGTGCCGCTGGCTCGGCTCCAAGGTCGGGCTTCGATTCCCAATGTCGGCTCGAATCGCTGACACCATCGTTACTAGGGCAGAGACGAACGGGTTGACTCGTCCGGAAAACGCAACAATCTTGAATAAGGCCTGGTCATGTATAGGGGCAAACTCAAAAGGACCCAAGTCGCCCCAAAGGGTAGCCGCATTTACAGCGGAATTGTTTTAAAAATGTGTAAATAAATTAAATTAAGCATTTATCGACCCCCCACTAGATGGAGTGACGACCTGTGCAAATGTGGATGGATGCAGGTGGCTCAGGATCGTACTTCGTGGCAGTCTATGGGGGAGGCCTTTGTTCAGCAGTGGACTCAAACAGGCTGAAATGATGATGATGATGAAGCCTTTATACGTTCCACTGCTGGGCAAAAGCCTCCTCCGTACAAAGGGTATCAGGGCATAGTCCACTACGCGACTCCCCTGCGGGTTGGCGGATTTTACATATCTTCGAAAAATTTTTTTTGTTATTATTTCGAAAATATGTAAGGTTTTCAACACGTGATAAACCAGCACTTAAAATTAACAGTTTCATTGATGCCGGAACTGGGGATTGAACTCAGGTTGCTCGAGCATATTGAATTAAAAGCGTGCGCCCGCACAATGAGCTATCGTGGCTCATGTTGATAAAACTGTCCCGAAATCTTCTGCCGCTGTCAGACCTTTTTTGCGACAGTTTTATCTACCCATTGTGAAGTATCATCTTAAGCACAAAGACAGGCACTAAAAAGAAACCAAGAGACATGGGTTCGAACCCCGCAACACCGAAATGTTCATTTATACAGCGTGTCGTTACCATGGCGACAATAAATGAACACACGTCTAACGCTACTTGCCAATAATCATAAAAAAATATTAACGTTAAACAAAACCCATAATTAAAAAAAATATTTTTCAAACAAACTAATTAAGTCAAAAAGGAACAAAATTTGTAACATCCTATACAACTCGCGCCACAGCGTCGCATTATAAGCCTCTCCTTCTAACAGTATGTTTTGTCTCTTTTAAATTCATTCAACCCATTCATAATTATGCTTTGTGACCTTTACAAATGAACTTTACGTTACGCTTTTATAGGTAAGGGTGTTCTAAAATTCTTTGTTTTGGAAAATTTAATAACTCTGTAAATATTGATGTTTAAAGAATTTAAATGTTTAATACAACTTTAAAAAGTTATCCCCTATATGTGTGTTCATTCATTGTCGCGATGGTAACGACACGCTGTATACAAAAATTTACAATTTAAAATAATCTGTCACTGGTCCAATAACATAGACATATACTAAGAAGAACCGGAAAGTATATCTTTTTTTTATTTAAGTATAAAAAATTAGTTAGTATAATATCAGCAGCATCCAGGGCTCTGTAAAATGTAGAACAAGAGTTGTCTCTACTCATCCTTGTCCCCGATGCATTCTTTGAACATTACAATAGGCCTAGGCATAGTAGTTAAGGATTAGCTTTTACAAAATGCTTGTAATTCTATACACAGTTCACGTTGGGTAACTTACCAACTTTCTTAATTCTTATTCGAAATTGTTTGTATGCTGGAAAGGATATAACAATGGATGCGCCTAGCATTGCTTTAAATGCCAAAAAACAATGTAGATTTTCGTCGGTGTGGCAATCAGCCGTTTAGCTTAGTGGTTAAAGCGTCAGGCCGCTAATGCCGAAGACGTAGGTTCGATTCCCACAGCGGCGACAATCTTTTCGTACTTTTTCTACATATTTTCACTATCTTAATCTGTTAGCCGTTGCATTGCAAGTTCCGGTTGGACGTGTTCCAGGTCTGAACGTGGCGGAGGCTCAGGCGCCCCAGCCCGCCCCGAAGCAGGAGCCGCAGAAGAAGCACACGTGGGAGCAGGCGCTCGCGCACATGACCCAGCTCGCCAAGGCCAGCGGCAAGGTCAAGGTACCGCACCCACACATACGAACAAACAAGTGCACGTACAAACACTAGGGCAGACGTACGTAGACGGGCCTAGCAGCCTGCATTAATAGGTTATTTTAATTGAGAATGAGAATGAGCTGGCGGTTCACCTGATGTTAAGTGATAACCGCCTCCTATGGACATTTGCAAATACCCCATAGGGTTATCAAATTTTAATAAAGTGGCCCCAGCAACCACTCACCAGACGAAACGCAGAAGTATAAGAAGAACACTTCTGCTTCACGCTGGTCTTCTGTGAGGTCGCGGTACTCCCCCAGACGGACCTGCCCATTCATGCAACAGTGAAAGCTGTGGCGTGGCCCTACCACATTTGAAATAGATACATTAATAGATACATATTAATACAGTCTAGGTGAGCCCTAAAGACTGCAGGGCTGACCGCACAACTTTAACTGGAATTGATAGTAAGATTATCTCTTTTCAACGCTCAATATTTATCACAGAGATTAAATTTACAACATCATAGATTACTTATTTACCATCTCTACGCATTTTTTTTGTTCAGAAGAAACAAAAGGCGCCGCAACCAGCCAAATCGGAGAAGAAGCAAGCCCCGAAGGAACAGCCAAAAGTCCAGCCACAGCCAGAGCCAGAGCCGGAGCCTGAGCCTGAGCCGGAGCCACCTGCCCTGTCAAAGAAACAGAGGAAACTCCTCGCTAAGCAGCAGGTATCCATTGCAAATCACCATTTCAATTTGAGAATGACATTTGTGATTTTGTAAAGACAGCTACAGCTTTGTGACTTGTTGTTGTGAACATTTGTAATTATTAGTTTTTTGATAAGAAGTAAATTTATTGACTTACCGGTCTGAGTGTGAGTGCGAATCAATGGTTTTAGGTTTGGGGGATGTTCAAGTATTGCATAAGTAGCAAGCTTAAGCTGATATTAAATTTAATCTTACCTTTACTGACAAAAAGATTCCTAAAGAAATTAACATTACATATTTATTATTATTTATTGCTTCAAAATTAGTTTAATAATTATATTAATATATATTATGTCTTTTTTTATACTTTAATATGATTTGATATCGAATCCGTGGGCAATAAACTCTTCATTTTCTGAGGAAATTTTGAAATAACGTAACGTTAAATCCCAAAAATAGTTTACCCTTTTAAATTTATCTTCTTTCGGGAGTCCACAATTTTCTTATCTTTGCCTATGTAGGAAAAGTCGGGTGACGTAATACCCAAACGCACATTAACGTGACATTTGTGAATATTGTTTTATAAAGGCGGAAGAAGAAGAGAGAAAGAAGCAACAGGAGCTGCAGCAAGCGGAGGCAAAGAGGAAAGCGGACAAAAAAGCCGCGGAGACACCGAAATTCGAGACTGCGCCCGCCGTAAGCAAGAAAGCTGAAAAGAAAGCAGAAGCCATCAAGAAGGCAGAGGAGAAAGTGAAAAAGAAGGAGGAGAAGAAGGAGAGCAAGAAGCAGGAGAAGGCCGTCGAAAAGAAAGGAAAGGAGAATAAACAGGAGAAGAATGGTAATTTTTCAAATAGAATTGCGATTGCGTGACAGAAATTATTGTAATTTCAAAGTAAAATGTTCTAACAGGCACATTGGGTGGGAATTTTGGTGGGTTAAAACTTCATAGCGTTTTGTCATTGACTTTATAATTTTTTTTATGATTTAGTTTTCTAACATTTGATCTTTATAAATCAATTTTCTAGTTCTCTATAAAACGATCCGTCTTAGGAAGTACCACGACCTTCCAGGAGACCGGTTTGAAGTAGAAGTGTTGCACTTTTCTACGTATTTTAACATATAAAACTTCATTTTTATACAAATTTTAATATAAAAAAATAATTTTACTTCGAATTCGACGCCGTCACGTCTTTCAGCGACGGCGCCATCGGCGAAACCTAAGCAGGCCAGTCAACAGCAACCGCAGCCCAGCATCAAGAAGGAAAAGAAAAAGGAGCAACCGCAGCAACAGCAGCAACAACAACAACAACAACAACAGCAGAAACCACAGATAATCAACATCACTCCGGACACCACCATAGAGGTTGTTGGGAAGAAGGTAAATTTATACTTCTGCCTGTGTAATTTGGTATAAGAATGCTTGACCCACATCTTTTTAAACTGTCACTGTAGTACTGTTAGCAAATGTAACATCAAGTTTTTTGTTAAATTCACTTTTATATTGTGACCTATATGTGACCTTTTCATTTTACCGAATTAATCAGTAATACTAATCATCTACTTGGGTGAGCAAATTATTTAATCCAACCTGGAACCGGAACTCCTTGTTGTGGCTTGTTTTCTCGACAAGCCACTTTATATTCAACTCACTCTTTACAACTTCGGATTAAAAAGTATATTAAAAACACTCCTGTTCAACGGTCATGTTGTGAACTAAAATCTAGTTAAACTTTCGCCTAGTTTTTGAAATATACATACTACAATTCACTAACAGTTCATTGTATTCAAACTGTGTTTTATAATATTTTTTATTAATTAATAATGTACTCAAAATCTTTGAACTGCCTGGACTTGCCGCATAAAAGTAAAGTAACTTGCATAAAAACAATTAACTTAAAACACCTTTGTCGTATTGACGTTATGAAGTGAATAAATTTTGTATTAAAAAAGTAAGGTAATCAATGGGACTTCGGCGCCGGGAGTTGTCGGTTCAATTCCCACACGGGACAAGATTCGGATCTTGTCCCATGTGGGAATCCGATCCAATCCTGATCCCGGATCACAGTTGGGATCGGTCCCAACTGTGATCCGGAATTAAAGTAAAGTAAAGTAAAATATACTTTATTGTACACCATAGAAACGTTACAGTATTTATAATTAAGGAGGTAGGATTGAACAGAATGCAGTAAAGAAGATGAAGAATATGAGTATTCCTGCGAAGGCGAGTCGGGAGCCACTTGAGCTTATGGCGGAATTCGGATATGTGGTCATACTTTCGCAACCGAAATATAAACATTATGCAGTAATTTTGGTCGGTAAAAAAAGAGACTGAGCTAGCGCAACTTTAGTAGAAATCGGGAGGACATTACGCAACCTTCTTCCTGCTTAACTCACTAATTTGCGGCATCCAAGATAATGTTTGATCAAATATGATGGACAAATTTTTTACTTTGTCACTGTATGGGATAACAGTTTGCTTTTTTTTATGCGAAAAGTTGTCAAGCGAGCAGACGGTTCATCTAATGTTAAGTGAATACCGCCGCCCATGGACATCTGTTACACCAGAGGGCTGCAGATGCGTTGACAACCTTTTGAAATCTGGGCTCCGGCCACTGCACTCACCAGACGAAACGCCAAAGTATTATACTTCCACTTTACGCCGGTCTTCTGTGAGGTCGTGGTACTTACCCGGACGAGCCTGCCCATTCGTGCAACAGCTGAGGCTGCTGCGTGGCCCTACCAACGTCAATCCTGTTCCTAAGTTCCTTCGAATATGATTAGGGAGAGCTGTGACAAAGATAAACGAGAAATTAATTTCGTACTTCCAACAATAATGGCTTGGGTCTTTAGTATCCATATAATTATTACGGAACTGGTTGTTGTTCCCAAGGAGGGTGTTGCTTTCAGGCATGCAGCCAGTTGTAAAAACATTTGGCTATGTTTTTACAACTGGCTGCATGCCTGAAACCACTTATGAATGTGATTCACATGTTGTCCTGACCTCATGTTTTTTGGTATTGGGATAAATCATAGAGAAATACTGTCTTTTGGGGGATGAAGGTGGTATAAAGGCAGGAAATAGAAAGGTAAATAAAAACTATTCGTTCCAGAGCCCCTGCACGAACGAGACGGAGAAGCCTCCATCATGTAGCATAATGGAGCAGCTCAGCAGCGGTGTTCAAGTGAGTGATGCTATATTTTTATAATAGAAAAGTATTTTAATCTGTACTCATAGTACAAGCTTTGCTTACTTTGGGACTGGATAACATTGTGTGAAGATATACCCTGATATATTTAAAAAAAAATTTTTCTTGTGTAAAGAGGAAATGTGTTTTCCCGAGGATGCTTGGTGATACGCGTTTTCTTTCAACATAAAATGTTGATGAATTCCAAATTTCTCTTTTCTCAGTCAGGTCTATCAGTAGATGTGGTTGCATCTTTATATATGATTTCTCGTAAGATGATTTTTTTGTCGGTACGCCAAAAATTTTTTTTTGTCAGAAGGTGGCAAACTAATAGACGGTACTCCTGATATTAAGTGATATCAGCCGCCCATGGACAACTACAACCATCTTAGAGTTGCAGATGCATAGCCACCTTTTAATAAAGTGGGCCCCTGCAACCTCACTCAGAAGACGAAACATAGAAGTATAACACTTCCTCTTCACGCTGGTGTTCTGTGAGGTCTTGGTACTTACCCGGACGGATGTGCCTAATCGTACACCACAGAAGACAAGTCTTGAGCCCCTACCACAGTAATTACCACATTTGGTTGAGGATTTTCTGTGACATCAGTGTCTATGTCCTCAGGTGGCGGATCTGAAGCTTCCACCCGGCATCACGCTGACCAGGGTTCAGCCCAGCGAGAAGAAGGAGCCGCCACCTATCAAGTCAGTGGTGAGTTTGGAACTACATGTGTTATGACTTGGAGAAATTAGCTTTAAGTGGGAGTAAATTCATTTAGCACCGGTGTATTATTAGACTTTAGGTAAGCTTTAGTGTCAGTTTAATATTGTATCTACATATCGGACAGTAATATTTGTTGAAAATGCCTAGTTGGTTATTTAAACTTATCTATTCATTGCTTATAAGTGTCGAAGCCAATATTTTATTATACTAGCGACCCGCGCCGGCTTCGCGTTGGTGCAATGTATTATACATACATATAAACCTTCCTCTTGAGTCATTCTATCTAATAAAAAAAGCCGCATCAAGATCCCTTGCGTAGTTTTAAAGATCTAAGCTTACATAGGGACAGACAGACAGCGCGACGACTTTGTTTTATACTTAGTTTTATTTTGTAGTGATATTCATTTCTAATATTTGCTTATATAGTAGGTACATCAATAGTTCTCCCATTCAATATTAAACAGATAAAAAAAGTAAAATCGAAAAAAATTGCCATAATTATAAAACATAGCCTACTCGTATAAAATAAGGTAAAGGTAGAAGTGATATTTAGGAAAAAATACGTATATTAATTTACGCCTGATTATAAAACGGCAACTTATCCACTTTTATTACAATTCACTAATTTTTAAAAAATTTAATTTTTGAAGAATTAATTTTACAATATTATGGAGTATAAATAATAGTAATAGTGCAGCAATTTACATGCAAATATATTTTTTATATTCATTATTATAAATATTGCAAAATTGTAATTTATTAATAGAGCAAATATTTTATGTTTTATAGCAAAATAAAATTTTTTTTTTAAATTAATTAATAATAATAAAAGTGGAGCAATTACGGACTCTAATGGAGCATTTCAAGAGCAATTAATTAGCGATATGTTTAATTAAAAAAAAATATATTCTACGCTAACTTCCTTCCGGTCTTATACTTGTTTGAAGCTAGCATTCTGTTCGTTTGCTCACGAGTGTTATCCATTCCAGCCGCTGTGGCGCTGTTCTGCACTGGCGGCCCCGCCCACGCAGCCCCGGCACCCGCCCGTCATCGCCGCGGACCCCGCCGCCGCCGCCTTCACCACCGCCACGCCCGGTCGGTGGAGTACAGTCGCGCACACTTACACACCGCGCCACACAGCAGTACAGTCGCGCACACTTACACACCGCGCCACACAGCAGTACAGTCGCGCACACTTACACACCGCGCCACACAGCAGTACAGTCGCGCACACTTACACACCGCGCCACACAGCAGTACAGTCGCGCACACTTACACACCGCGCCACACAGCAGTACAGTAGCGCACACTTACACACCGCGCCACACAGCAGTAAAGTAGCGCACACTTACACACCGCGCCACACAGCAGTACAGTCGCGCACACTTACATACCGCGCCACACAACAGTACAGTAGCACACACTTACACACCGCGCCACACAGCAGTACAGTAGCGCACACTTACACACCGCGCCACACAGCAGTAAAGTAGCGCACACTTACACACCGCGCCACACAGCAGTACAGTCGCGCACACTTACACACCGCGCCACACAGCAGTACAGTAGCGCACACCGCGCCACACAGCAGTACAGTAGCGCACACCGCGCCACACAGCAGTAAAGTAGCGCACACTTACACACCGCGCCACACAGCAGTACAGTCGCGCACAGTTTGTTATACAAATCAATTTCGCCGCGCTGTTACTGGAGAACAGTTACACAAATTTTTCTCATAAATACGCACCGCCACACTGCATTGCAGTCGCGCACAGTTTGTTATACACATCAATTACGCCGCGCTGCTACCGGAGTACAGTTATGCTAACTTATGTACACAAAAATACGCCACGCCACACCGCAGTACCTTCGCGCACACTATGTTATACACATTAATTTCGCCGCGCTGCTATTGGATTACAGTCACACAAACATTTTTGCACACTTATATACGCCGCGCTACACCGCAGTACAATCGCGCACATTTTGTTATACACACTAATTATGTCGCGTTACTTTATACACGCAAACTTTTCTGCACACATAAATACGCAACACCAAAGTACAGTCGCGCAGACTTTGTTATACACATCAATTACGCCGCGCTGTTACCAAAGCACATTTACGCAAACTTCATACACAATCACGCCACGGAATCAGTTATACTAAACAATTTACTTACTAAGATTACAAAATATAATTGATCAATTCTGATTCCCGACCATTTCGAACCATTTTTAACTTTCATGGTCTCGGGACCATAGTTTCATTTATAATCTTAAAATGCGCGAAACAAATGCTGGTGGCTTGTGACCGCTCTGTATCCGCATCCAACAGAGTGCTTCGCTCCGTTCCCGGACGCGCCCAAGGCCATCATAGTGCCGGAGCCCTCCGCCCACGCGCCCCCCGCCCCCAAGTCGAAGAAGGCGAAGAAGAAGGCCAAAAGGGCCGCCGCCGACGCGGCGGAGAGGAGGCCCGACGGCGCCAAGATGGTCACGCTGCGCAACCCGATGTTCCACCCGAACCTGCCGCCGGTGCAGCTGGGCGCGGCCGCCGCGCCCAAGAAGCCCGACATCCGGGTGCCGGAGCCGATACCGATGCCGCCGGCCGCGTGCCAGGCCACCATCACGCCCACCTCCAACGGGATGTACACCATCCGCAACCCGCTCATGTCGATGATGCACCAGCAGAGCCTGATGGGGCTGCGCGCGCAGGCGCCGAACGCCGCCGCGGCGCCGCTCAACCCGCTCTTCGGGCAGCCGCCGTTCGCGTACACCAACCCGAACGCGTACCCGGCGCCCGCTCCCGCTGCCGCTGCCGCGCCCGCCCCCGCCTCCGCGCCCGCCTCCGCCTCCGCGCCCGCCTCCGCCGCGTCGCCCGCTGCGGACGCGAGCGCCGCCGAGAGCGAGCTGCAGCAGCGCATGCTGAAGCTGGCGTCGTTCACGCAGAAGAGCGACGAGGGCTACTCGCTGTTCGTGGCGCCGGAGGACAGCGGCCGGAGAGGCTTCCTGGCGACGCCGCCCGAGTTCATCCCCGAGGCCCCCAAGCCGGTGCCCTCGCCCAGCCCGATTGGCACCCGGCCGGGGGGCGCCAGGGCCGCCCACGCCGCGGCGCCCCCGCCCGCCCCCTTCGGGGGGGCGCTCTACTCGCCCTTCGGCCGCGAGGACACGAACGTCTTCAGGCACGCCCTCTTCAGCGAGCGCGGCGACGCACCTAACGGCAACGTAGCACAGGTAAGTTTTATTTTTTATTTTTACACGCCAACGAGTAATTGATTATATCGATACATCATGATAAAGTAATTAAAAAGTATGTTATAAACTTGTTAAATGATTTCTAAGTGTGTGTGAGTTGTTAAGAACTAAAACTTATTTATATAAAATACATATCTAAGTGACGTTAAACATCATCATCATCATCATTTCAGCCTGTTTGAGTCCACTGCTGAACATAGGCCATGGCATAACTTCATGGCAGTCTTGCTACACAGTGGTTTTAATGGCGAATTTAGTAATAGTAATGACATTGAGACTGAAGTTGCGATTATTTTAAAATATCCTTGGACGAGACTAAATGAGCGAGTGCTTTTGGTGCGTCAGGGCCAGGAGGCGGGCGTGGGCCACGTGGCGAACGGCGCGGACCCGCTGCCCTACTTCCAGCGGCTGAGGGTCGGCTCCAAGCTGAACAGCGAGGTGACCATCCACCACGTGGCCGACTCCAAGTTCTACAAGGGCCAGGTGAGTGGTGACCACGGCGGAGCGCCACCGGCCTTGGTCGCCACCCCCGTGGTGACTGCGCGGTGTCTGATCGATTTCTCATTAGTATGGACCACCCCGCTACACGTTGTGGTGACCACTCCTGGTCCCTGGTAAACTTTGATGTGAACATTTCTTGCCCACGGCGAAGTTTTTTTGCCTACGGCAAACTACAACACAAACAAACAAAACATTTAGTTTTTTTTTATGTGAAAAGTTGCCAAACGAGCAGACGGTTCACCCGATGGTAAGTGAATACACCCGAGGGTTACAGATGCGTTGACAACCTTTTAAAAATTGGGCTCCGGCTACCTCACTCACCAGACGAAATGCGAAAGTATTTTTCATACTTCCACTTTACTTTGGTCTTCTGTGAGGCCGTGGTACTTACACGGACGAGCCTGCCCATTCGTGCAATAGCCGAGGCTGCTGCGTGGCCCTTCCACCCCTTCCGTTATATATATAGTTTTAACGACAAAAACTAAAACCAAGTTCAAATAAATACCTCACCCGCTGTACGTTTTTTATTTGATTTACGACCGATTGCAAATCTCCTTTTTTTAAATCGGTTGAAACAATAACAATCACTTATTTTTTATATAACAACAAATGAGCTATCTATCTCTGAGACCACAAAAATTGGTTCATGCCTCTGCAGAATACCAGCGCTGATCATCGCGATGGCCCAATCGGGGTGAACAGTATCGCTGTATTCTTCTGTCGACACACGCTCAACTTTTCTTTAACTAAATTGAAAATGCAAGCGTTCACAAATCTCGTTCAGTAATATAAGCCGATTGGCGTAGTGGGTAGTGACCCTCTTGGGCCAGAGGGTGTGAGTTCGATCTCCACCACTAGAAAAATATTGTGTGATGAACATAGTATATGTTTAATATGTATTTATTTACAAATGAAAAGTATGTTTATCAGTTACAAGTGTAGCCATAGTACAAATGTTGCTTAGTTTGGGAGTAGAGAACGTTGTTTTATATATTTATTTATTAACAACCCCGCATTCGCTTCCAGGAGTGCGGACCGCATGGGGACGAGTCCCTGTTCTCTCGCCCCGCGCCACCCTGGGCGGAGTCCATCTACCACGGCGCCGGTGAGTGCCACCGCAGTGAGATCGCACCCTTACGTCGAAGTACGGGCATCCAACAACCGCCGCAGTGTAGTCACACCCTAAAACTACGCGTTATGACCACCTACGCCCAAGTGTAACGGCTCCCTACGGTGAAGCGCGCTTGAGTGTGACACCTTAACACTACGCGCTTTGAGCATCCGACGTCCGCCGCAGTGTAGTCATACCCTAAAACTACGCGTTATGACCTCATCCACCCAAGTGTAACGGCGTCCTAATCCGATGATTTTGGACGCGCGCTTGAGTGTGACCCCACCTTAACACTACGCGCTTTGAGCATCCGACGTCCGCCGCAGTGTAGTCATACCCTAAGTCTACGAATGACTCAGGGGCGCAGTTGCTAAGGTATCGGCTTCGGCGCCGGGGTTCGTGGGTTCGAATCTAGATGTTTGTCCACAAGAAATTTATGTATGTAAAATGCCCATCTCGGGATAATGCATCCTACATGTTTTCGAAGAGGAGTCGAAAATAGATCTTCTAGGTGGCAGTGGTCGTTGAGATTTACTACCCGACCCATTCCACAAAATTCATTTATTCACTAAAAGATTTAAGCATTATAACAATCCTGCCAACTTAGGGCTTTTAGCCCTAAATTTAGGGCGGAAATGTTCATGATGGGCTTTTTTTTAGACATTTTTAAGGGCATGAATAATATCATGCTTCACTATTCATATATAAAGTAGTAAAAAAAGCAAAACGTCTATAAATTTATGTAATGAAGGAAATTTTAGTTACTTTTATGTTTTGTTGTTTATTTCAACTATTTCTAATGGGAAGTAATTAGAATTAAGTTACCTTTTTTATCTTAACAAAATTTTTGGGGCTTTTGAAAATTGCATTTTTTTCCAGGGGTATTTAATCTTGATTTTAAGGTAATTTTTTTAAGTTAGATGGCAACACTGCATTAATAATAAGCACATAGCGTAAAAAGACACCGACTGTGTCTCAAGTTCGAATCCCACCTCTGTCCGCAGCGAACGCGTCCTCGCCCAGCTCGCCGAGCTGCGAGCCCAGCGCGTGCTGCCCCACCCCGCCGTCGGAGGAGCCGCCGGGCGCCATCGGCGAGCGCGCGCCCCACGCCCACCACGGTGCGTCCCACCGCTGGCCAATGGCCGATGGGGCGACGGCAATCCCACGCCGACAACTCCGGCGGCACCCGACGCTGAATCTAGGGGCACACAGCAATGCCACGCTGAAAACTCGGGCGAAACCCCACCGCCGGGTATAGGGGCCCACAATGTCGGCCAATAGCCACGCCCCACTACGACGAAGTATTTTTTTATTTGACATACACGAAGTCCACCTGATGTTAAGTGATTGCCGCCGCTAATGGATGTCTACTACACCTGAAGGGTTTGCAGGTGCGTTCATAATGTTTTAAAAAAAGTTGGTCCCGGCTACCTCACGAAACGCGAAAGTAGAATACTTTTACCTTTACTTCTGTTAGGCGGCCTGTACTTTCCGGACGAGCCGGCACATCCGTGCAACAGCAGAAGCTGCACTAAATGTGGGAATAATAGAATATATAATAAAAGAACAATATTTTGAAGGTCATCAAGTCCTCTAATCCGCAGTGAGGTGGACTATGCTCTTTGTACAGGGAGGCCTTTGCACAGCTGTGGGGTCGTATATAGTCCGTTGCTTTACTCCCAATCATTTAGGTATAAAAAGCAGCGTTGCGTGTCCAGACAGTTATATTAAAAAAGGGGCATTGCGTTTCCAGAGAGCAGCGTGTTCCTGCCGGACCGCACTATCACTAACCTATCCGCGCTGGAGGCGGCCGAGCGAGAGATCGAGTCCTTCAAGCGGTTCGACTTCTACTTTGAGCCGCCGCGCCACAAGCCGCGCGTGCAGCTCGACGTGAACGCGCTGCGCCCCGCAAACAAGTGAGCGGGACGCCGCTACGCCGCGCGAACGGGACGGCGACAACGAGCGGTCCCGTCCTCTCGCTCGACACGGCCGCGCGGGAAAGGGACGCAGTCGTACGTGCGAGGGGGACGACGACACCGCGCGGCAGCGTCCCACTTTAGTGCGAACGGGACGCGCTCGTACGAGGGAAAAGGACGCCGATAGTCGTGCGACTAAGTCTGCTGACTTTCGGCGCGATCGCCTCCCTTTTCGTTCGGTATGAACTATTGCAAAGGGACGCGGCTATACGAGTGAAAGTGAAGGCAATATGTACGGCACAATGTATACGTGGCGGCGACGTGTCTAGGTTCGGTTAGTCTCTCTCGTGTAGCCTCGTACTCCTGCTCGATACGAAAATGTTGGAAAGGGACGCGGCTATACGAGCGGAAGAGTCTATCGATGGAAAGTCAAGTGTTAATATGCACACCAGTGTGATCATATCGCATAGCTTCGTCCCTCTCTAACTTGCCGAACACCGACCCGCTTTAGCGATCCGTGTTAATAAGCAGCAGTTTAAGAATACTCCAGTGTTTAGATGATTATCAAAAAGCCCATATGACCGTTTACGGAATGTTCTGTATCGCGATAAATGAGACGAATGTATCACCTTAGTGACAAGATATATGTACCAAGACTACGACACGAATTCGTGCATATGACATGCACCATTTCTAAGGATTTTGACGGGGCTCTGGCTGGTACCGGACTCCTCTATATGACGTTCGTGGTGGATTCCACACGAATTGCGACGTCGCCGATTCCAATGTTTGGCCGAACGTTTGGACATTGGTCGAGGCGCTCTCGTTGGTTCCTTCGAATACGAATGTTCGGTCAAACGTTTGGACGCGCTTTTTTTTATTTGACTAGCGATGAATAAATGACGATTGTCACTCGTGCTAATTTGTGGACTGGGAGCTGGTAACGTAATAGCTTTCTAATGCTCCAGCGTCCAGTGTTGTGTCAACTCTAGACATAAAGGAGCGCCATTAGATATAGGGGTCTTGTTCGATTGGATGTTTCATTTGGTCATCGTTACTAGCTCCCCGCCTACCGGCTCTGTAGGGCGCTTCAGCTTTCTCTTTCATCCCCCGCCGGCGCTATGGGAAGTGCGAACGGGACGCACGCAACGCTGTTCTGGCACTTTGGACGCGGTCCCTTTGTTTTTCATTATGCAATAAGCGAGATAGTAATGTAATATATATATGCCCCTCTTTATGTAAGCGATAACTCCATTATGTAAAAGAATATATGATAGTCACAAAGTATTTGATGTGCAAGAATTAAAGAAAAGAAAAAAAAAACTTCTAAACGATTTGAAAACTGATGCTTGTTATTTTATTTCCCCCCACCTAGTGTGAAATTTGTGCAGCGATGTTTGCTTGACGAGTCAGTTTGCAATCTCGCTTTAAAGTTTAATCGAATCTGTCGTCATATCGTAGTCCATTTCACTGTGCTAGAACCACGCAGCAGTGCAGGAATGGGCAGGTCCGTCTGGTGAAGTACCACAACCATACAAAAGACCGGCGTGACGAGGCGTCATACTTCTGCGTTTCGTTTGGTAGGTGAGGTAAGCGAGGCCCACTTCATTATAACGCACCTTTAGAATTATAGTGACCTATTAAAAGATATAAATTGTTGAGAAACTTAAAAATAAAGAATTGTGGAACCTATGAAAAAACGCGGTAATTGGGGGAAGTGAAAGAGACCGAAGTATACGTTATGTAGCTTTCTAAAATCGGCCCATGTCATAATATGATTCGAGAAAGGCGGTCGTTTCCTGACATAAAGCCAATATCACGATTTTCGTAATTAGGTCCCTTTAATTCTAAAGGTGCGATAAGGTGTCTTCGGGCGTCTGATATTACTTAACGTGAGTTGAACAGCCAGCTCCCTTGCCACATTCCCACATAAACGTAACGAGCGAAGTACCGTATGCAGACTAGCTTTTTAAATAACAAAAACACGAAGTAAGCCATTCAAAAGAGCTTTGAGACCTCTATGGCTGAGGATGAGTGACGATCAGTATTGCCACACCAAATTTTAATGTTTCATCTTAAGTGCAGATATTAGCACAATAAAACATTTGTTTTCATATAGCAATGGTGACATCTCGTTCGAATTGTTGTAAAACGATATTTTTTTCAAATTGTATGCTGTAAAGGATATCTATTTCCTAAATCTTTGTACCGCTGTTTACGGAAATTGCGCTGGCGGAGGAGCGTGGAATTTCACGCACTTGTAGTTTACTTATAGAGAAAGAGTGCAGTTTATTTATAGAATGCTAATATTTTTTATAATTATGCATATAACTACCATGTACTACCATGTACCAGTACTAACATGCATTTACTACCATGTATTTGACACACACACGCATATATAATATTTTGTTTATTGTGTATGTATTTGAGAATAGATTAATATTGTTCAAACTTATACTTTAAATTAATTATGGTCGAATTTCGACCACTCGACATCCATTAGTAAACAATGGATCCGCCAAGCATTGCTCGAAATGCGAAAAAACAATGTATACAAAAGGGGTTGATATTTTAGCGTATGGATTAAAGTCGACTCCCGCAACGGCCCAAAACTTCGTTCTTTTTTCTACAAATTTTTATGTTTCATCTTTAGTGCAGTTATTATCACTACGAAATTTAATATTTCAATGCGTTACAAAACTCGTCTGCCCTAGAGCGCAGCAAAGTCATTAATCAAAGCTTCGCAATCCAATTTCCTTAATAATTCAGCCTCTATGTCAAGCAAAGCAAGGTCCTTTTATGTGCGATTATTGTTCTTAAATAATTTTTCAGTCGTCGCAAAGAAGAAAACGATCGTTCTCCGGAAGAGTTACTGGCTGGAGTACACACACACACAACGAAGAGCAATATACACGTTTGGGTAAATGTTTTTTTTAAATGTCAAACGAGCAGACGGTTCTCCTGATGTTAAGTGAATACCGCCGCCCATGGACATCTGCTACACCCGAGTGTATGCAGATGCGTTGACAACCTTTTTAAAATTGGGCTCCGGCTACCTCACTCACCAGACGAAACGCGAAAGTATTATACTTCCTCTTTAGGCCGGTTCTGTGAGGTCGTCGTACTTACCCGGACGAGTTTGCCCATTCGTGCAACAGCCGAGGCTGCTGCGTGGCCCTACCACCGTAAAAGGTTTGAAGACCTTCAGTTTGTAATCATTTAGACAAACAGAATTTTTCGATCCTCATATTTTATGCTGCTGTGACCACCAATGATAGAGATATTCTCCTTATTTTCTTTTAATTTGCGAAGGTGTAAAGCGAGCCAGCGGTTCACGTGATGTTAAGTGATAACCGCCGCCCATGGAAATTTGCAATATAGAAGAGTCACAATTGCCTTGACGGCCTTTAAGGTGGTACCGGTCCGGGAATACCGCTTGCGACAACTGTTTGCACAAAATGGCTGTGCGGGACAGAAAGTGCGTAAAAAACGCATATTGGTGGACCGCCAACCATCAAGGTGGTGTCGCTGGTAATCGGCAGTTTGACGAGTTGTCAATTATTCAAATTTTATATTACAATTATAGAAATTATGCAGCGGGTGTCAATCCGAACAATTGATACACCTATGTATGCGATAGAGAATACAAAGGGATGCAATATCATTTCGCAAGGCCAAAGAGTCGAGGCGGTCAGACCATGTCGATGTGGTCAAATACAAGGACCTAGTATTTTTGTGTCCTAGCCCAGAGGTGAGAAACAGTATTCCATGTGCGGCCGAATCTGTGTTTTATTGAGCTGCAAGCGAAGGACTGACAGGAAATGCTGTTTCGCTCTTGGCTGTTCGTTGGCTTTACAACTACATATATAACATCTCTATATTTTGTACATAAAATCTACGAAAGTGATTTGGAGGGCATAGTAGTGCGAGTTGCCTACAGTAAATCGAGTTTTTTTCTTATGTGAAAAGTTGCCAAACGCGCTGACGGTTCACCTGATGTTAAGTGGATACCGCCGTCCATGGACATCTGCTACACCCAAGAGTTGCAGGTGCGTTGACAACCTTTTGAAAATTGGGCTCCAGCTACCTCACTCACCAGACGAAACGCGAAAGTATTTATTATACTTCCACTTTACGCCGGTCTTCCGTGAGGTCGTGGTACTTACCCGGACGAGCCTGCCCATTCGTGCAACAGCCGAGGTGCTGCGTGGCCCTACCACCGTTAATACCTTTACTACGGCGTTAATCGAGCATACGTTAGTCACGCCGTAAAGTGATTAAGCGTGAGTGTGAGGTGAGTTACACAATCTTAGTTTACCAATCGAATGATGTTTATTCACGGTGAACAGCGTTAGTTTCTTTTCTTATGTTGGCTGCACCTAGCGCCTATGCGTTAAACCGACTAATTTAAATATGAATGTTTTGCATTACAACAAAACAATTATTATGTCCCTTAATAAACCCAGTGTTGAGTTAAAATGTGTTTGATATCTACTGGTGAAAAATATTAATAAAACAAACGCTATGTGATTAAGACAAACATATAATTATTAAAGTTATAACTTGAATAAAATATCAAACATAATTATGTTTTAATTTTAATGTCACTAATGGTTTTCAATTATTCATGATTAAGGAGTAATAAATAATCAGTCTTTACGAAATCTACACACATGAAAAATTAGTTTGTAATAAATCAGCTGTATTATGTGTATTTTGTACTGTTCGACAGTAAAGGTAGTAAGGTAACCCTGATTCATTGCCTCTTTCCACCATATAAGCTCCCCGAGAGCTGCTGGTGTAAATTACAAGTCTTTCCCTTTGCCTTTTCTGCTTGAAATTTCAAAAAAATGGTTGTACACGCCCTGAATGAAGAAACCTTTTTCTATCGCTGATTTTTTATTCGCTGACCTCAGAGACCTTGACATTCTCTCATTGTGCATGTCTTTTTCTTTATCAAGTGGTATAATTTTGCTGTTATATTCTCTATTTCCTGAAGTGGGATCGATATTCTGTTGTTGTTGGTGTCCCACATTAAACCCAAGTACTCTAAAAGCTGGGTTGGGATTAAGACCGATTTTTGATAATTTATATGCCAACGCAGAGACTAATAATCTTGTATTAACTGATGTTTGTGCTTTCAGTCCCGAGACTATTAAAGCTTCATCTGACGCAGAACCGGTGGGCTAGCCAGAACCCACGGGTTTGGGCCCTCCGCTGTGGGTAGGGCCGCGCATGTGCTCATGCGTGCGTTTAACTACGACATGTCATCTAAGGGCCATCGAAGTTGCGGTGCGGACCGAGACTCCGATGGCCGTCGACTGTGTTTTTAGCTAATCGGTGGCTGGGGGCGGTGAGAGCCGCCCTGGAACGCGGGTGTACTTTGTGTACGCGTTGTGTTAGTCTCGCCGTGCTCGGAGGCGACGGCGAACTATTGTGTATGTTGTTGTGGCACATTTGTCAAAATAAAAAAATGCACAAATCACTCATTAAAACAGGATTTTATTTTTTAATTACACTTAATTAGCTGTCGTACAACCAAAATTCGACACCAATCAATTTGAAATATAACAAACAGTAGGGTTTGTAATAGTCAGTATTGATAGCATCAATCGATGTAGGTACGTGTTTGTTAAAAAAAAATTCACAAACATTGATAAAGTGGTGGACTGGTGGTAAGTTGACTACTATATGGTCAAATGCGTTCGAAGCCAATCCGGTAACTTCATTACTTTATGGTTAAAGAAGGTTGGAAGCTATTTCGGCCCGAGTCACCGCCAGCGGTGTGTCGTCGAACCATTTACAGTGTCACTATCTGGAGGTCAAATATGACGGTTCCCATCGATGGTTTGATCAAATATGACTATTAAATGAAACTAGTTTACGGACTCTATCGCGTTTTAAATTTGATTTTATAACTACCGACGTTTCGAACCCTTTCCGGCGTTCACGGTCACGGGACAGACGTCTTGGTCTCAAACGAAACACACTTCTTACGCTACCTGGTGATAATCATACAAAAATACAAACTAAAAAATCCATAATTAAAAAAAATAATTTTTCAAACAAATTAATTAAATAAAAAAGAAACAAAATTTGTAACATCCTATACAGCTACAACTGACTGATTCATACATTCAGAGACTTTTTCATTCATTGCCACAGTGTCGCGTTACAAGTCTCTCCTTCTAACAGTATGTTTTGTCTCTTGTAAATTCATTCAACCCATTCATATGCTTTGTGACCTTTACAAATGAACTTTACGTAACGTACGTACGTTTTATACGTAAGGGTGTTCTAAAAATATTTGTTTTGGAAAATGTAATAACTCAGTAAATATTGATGTCTAAAGAAAGTAAATGTTTGATACAATTTTCAAAAAGTTATCCTCTATATGCGTGTTCATTTATTGTCACGATTGTAAAGACACGCTGTTATGTAAAATACGCAAACTAGTTTCGTTTGATATGTATAATATTCGCGTAAAATCAAGAAATCACCAAATACAGGGTGGCTTGTCTAAAGGTGCCCAAATTCACACAGGAGGTTCAGACTTGATAGCATAATCGTTTATTGAAATAAAAACAAACTTTTTTTTTAAATACCATTCTATTCCCTAAAAAACAGAACTTTTATTATGCGGTAGTCATTCATAAATGCGTCGTATACTATTGAAACGAACTTGTGTGCGTGTTAGTTATGAATGATCGCGCGTAAAGTAAACGAGTTGCCCACAAATCACGCACATTTTGAGATAGGAATCAAACGTATTTTAAACATTTATAATTTTTTATATAACATCATTTATGTCTAGAATTAATTTAAAAAAAAATGGATACACTTAGAAAAACCCCATAAGGTACATATCATTGGTGAGATTTCGTCTGGGGCGTATAGTGGTGCATAAATGGTGGTCAGCGGTGGTCGGCGGGCCGTTAGTGGTGGTGGCGCTTCGGCTGGTGGGCGGCGAGGTCAGAGGACGGCCGCTGGTGGCGGACGGTGGAGGTGGGCGCTCGGCGCTTGCGTCTTGGCGGCGCCGCTACTAGGCCGGCGTGGGCCTGCGCCGCCAGCAGCATGCCCAGTTGGCACTGCGCCTGAAGCATACAGGGTCTTATTTGATGTGGCAAGTTGCCAAGCGAACACCGCCGCCCGTGGACATCTGCCACGCCCGAGGGTTGCAGATGCCTTGGCAACCTTTTGGAGATCGGGCTCCGGCCACCTCGCTCACCAGACGGAACGCGAAAAGTTATACTTCCACTTTACGTAGTCTTCTGTGAGGTCGTGGTACTTACACGGACGGGCCTGCCCATTCGTGCAACAGCCGAGGCTGCTGCGTGGCCCTACTATCGAGGAATTTGAAAATAGTTGAATTTGAAAATCGATTGTTATGTAAATTTTAAATTTACAATTCTAATTTTTACGGAGGTAAATTTAAATGTAAACTAAAAAAGCTAAATGTTTCTTTCTCATTTGAGAGATTTTGGTTATATCTATACAGCGTGTCGTTACCACCGCGACAATAAATGAACACTATGTGTGTTGAACACTAGATGATAACTTTTTAAAATTGTTTTAAATATATACATTCTTTAAACATCAATATTTACAGAGTTATTAAATTTTCCGAAACAAAGAATTTTAGAACACCCTTACGTATAAAACTGTAACGTAAAGTTCATTTGTAAAGGTCACAAAGCATATGAATGGGTTGAATGAATTTAAAAGAGACAAAACATACTGTTAGAAGGAGAGGCTTGTAATGCGACGCTGTGGTGCGAGTTGTATAGGATGTTAAAAATTTTGTTTCTTTTTTACTTAATTAGTTTGTTTGAAAAATATATTTTTTTTAATTATGGATTTTGTTTAACGTTAATATTTTTTTATGATTATTGGCCAGTAGCGTTAGACGTGTGTTCATTTATTGTCGCGATGGTAACGACACGCTGTATATCTAATTTAGTGAGTTTAAGTGGCTGTCCGGATTGCTATAGGACAATTTCTTTTCAACGGCTGGCAACACTGCCCCACCTCCTCGTGCATGTCCCTCGCCATCCTGTAGACGCTGTGCTCGCTGCTGTTGTACATCAGAGCGTTGGAGAGCATCAGGAGCACGTCCCGTTGGAACTCCGCAGTGGTGCTGAAAACGTTAAGGTACGAATCACTTAATAGTAGAGCAACATCCCTAAAGAATCCTCCGTAATAAAATTACAAACACTTAACCGCTACCTTTTCGCCATCCAATACAACATTAGGAAAGTAATTGAAATGGGAAAATATATGCTCGGGGGCCGTCCGCTAATCACGTGATATTTTTTCAGCATTTTTAACCACCCTCCTCCCCCTTGGCGATACGTGGTGAGGTTTACTACCCCTCCACCCCCACCCAATATGACGTGTATTTTTTAGTATCTACAATGAATCTTGAACTTTTAGAATATTTTCTTTAAATACACGAACGTATATAGCACAATCCAGTTTTTATCCAGAAATTAAGGATCATGATAAAAATGTAACGGCGAGTCAGGGTCACGCCGCTTTCCACTTCTAAAGTGAAACAAAGATCGCTCGTTTGACGAAAAAATAAATACACGCGTTACCTTTTTACACCCCCCACGACCCTTGTGATATTTCGTGATTTTTGCCAACGCCCCCTCCCCCCCTTTCGAGCCTCACGTGATTAGCGGACGGCTCATTGTTTATTAAATATGCATTTCTTAAATCTATTCAAATTCCGAAGACGGTAGTTGGCGCGCCCACCGTATGAGGCCCGCGTCGATGTTCCGCCTGATGGTGGTCAGGTCCATGGGCCTCTTCACCACCACGCTGTACCCTGGCGCCTCCTCGTCGCTTATCGGCCGCAGGAACAGCGACGCGTATTTGTGGGCGCACAACCTGCACAAAACAACCACCAAATATCACCATCAGAAGGTGTAAATTTTAAACAACAAAAACTTTAAATCTCATTTTCAATCATTCATTCAATCTCATACATAGAACACAGACTGACCTCCATGGATAAAAAAAATATTTATTAGGGTTGATAATACAACTCCCATAAATTTATGTTCGTTCACCCGTGGACATCACTGATTACCTTTTTCTATTCATTCGAATGGAATGGGAATACCCAACTTATACACTCACATTATACGATTGTCTGTATAGTTGTCACCTCCTCCCCCCCCCCCCCAATTAGGGGCAATGGGACCCACCTGCTATAGACCAGCATGACGCTCTTCCGCCACAGGCGGTGTTGCCGCTCCGCGTCGCTGGCGCTCGGCGAGTCCGGCGCGCTCGCCTCCGCCGCGCTCTCCGATCCGGAACATGCTAGAACGAGACAGAGGACACGTTAGAGTAGGTTGGTGTGGAGCCGACGATAAGTAGTTCGAATGTGGGTGAGTGGGAGGAAGTCAACGCATCTGCAAGCCATCAGGTGTTATAGCTGTTAGTATTCACCTTAACATCAGGTGAACCGCCTGATCGCATGACGACTTTAGAAAAAAAATCGTATTTGAACTCACTTCTGGATTCAGATTTCTTCTTTCTGGAGTAATCCCTCTTCTTCTTGCCGTCCTTCTCTTCTTCGCGGCTCAGCTGCAACAAGGGAAAACGTGACGTCATTACCGTACAGAGGAAAAACCTATCCAGCTCGCTTACAATTCAATATACTCGAGCAACCTGAGTTCAATAGCCGGTGCAGGCATCAATGAAATTGTTCATTTTAAGTGATACCTCTATATAGAAGAGGCCGTTGCCCAGCAGTGGGATACGTTTAGGCTGTTACTTTACTTATCCCAAAGATCCAACAAGTGGTCTAGTATTTAATACAACACGCTTACTTCCATAGGCGTATCGTCGTCGGTCTCCGTGTGCGTGTCTTCCGTATCGATTGGCCGCTCGGTCTTAATCGCCGCCGCTTCCGCTTCCGCTGCCGCCGCCGCCGATGCCATGGACCCCTCCCTCATCATCTCCTTCAGCGGTATTGAATCCTGGCGATCAAGTTTGATACTGTTTTATTCCCTTGATAACATTAGTGTCATCGACTTTGAACATTCAACAAAACTAAGAAAGATGAACAATGTTAAACATATGAAATACTGCTTTGTACTCAAGCAATGCGGTAGACTTTCAAGTAGGGAAAAATGCGATCAATTAATATCAAAAATCTTGAAGTTAGACGTAATTGAATGGATGAAACAGATGTTAATTGAATGACGTTTAGGGAAATTGAATAATGACAAATAATACATAGGAATAATTAATTTTCTTCATTTATATTGGTTTAACACCAAAATGAATGAAACCGTATGAAATTTTATGATATATAATCAAATGAAATGAACATGTTTTGCTGGGCTATTGTAGTTAATTGAAAAGACAAAATTATGAACAGACTGTAGTAATGATAAGTAATTGGAAAAAAAAGATATAAAAAGTATATTAGCACATTATTGAAGTTAAATAATTATTTGAAACTCGTCTGCCAAGTCTTCACGGGACCCATTATGTTTTAACCCGTGATGTAAAAGATAGATGTTATAAGTTTTACGTGTCTGTGTATCCTTGTGTCTTCTCGTGTGGCTTTTAAACGAATAGACTGATTATGGTGTAGTTTTTTTTCATTTGAAAGTTGAATTGATCGAGATGGTTCTTAGATAATATACTTTGAGTTATTTTTTATCTCTGGGGTTACTTAAAATTTTAAATTTCATATAATTATACATACTAGTTTCTAGTCCTTTACGACAGGCTCCGTAAAGGAACTTTTGAAATATAATTCTTATGGACAAAAGAATACGCATTTATTATTTTCCATTCACTTGTTTATGCTTCCTAATTAAGACTCTTGGAGAACTATGTATCATACCTCGTCTTCATCCTTCTTAATATCCTCTATCAACTTCTCCTCCACAGTTGTCGCTTCCGCCTCGCTCTCTTCCGCTGGCTCCTTCGCCTCCTCCTCTTGTTCCTTCTCTTCTACTATCTCCTCTTTGGGCGGGGGTTCGTGAGTTTCTTCCACCGCTGGTGGTGTTTCTGAAAAGTACCCAACGTCTTTATTAGCATTTCAATTTCTATGCGCGATTTTTTTTTTTTAAATAACAACACAATGCTCTGTTTAATTTTTTTACGTTAAGTCTTAAACGAGCTGTCGGTTCACCTGATGTTAAGTGATAGCCGCCGCCTATCGATATTGCAACACCCGTTGAGTGGCAGATGCGTTGCCTCGCCTGACCTTTTAATAAAGTGGGGCCAAGCTACCTCAATCACTAGAAGAAACGACGAAGTGTAACATTTCCACTTGACGCCGGTCTTCTGTGAGGTCGTGGTACTTAGTTCAACAGAGAAGAGTGTTGCGTGGCCTTATAACAGTTTTCGTTTGATAACCGAGTTATTTTTTATTGTTTCCTTTTGCTTATGTTTATCGTTTATTATTAGTCATTAATATTTCCGGCCAATCGTTTTATCAATATCCATTTATCCCCAGAATTTGTTAAGCAATTTTTTGTTTTGTCTGTTAATTGTGTTTTCATCGAAATAAAGTAATTTGTCTATACCTATATAAAGAACGCGACGTACGAAGCATAGGGGTCATATAAAGAAAGGGAATCGAACCCACAACCAGCTTTAGAGCCTACTGACTACCTACTATGGAGCAGCTCTACCGTTAAAACAACTAAATTATTAACAATACATTAAAATTCCAGAGACTAAAGCAAAGAAACAAAGAGACCCGTAAAATGCCACTAATTATACTTAAAATTTTGTACTTTCATGGTTAACTCAGTATTGAAAGTATTTCTTTTTTTTTTCACATCTTTGGCCTATATGATTTTATTTTCTTACAGTATTAGTAGTAGGTTTAATGTGCACTAATTTAATTATTAAGAATTATGTGAGAGCTTTTTTGTACTTTAGTCGGATAACTTCAATAATACATACTTCATCAAATTTATTGATTATACACCATTTTAAAAATTAAGATTTGCCGCTATTATTGAACAATAAACAATCGTGCACCATCTATTAACAATTTGTTTAAATGAAAGATAGCAAAGTAGACTGTAAAACGTTATTCTTCAGAATAACATAGTTAAAAACTTATTTACAAATAATTAAACATTATTATATAACCTAGTATTACATAATAATCCTTTAATACATGACATATATCAGAATTCTCTCACCTTCTGCAGTCACTTCCGCTGGCTCTTCCTTGACCTCCTGCGGGAGAGGTATCTCCTCCGGTATTGGAGCCGCCACTTCTTCTTCCTCCTTCTCCTTCTCTTCGACGACCTCTTCCTCTTCCACTGCCGCCTCTTCTGCGGGCGTCTCGACCACTTCCTTGGCCGCCTCTTCGACCGGTTCGGCAACTTGTTCGGTGCTATAATTACATGATATGAAATTGGATGATGAACACTAATATATGGTAAACGAAAGTATTTTCTCTTTATTTTTGATCCAACCTACAGATTTTAATAAAATTTGCAATCTCAAACGCGTTGATTGTTTTGATTTTAAATTTTTAACGTTTCGAACCCTAATTTTAAGTTATCATTAGTGTCCAATCACCTCTCTTCTTCTACCGGCTCTGGTACCGACTCGGGTTCTTCTTCTACGATCTGCTGTTCCTCCTCTTTCTCCGCTTCCGGCGGGGCGGGCGCTTCCGGCTCTTTGATCTCTTCTTTAACCTGCTGTAAGGGTTCATCACAGGTTTCATTTAGTTCCTTAGTGTTAGTATCTTTATGCATGTGATGACTCCAGCCGTAGTATTAAGTCCCCCAGTCTTATAGAGGTGCGTTAATGTTCTCAAGATATTTAATAAATATTGTACTAATTATGTATTACCACTGTACATTTTTTTTGTTTAAGAGCCGTTATAGTTCAGTGTCAGCTGTCGATTTCAATTCATTATACTCGAGCTATCCGAGTTGAAATCTCGGTGCAAGCACCAAAGAAATTGTCAATTTTAAGTGAGTCAGCACATGCTTTTATCCTTTTTGAAAGAAAAATGAAGCGAATGAGAACAGAATCTAATTCGCTTCATTTTTTTAATTCAATTATTGGCAGCCGAGGGTGTAATGGAGAGGCCATAACGCTTTTACTATATTGCATTTTGTGTGGAATGGGTTGGGTAATAAGTCTCAACGACCACTGCAACCTAGGAAGATCTATTCTAGTCTTACCTACGAGAACATTGCCCCCATACTGTAGTCTAGCAATATCCTGTGTTGTAATAGCATATTTCATTGCGATTGCGGAAGGCCTGTCATTGCAAAGATTTCCGACTGTCCACCCGAGCCGAAGCGCAGCCGGAAGTGAGGGTTGACAGTCGGAGCAAGTTGCAATGACGTTTCCCCAATTGTACTGAACAACTATATTTTTAATACAGTTGCGAAAAAACACGCAAAGAAAATTTCTGGAAAATGGCGCCAACCGTAAAAGAATATGAGCAGAGATTTTTTTTTGTTTTCTTCATCCATTCTGGGTAGGCAAAGGGAGCAATGCCCATACGGCCAAGTCTTCAGTAGATTTTTTTTAAATGAAAATTAAATCTAATGAGATGAAATGAAATGAAACCTAACCTAACTCATCAAATCATTAAATCTGATATTGAAACAAATCAGTAGTTTTTTTGGAAATATTTACATGAATCATACAAAAACTCCTATGAATTTTTTTTTGTAAAAACTTCGTGGTTTCGTTTTTTTAATAGACATTATTTTGACAGTTGGGAAAGAGAACGCACGAGTTCGGAAAAGGTAAAGAAAGAGCTCGAGTTATACGATACGTCCTTGCAATACGCCACTTTTTGAGCAACCGTATTAAAAAGACATTTACACACACAAATTCCATAGATCAAACGCCCACAACCAAAAATATTACCGGCGGGTCGCAGTTAAGCTGTCCCGCGTGGGAGTCGAACCCACGCCCCAGAAGCCAATACGTCGCATTGACGAAGATCACGCGGCATTGGCTCTCACCCACCTCCTGGTCCTCCGGCTGTATCACCTTGATCTCCGGCGTGGGGAACTTCACCTCGGGGAAGGAGACCGTCAGCTCCGCTTCGGGGGTCAACACCCTCGCCGCCTCGGGCTGCCGCTGGCGTAGCTCCTCCACGGCCTCTTCGCTCTGGAAGTGGAGAGACAATAAGGTCATAAGAGCCAATGAATTGTACATCAGAACGGAGTGCTTCCAACTTTACACCTCTTTTGGCGCGTGTGGAGAAATCATGAGATCGGAATTTTCACCCTCGTAAATTTTACTCACCCACCCCCAAAAGGCGACGTGGTGCTCGGTAACCGATTACTACTTTTGACATTCACCAATATTTCCAAGTGATTTAAATGAACCTATATCAATTGCACTTGATATTTTTACGTTAAAGCAAACCACGGCAAAGTAAATAGGTACACACATACGTATATTTTTTATGTGAACGGGCAAGCAAGCTGGCAGTTCACCTGACGTTATAATCACCGCCGCCCATTAACATTTACACCCGTAGGGTTGCAGAAACGTTGCCACCTTTTAATAAAGTGGGCCCCGGCTACCTCACTCACCAGATGAAACGCAGAAGTGTAACACTTACACTTGACGCCGGTCTTGCATTTCGAATATATTTACTCAGCTCATTCGTGGTGGGGTCGCCTATGCCCCAATACCCTCTGTACAGAAGAGGCCTTTGCCCAGCAGTGGGACATATATAGCCTGTTGCTATTCCACTTTTTTCTCATTCAATCAGGAACACACATCACATCACAGCCTTAACCCAAATCAAGATCCAGACTCGTCGTTGCTATTTCAGTTGCTATTGTTTTTGCAGTTGCTATTTTTCAGTTGCTATTTTCTTCTCTATAACTTGCAACGAACTCCGTTCATCTCCATTTTTCTGCTTACGGTCTCAATTTCTGTCTCCATTATCTCCTCCACCGCGTCCGCAGCCACCGGCTCCACCTGTTGGTGATATGTTTGGCGATATTACGGATATGTTTGGCGCAAAAGAGCGTGGGTTCGATCCCCACTGCTGGAGAAATATTGTGTAATGGTAGTGTTTTTCTAGTGTATAATGTGTATTTATGTATTTACAGAAGGAAAGTATTTTTAGGTATGTCTATCATTTAACTAGCAGCCAAAGTGGAAGTTTTCCTTAGTCGATGTCCTACAAGTGGGCGATAATCGAAGCAGTAAGTTCAACACGCAATACTTTTGCAACAAAGTGGGTTTGAATGCACGCACTCTAGTGCAAGAGACGGGTGCACTATCCACTAAGTCAGGCGGATCACAAACATTATTACATGGGCGATATTCATTTGTTTTCTCGACTGGTTCGATTTATAAACAAAAAATTAACATGTTGATATTATTACTATATTATTTAGATAAATATTATTATTATTATATAATTTATTGTACACCACAAATAATCTCATACAGTTGATATAAAATATATTAGTAAGGATAGTAAGGAAGTAAGGATGCTATCTATGGATAATAATCGAATATTCCATAAACAAATCACCTTAATGTCCGCGTCGCTGATGGTTTCGACCAGTTCGGATGGCGTCTCCACTTGCTCCTTCTTGAAGACTGGCTTCTCTATCCTGTGAACATATTTTTCAATATCACTACGTATAAATCAAACTCGTCCCGCTGTCTGTCTGTCCCTATGTATGCTTAGATCTTTAAAACTACACAACGGATCTTGATGCGTTTTTTTTACTAGATGGAGTGGTTCAAGAGGAAGGTTTATATGTATAATACGATGCGACCGTGCGAAACTGGGGCGGGCGCTAGTTAAAATATAAAATAAATATCGTCAAACAAGAAGGCGGTTCACCTGACGTTAAGTTAATAGCCCAAGACGATCTACGACATCCGATGGTTTGCGGATGCGAAAAAAAGTGGGCCCCGGCTACCTCACTCACCAGACGAAAGGCAGAAGTGTAAAACTTCCCAAAGTGTAAACAAAAAGTGTAAACCGCTTCACGCCCATCTTCTGTGTGTTCGTGATACCTATCCGGACGGACCTGCTTATTCGTTGGGCGAAGCGAGTTTTATCTTACTTAGAAAGAACATTTTAATGTTTAATCCTAAGTGCAGAGATTAGCACTATAAAAAATTAAAATTTCTAAAAAACAAAGAGGTCCGAAATTGTTTGTATGCTGGAAAGGATATAACAATGTATGCACAGAGAGCATTGCTTCAAATGCTAAGAAAACAACGTAGATAAAAGGACGTTGAGATTTCCGTCGGTGTTGCAATCGGCAAACCGTTCAGTTTAGTGGCTAAAGCGTCGGGCCGCGAATGCCGAAGACGCGGGTTCGATTCTTACAGAGGCAAGCGACAATCTTTCGTACTTTCTCTGCAAATTTCAATTAGAAAGAACATTCTAGAACATTTTACTTGGAACCCCCCCCCCCCTCACCTGGCGGCCGCCTTGTGCATGGCCGTGACGGGCGGTATGTGTATATCGATGTCCCGGAAAGCGTAAACGTCCTCGGCCTTTATCTCGATGTCGTCGATGTCCACAGCCGGGGCGGGGGGCGGGGCGGCCGCCACGGACGTGCTCGCTACGGGAGGGAGAAAGAGTGAGAGAGAGGGTAGAGAGAGAGAGAGACAATCATTGAAATATATGTTTTAGCTGTTGCTCAATGCGTACATTCACCTACGTCTTTCACTGCAAACATGTCTTATGGCTTTCACTTTCAGGTCGTAAATTACTTTTGCGTCAATCGTTGAAAATATGTCTTATGCCTCCAACTTTAAGGTCCTTGGCTTTCGACTGTTGCTCGACAAGTACACTGACCAACGTCTTTCATTGAAAAATACGTCTTATTGCTGAAGCGTAAGGTCGTACCTTGAATACACTGACCAACGACGTGTCATTGAAAAATATGTCTTATTGCTGAAGCGTTAAGGTCGTACCTTCAGTCGACCAACGACGTGTATTGAAAAACATGTCTTATTGCTGAAGCGTAAGGTCGTACCTTGAATACACTGACCAACGACGTGTCATTGAAAAATATGTCTTATTACTGAAGCGTTAAGGTCGTAGCTTTAGTCGACCAACGACGTGTATTGAAAAACATGTCTTATTGCTGAAGCGTTAAGGTCTACTACCTTGAGTACATTGATCAAAGACGTGTCATTGAAAAACATGTCTTATTGCTGGTGCGTTAAGGTCTACTACCTTGAGTACATCGACCAGCGACGTGTCGTTGAAAAACATGTCTTATTACTGAAGCGTTAAGGTCTACTACCTTGAGTACATTGATCGAAGACGTGTCATTGAAAAATATGTCTTATTGCTGAAGCGTTAAGGTCGTACCTTCAGTCGACCAACGACGTGTATTGAAAAACATGTCTTATTACTGAAGCGTTAAGGTCTACTACCTTGAGTACATCGACCAGCGACGTGTCGTTGAAAAACATGTCTTATTGCTGGTGCGTTAAGTTCTACTACCTTGAGTACATCGACCAGCGACGTGTCGTTGAAAAATATGTCTTATTGCTGTTGCGTTAAGGTCGCGATTACCTTTCAGCTGCTGCTCGATCTGCACCAGCTGGCTCTTTATGTGCTCGATGGCGGCGTGCTTGCTCTCGTGGGGGCTGCCCCCGCCCTGCGGCTTCTCGAGCAGCATCGACAGGGTGGGCGCACCGGCCGACGGGGAAATGGTGTCTATTGCGGGGCAACAAGGCGCATTATCGTCGACGCGGCAGTCCTCCGTTTAGCTTAGCGGCAAGCGAATCCGGAAGACGTATACATCTTTATATATATATATATATATATATACACACATATATATGATTTGTATCCAATTATAATATTATTTTCATGTATATTATCTCTAATTAAAATCTGTATATTATCTCTAATTAAAATCTTATTATTCTTGCATCTTTTGCTGCACCTACCATTAAACTCTCACCACATCCTGGGTTGACTAAAGTCCGCCCTTTGTTACCTTGTTTTACTGAAGGTTGGCAATAAATATTAAATAAATAAATATAAATACTACTAAGACGTCAAGATTTTCGTGGGATGTCTATTGCCTCGTTCCTATATTCAACGAACAGCTGTTACTTAACTGTGGTAGAAAAACGCAGCGGCCTCGGCTGTTGCGCGAATGGGCAGGCCCGTCCGGGTAAGTACCACGACCTCACAGAAGACCGGCGTAAAGTGGAAGTATAATACTTTCGCGTTTCGTCTGGTGAGTGAGGTAGCCGGAGCACAATTTTCAAAAGGGTGTCAACGCATCTACAACCCTCGGGTGTAGCAGATGTCCATGGGCGGCGGTATGCACTTAACATCAGGTGAACCGCCTGCTCGCTTGGCAACTCATCAGATTAAAAAAATAAGCTTCGTAACTTTCATAACGACTTGTAGATACAAGGCGTGTACGACCGGTTCCTTTATTAACAAAACGAGGCGTTTTCATTATGAGCCGTTGCATTACCTACGGTTACTAGAGTTTCCTTAATCTACAATTCGTTACAAAAGTTACGAAGCTATGTAACTAACGGCCGTTCGTTAAATATAGGAACCGGGCATAAGTCATTTTTAAATTACTGTGCAGATTGGGACGTAAATACAGTATAGTAAGCGAAGACCCTTTCGCGGCATACTTTTTCACGATTATGTTGTTTTTCTTGTGCCTTAATTCATTTTTAGGGACCCAATGGGTAAAACGGCACCCTATTACTAAAACTCCGTTGTCTGTCTGTCTGTCACCAGTCTGTATCTCACGAACCGTGATAGTTAGACAGTTAAAATATTCACAGATAATGTATGACTGCTACCGCTATAACAACAAATACTAAAAAACAGAATGAAAAAAAAAAAATATGTTTATATTGTGGGTACCATCCAACAGACATGATTTTTTCAAAAAAAATGTAGATAAATATTGTTTTCACCTCAAAATATTCATCCAATTCAAAATATTCATCGATACTTTTCCCTCTACGGGTGGTAACTAACTACACTGTAATAAGATCCAATTTCGAATTAATTCGTATGACAATTATATATACTTCACCCACTCCACAACACACCACACTGCATAGTTGTAAAGTCGATTTTAGAATGCAGAAATTCAAATTAACGCAAGCTTTGTAGATATACAATAATATACCTTATGCAGCCACGATAAAAGTCAAATTATGATCGCAATTGTTAGAATATGGTCCAACGAAATGCAAATTTCCCACACTCACAGTGGATAAGTCGGATGACGTTAGTGTTGGTACCGACACTAATGGTGCACCTTAATGTATTGCGATTAGGTCGAATTTTGAACGCGACATACTTGGCGGCAATTTAATTCACCCACTACGTTGGAACATTGGATTCAAATCGAGCTTGAATGCAGCGACAAGTCGGATGACGTTAGCGTTGCTTCCGAGATATAATGCGCCTTACTGCATGGCGATGAAATCGAAATTTGAATGCACGGCGGCGATTCAAACTGATCCTCTACGTTAGAACATTGGATTCAAAGCGAGAGAATGTAGTGACAAATTGGATGACGTTAGTGTTGGTACCGATAATAACAATGCACCTTATTGCATGGCGATTAAGTCGAAATTTGAACGCTCGGCGGCGTTTCAAACTCATCCACTACGATGGAATATTGGATTCATATCGAGTTAAGGTAGTGACAAATAATTGGATGACGTTAGTGTTGGTACCATTATTAATAATGCAACCTTATTATATCGCGATTAAGTCGAATTTTGAACGCGACATATATGACGGCTTAATAATGCACCTTACTGCATGGGTACTAAGTCGAATTTTGAACGCGATATATTTGACGGGCTAATAATGCACCTTACTGCATGCAGCAATTAAGTCGAAATTTGAACGCACGGCGGCGATTCAAACTCACCCACTACGTTGGCGGGGTGCGAAATGTGCTGGGGCGTTGTGACAACGGGCGACGACTTCAGCAGCGAAGTGAGCAGTGGCGAAGAAGGCTGCAATGGGCTGCCTGGGCAGGCAACGGGAACTTTGGAAAAGGAAGACAAAAAGTAATAATAATAAATAAATATTGGTGAATGAAAGAATGAATGAATGAATGAATATATGTACTTTATTGCACACCAAAAATAAGACAAACAAAAATTAAAACTTAATGTACAAGTGATGGGTACAATGGTCGAAAATGAAAAACATTTTTATTACAGCAAAATATAAACACGGTTGTTATGACAAATAAAAATAAAACAAATCAAAGTATTTTGCTGACACGGGATCGAACCACTCGGTATAAATATGATTTTCATTAGTTTCACTAGGCAAGCCTGTATCGAGGAAATCTGTCGGCCTTCTTACTAAGAGTAATTTCTTCCAGGCAACCTTTGGATGGACTAAAAAGAAATTAATTTAGGAATAAATGTGTGGGTTAACATTGGTATAATACATATTGGACATAATATTGGTGTACTTATTTTTACACATTTCCTATTCTGGAGTCCCAAGCAGGTGCTACTCATAAATATATATATATATATATATATAAACACTAGAAAAACACTATGTTCATCACACAATATTTTTCTGGCAACGGGGATCGAATCCACCCCCTCTGGAGCAAGAGACAGGGTCAATTTGGAGACAATTGGGTCAATATACATTACAGACAGCTGCACATTATTAGTTACTAAACAATGACAATTACTGGGGCAGGGAGAATGGTTGCATGAAAGGGCTGGTAGGTCCTCACAGAAGACCGGCGTGAATTGGAAGTGTTACTTCTGCGTTTCATCTGGGGACTCAGGTAACCGGAACACACCTTATTAGTGTCCAGTTCCTATATTCAACAACCGGCCGTTAGTTACAAAGCTTCGTGAGCTTTCATAAAGACTTGTAGATTAAGGGAACGCTAGTAAGTCACTTTCTGCAGGTAATGCAGCGGCTCGTAAGGCAAAAGCCTCGTTTTGAAGTGGAACCTAGGAACCGGGCGTACACGCCTTTTATCTGCAAGTCGTTCTGAAAGTTACGAAGCTATATAACTAACGGCCGTTCGTTGAATATAGATACCGGTCATAAAAGGTGGCAATGATAACGCGTATGACAATGCAAAAGTTTTGTGTCGACCCCAACTATGTGAGCCAAGGTCACGGGTAAGTAGGAGACATTACCAGGAGAGCCCTGCTGCTGTGGGGGACGCCAGGTACGTTCGGCCCTAGCGCGTCTCTCCTCCCTCTCTTTCAGCCAGGCGGCCCGCCTAGCGCTCTCTCGCTCCCTCGCGCGCTTCGCCGCCTCTATGCCCGCCCACAGTTCCTGGACGCGCTCCTCGGCAGTGGACGGATTGCTGACTTCGGCTATCTCTTTCTATTGAAATCACAAGCAGAACATTGTATCATTAGGATGGTACACTACTCTCACCATTGGTAATTTTTTATCATACACTTTTAGGTTGTTGTCGAAAGAATTGAATATATCAGGTTGACAGAGTGAAAAAAATAAATTTAAATGGAACTACAACTAACGAGAGACCTTTTGACTTGACTTTGAGTAATTATTATGATTTGCAAATATTACTTACGGTACAAAGTATCATGAGAAATATTTCTTTATAAATTCTCTAACTATTTTCAGAGAATTACGGATTTGAGACATACCATATTGTACTTTTACACACAGTAACAGACTCACATACTAAATAGTAGTACAGAATTTGAATAATATTATATTAAGTACTACTCACCATAAAAAAATGTCTATTTTATTTCAAGTGCCCACAAGGCCATAGAGTAAAAAAATATTCTAAAATCATTGCCAAATGGGAACCATACCTGCAATTGCTCATACTGCTGAGTCATATCGGCAACACTCTTCTGGATCTCCGCAATCCTCTCCTGGGTAAGCCTTTTCAGGATGCTCTCCTGTGGAGTTTCCACTGCACCCTCCGAGCTCCTCTTTTTCCTTTTTGGTGTCTCCACATGCTCCAAAAGGGCTCCATACTGCGCAGCACAGCTGATCGAGAAATTATATTATAAAACAAAGTAATGTCAATTTACTAAATGATATTTTTACAGATTTATCACCTTTATTTCTAGTTCATTCTGATCATTAAGAAGATCATTCTGGTCAATTTAAAGAGTTTAACCATCCTTTTGGCAATTCAAATTAAATTTGAAAAGCCATTTGACAGCTGATTAGTTAAAATCTACAATGATCAGTGTTTCAGAAACTGGGTGTTAGTCAGACATATTTGTATTTCAATATTCTGTATGTATTTAGTTGGTAAGCCTTAATAAATAAATAAATAAATAATACAAAACTTCATTACTTCATTATCACAAAACATCTTAAAATAACATATAAAATTAATGTGTTAAATAAATGTTATTTAATTAACAATTTACAAGTCATATTTTTAAACAAATTTTCTGTATTACTAATATCTCCTCATCCAGTTCTTGTTACATCATCATCATCATTTCAGCCTGTTTGAGTCCACTGCTGAACATAGGCCTCCCCCATAGACTGCCATGAAGTACGATCCTGAGCCACCTGCATCCATCGACTTCCTGTACATTTGCACAGTGTTTGTGTAGGACGACCCTCCATCTAGTGGGGGTCGTCCTACACGGAGTTCTTGTTTAAATGCTATAAATCTAGATTAGGTTTTCAACCCATTGTCAACAAACATTGTATATAGACCACTGAAATGAAGAACACTATAAACATTACCTCTTCTGTGAATACCAATCCGGTGGTCTGTTCGGTTCACCGACGGTTTTGAAAGCGCGCGACACCGACATCCAATTCTGATCACCACTTCTAACCACTGCTGAAGCCAGGCACAACTGCTCCCTGATATTCCATGTGTCCAAGGGAACCCGTTTTAACTGCAGCCTCTCTTGCAGCGAACTCATTCTGGATTAGTGCCGACAGTTGCTTTTCTCTAAATTTAATTTTAATTGTTTTATTTTGAATTTTACGTGTTTATTTTGGCTTGCTAAAGTATTTGATTTGACAACAAGAAAGCAGTGTTACCAATTCGCGAAAATATTTGTCCCTAAAGCTGAAGTCAAAAACCCCTAAAACCCTTTAATAAAAAAATATTATAAAAAATTCAACATGTTTTAAAAATTCAACAAAATATTATTAAAAAATCTAATAGCGCTAAGATTTTTGTCGAATGGAATTCGAATTTTTCCTATCTTTTTTACTGGAATAATACAGTGACGTATATTGCAGCAAAATGTTGGCCTTATAAAAATGGTTAAAATTTTTTTTTTTATTGTTTACAATCTTTATTGATTATTTACGTACCTCCTTCGCTCGAGTCCAGTTCGGAAATGCGGTGACTTTTTGAACGAAATTGATTTCAATCTTAAATCAGCTCTAGAAAAAATTCTAAATTTATCTCTTAATGAATTAAGCTGGACTCAAGCTACGCTGCCAATTCGTTTTGGTTGTATCGGCGTAAGGAAAATTTCTAGTGTCGCTCTACCTGCCTTCCTTGCTTCCGTGCATAGCGTAAATAATTTATGTAATAACATCCTTAATCACGATTCAGAACTTTCCTATGCAGAGGAGGCAAGGATGTCTTGGCTGTCTATCTGCCCCAACGAAAATATCCCACTGGAAGTAAACCTACAAAAACAGTGGGATGTTCATTTGGTGCGGAGAATACAGAGAGATACGTTTTCAATCTTTAGAAAGTAATTTAGAGCGTGCTCGTTTCCTAGGCGTCTCATCTAAAAAATCGAGTTATTGGCTTCACGCTTTACCATCAAGTAACTTGGGCACATTGCTTGACGATGAAAGCTTACGCATTGCTGTGGGAATCCGTCTGGGGGCACCGATTTGTCAACCACACCAAAGCCCTTGTGGTGTCAGTGTAGACAAATTTGGTCTCCACGGGCTTTCTTGTCAAAAAAGTGCTGGCCGTTTTTCCCGCCACGCTTCCCTGAACGATATCATCCGTAGGGCTCTTGTTTCCATCAATGTTCCATCTATTTTAGAGCCCTGTGGCATTTTTCGCGACGATGGTAAGAGACCCGACGGTTTAACATTGATCTCTTGGGAGAGAGGCAAAGCCCTTGTTTGGGACGCCACTTGTGTAGACACTTTGGCTGCCTCTCATCTAAGGGGTACTTCGGTCAGGGCCGGGACTACATCGGAGGCAGCTGAAATAAGTAAATGGCGCAAATATGAGTCTTTATGTTTAGATTATGTATTTGTGCCATTTCCTGTTGAAACATTAGGTCCGTGGGGTCCCCGCACATCAAATTTTTTAAAAAGTTTATGTCCTAGGCTTAACGACGCGGCTGGTGACAAGAGAGCTGGTTCTTTTCTCGCGTTCTTGGCACCATGCCGCGTGGATTATGTTTATTGGATAATATGTAATTTTAGATAGATTTAATTTTGTAAATATTAGATCAATAAAAAAATTAAAGGGAATTTAATTTTATAAAAAATTGTCTCTTATGATTTCTAGACGACCAATATTTTTACCGTAATTCGAAAAATGAAATTCATAATAAGTGACAAAGTTTTTTAATTACTTTTGTGGGTTTTTTTTTAATATTTATTCTACCTTGTATCTTGTATTAACTGATGTTTTTGCTTTCAGTCCCGAGACTATTAAAGCTTCATCGGACGCAGAACCGGTGGGCTAGCCAGAACCCACGGGTTTGGACCCTCCGCTATGGGTAGGGTCGCGCATGTGCTCATGCGTGCGTTTAACTACTATGGTGTATCATCTTAGGGCCGTCGAGGTCGCCGGTTCGGACCGAGACCCCGACGGCCGTCGACTGTGCATTTAGCTAATCGGTGGCTGGGAGCGGTGAGAACCGCCCCGGAACGCGGGTGTACCTTGTGTACGCGTTGTGTGGGTCTCGCCGTGCTCGGAGGCGAGGGCGAACTGGTGTGATTCTTGTTACACTAACTGTGGGTGTAGTGTTATCCGGCAGGAACCCCGGCGGTGGGTCCATCGTATCTAAGTCCTCTTCGTCGACCGGGTCGATGAGGACGTTTCGCGGGCGACGCTTGTTTACGTTCGCGTTAGTGTCCGGTTGGTAGTTAGCTGCGCTTACCACCAGAGGGTTGGGATGATGCTGGACTCTATCGAAGAACCGTTTTGTCAAATCTTTAAAATGTGCGCGAATCGTCGGGAGTCTGCAATCGCTGTGCAGGTCGACGTTGCGCTGATACCACTGCGCACCGGTTGCACGGCGGATAAACTTATTTTGTACTATTTGCAACTTGTACAAGTGAGTAGGGTGCGTGTGGGCGAAGATCATACATGCGTAGGACATGATAGGTCGTACGCAGGTCTTATATAATAATAATTTGTGCCTTAAGGGCATTTTACTTTTAGCATTAGTTAAATTGTGTAGCCGGCCGGAGACGAACGCGGCTCTATTACGAACGTTATTAATGTGCGTAGTAAATGACATTATTTATTCTACGCAAACGCTATTGAATGCGTTTTGACAGACACTTTTTGTCCGACTCTCCGTAGTTCAACTCCGCATTCTTAATAATGAAAAACCTAACTAGATGTCGCTAAGTCGCTAGGCCAACTAATAAATATTATTGCTTTCCTCCACGCCCTTTATTTTTTTACCTCGATATGTCTTAATAAAAAACAGCAACAAGACGTAGGAAAAGTATAAAAAGTAAAAAAATCCCTGAAAATATAAGGCCCCTAAAAAAAAAAATCCCAACGCGTTTGTTTACCCACTAAATTTGGGGGGAAAATATTTAGTCTGAAACCCTGCAAGGAAGATTTTCTCAAGTGTCAAATAAATGATGCAGTGTTGTCAACTAGTAAAAAAAATGCCCTAAAATCAAGATGAAATACCCTTAAAAGTATCGGCCTATATATGTATTGACCCAATGGCCAAAAGTCAAGGCCAAATTGTTCTCAATGAAGCTTGGTGTGCTCAGGAGGGCGAGATAGTACTTCAGGTTGGTTCAACGCCGAAGCCTCTATAAGACGCAATTTCGACCCTACACGGAATACTGCTCTTATCTCAGGACGGAAGCCGCCCATTACCAGCTTCTCCCATTTGACCGCATTCAACTTAGGGCAGCTCGGGTTATCGACGATCAGGATTTTTCCGATCGGCTTGATTCTTCGGCTGTTGGTGCATCTTCTACCGCATATATCACATGGAATTGCTTGGATTTATCCCGGTGGCTGAATTTCACCATCAAACATCGTGCCTTGATTTTAGCAAATTTTATCTACACCACCTCGAAGTCCAGCGAATAACAACAGCGAGATTTTCCAGGTATTTCCTGCCTCGCACAACCACTCTGTGGAACGAGCTGCCACCGGCGATTTTTCCGAACTGTTACGGCCATCTTTCAATAAGAGAGTATATTCTTTACTAAAAGGCCGGCAACGTATTTGTAAGCCCCCTGGTAGTACAGATGTCATGGGCGGTGGCGGGCGGTGATCACTTACCACCAAGTGAGCCTCCAGCTCGTTTGTCCCTATTTTCCATAAAAAATAATGTACCAGCGCATAGTCCATAACGCGGCCCCGCTGTGGATTGCCGGACTTTACATAGCTTCGAAACATGTTATTTGTTATTAATTCAAAAATATCCAGGTTTCGCACCTTCACGATGTTTTCCTTCAGCACTGAGCACATAATAATGAAAGCCCTTAAAATTAATAATTTCAGTTTTGCTGGCATCGGGTTCGAACTCAGGTTGCTCGATACGCTTTTACTCAAAAAGGCATAAGTGCCCATAACTCACTGTTATTAAGTCTAAACATTTTGAATTTTTTACCCACAGTCCTCTAGACACTTAAATAAACATAAATTAAAATAAAAAAACACTAACCATAAACTAAAATTCTGATAAACAAAATAAATAACTAAAATAAAATCCGAATGTATTTAATTAAAAATTAACAAATTCACAAATAAAACACTAAACATGAAGTAAGTTCTGTTAATATTTAGATTTACGCAAAGCCGCAAAATATTCTCTGACCTTCAACCGCGCAACCACGGCATGGAATCTTAAAGAAAAATTACACCGTATTGAGACCATAAACAAACGGTAGTATTATAGAATATGACATTTCTTTTTTTTTTTTACCTATTGTACTAAGGCTACTCGAACAATATTAAGACGATGATAAATAAAAAGATACTTATTATGACTTATTAATGTTCATTCGGAGAATGTTAATTGTGAAGAAACTTCAGGAGAAATAATATTAAAATTTAAAAAAACTTTTTAAACCTAAACCAAAGTAAAAATTCGTCTCGGAAAGATTCCGAAAATATTCAATCGGCTAAACAGAATAGCTTATCGTACACTCTCGTGCATTCAATGCGGGATGAGTTGCGAAAAAATGTTTGAGTAAATTCAGCTGTCTGAAATGTAAAAACTTTTTGTCCCAAAATAATGTATCCACAAATGGATTTCTCTCAGAGAATATAAAGAACTTAAAAATAAACAAAAACTAACCTATCCCTCAGAATTTACTGTTACGCTTTTTTCTTATATTGTCAAAGAGACAAACGAATATTTAGAATTGAACATAAATGCGAACGAAATTTCAAAAGAAGTACTAATAAAATAAAATTTAAATATTCATTTGATTTCTTATCATCTGAACATTACAAAGAGACTTTGCTTCGTTATTTTGTTTCCATCACAATCAAATTATCTGAGATTAACTAGTGTAGTATCAAAAATAAAATTTTAAAAGTAATTGATTTAATGCGCCTCAACGATCGTTTACCGCCTATGCAAAGCACTTGAAAAATATAGAAAATAGTTAAAAAAGAAAAGATTGAATAAATAGTATAAACGCAGTTTTATTTTGTTTATCAGTTTTATTTTAAAATCCTAATGACAATCATCATTATTTTTATTTGGGACGCAACTTGTGTAGACACTTTGGCTGCCTCTCATTTAAGGGGTACTTCGGTCAGGGCCAGGGCGGCATCGGAGGCAGCTGAAGTAAGTAAGCGGCGCAAATATGAGTCTTTATGTTTAGATATGTATTTGTGCCATTTGCTGTTGAAACTTTAGGTCCGTGGGGTCTCCGCACATCAAAATTTTTTAAAAGTTTATGTCCTAGGCCTCTATATGCTATATATTAAAAAAAGCGGCCTTCTATATATTAAAAAAAATCATAAAAAATTGACCAGTGCAACATTGATTTTTAACAAATATTACGGATTAAAGTAAAGTTTCACGTTACTTTAATCTTATTTGTAATATTAATATACATAATTTTTAAAACGCCAATCAGCGTCTAGTGACGTCATCCCTGTTTTGACAGCTTATAAAGGTTAATAAAGTTAATTGGAAAGGTAAACATTGTTTTTTTGCGAAATTTAACTGTATTTTTGAATAAAAATGGACATTGGGATTATAAAAGCAGACTCCAGGAATTTACCGGAAGTTAGTGTTGACATGGTTATAATTTTTTTGTTGAAAGTGCAGAGGTTTCAAGTGTAGAAATGAAAGGGATTAAAATGTTACGGTATGTATAAATCACAGTGAGACTTTGTATTTCATTCAGCAGCTTCTACATTCAGCAGTTATTTCAGGGCAACAAGGAAATTTTGTGGCGACAGCGCTATCGGTTATATCAAAATCAAAAGATATGGAGAATCATGTACGGTAAAAACTCGAGTTACTCCGGAGCATGAAGTACTTTGTGGTTATCGTGTGACAATAGACAATAGGTTATAAATGAAATGCAAAGCTTGGTTCAGTCCTGCCAATGCGAAAATTGTGCAGCCCCTGAAGGTGGAGAATTGAGGTTTTTATAAAATACAATAGTTAGTGTATTATAGCACCGATTATGATTAAAATATCTTTCCAGGTGGGTGTAAACATGCTGCCTTATTGCTATGGTTGAATAGAACATCTGAGGAGCCTTCGACTATGTCCATCACATGTTATTGGAAGTAATAAAAATTATCTATATGGGCTTCTGGAAAATCTTTTTAAAAAGCTAAAGAAATGGGCCAGATTCCAGTCACTGACAGTTTCTGTCAAATATCAGTTTTACATACTTTTTTATTTAGAGAAATAAATAAATGTATGTTATATACTAATACAATAACTGTATGGTTTTAGGTGGATATTTTAAATGTGGTTAAAACAAAACATTGTCAAGAAAATATTATACCTAATATTTTTAGGATAGCAACAAAATGTAAACATACATAAACTTTGTTCAGGCTTGGTTGTAAGTTTGTACAATCGTTTCTTGGAAGATAAACAAAATGACATCTGATCATATTAACATGGAGTTTTTCCTATGGTTTAAGGTAATATAGAATGTAATATAGTTTTATTTATATACTCAATTTATGTATTTACAAAAACAAATTTTCATGCATAGATAATAATAAATATATATAATAAGATATACATAAACTAATATGTAAAAAGTATAACGGTGGTAGGGCCACGCAGCAGCCTCGGCTGTTGCACGAATGGGTAGGCTTGTACGGGTAAGTACCACAACCTCACAGAAGACCGGCGTAAAGTGGAAGTATAATATTTTCGCGTTTTGTCTGGTGAGTGTGGTGGCCGGAGCCACAATTTTCAAATGTAAACGCATCAGGAACCCTCATGGGCGGCGGTATTCACAACATCAGGTGAACCGTCTGATTTAAAAGAAAAAAAGAAATACATTTTCTATTTTTACAGGTATGGAAGGATCATTGGCTCTATATGAAGTTGCTCACTGCAAAAGTAAAATTGGTTTTCTTCTGATTAAAATTATGGAGGTACCATGAAAGTTTACTTCCATTGCAATAGCTAGAGGGACAAAACTTGAAAAATTTTGGGCACAAGATGCTTAAAATGTTATTCAGCAGAAGAAAACATTGCAATTTTCTGTGTAGTTAGACTAAATGTGTATTATGTGCCATTTGATTGCAGCATCATATCTGTTTTGGATGCTGCAATGAAGTTCTGTGTAGATGCTGTATTCCCAAAATTAAACGATTTATAATAACATTTAACCATACTTTTAAATTTTCTTAAACATTTTTGATAAACATTTAAAATAAAACCCTGTTTATTTAACACAGTTTTTTTATTCTATTTTAATTTGATTAAGGCTAAGGCTGATTGTAAATTGACAAGCGCAACAAATGATCATAGCATAGTCTACATTGGGTATTAAATAAATGATCAACACAGGCGTGTGGCTTTGGAAAATCAAACACACGCAGTCTTCTGATCTCTCTTTCAATGTGAAAAAAGGTTTGCAATTTGTTTCGACCTTAAAACATCCTTCTTCGCACTTTAACTATTTTGGAAATTCGTTGAAGCCGATGAACACATATGGTATTGTTATGATTACCTGATGTTGATTCATTGTATTATTTGTTGTTAATTTTATTTATTTATTGTACTTTGAGGTATTTATTTAAAAGAATAATAATAAATTTCTAAAAAGTCAAAACTTATGCCATGAAAGAGAGACAAATTATATTATATGGCAAGTTGGTAAGGCAAGTGACAGTCAGGAGATCGCAATTGTAGATGCGTTGTCGCGCGAAAATTTAAACCATCAATTTGAAATTGCATTTCTTTACAATAAATTACAGTATTTTAATTTTTTCTAATATACTTAGGTCTATTCTACATGAAATCCATTATAAAACCAGAAATGAAAATATTGCATCTTCTTCCTCCTATTTGGCCTCTTAGACGGTTTGCTTTTGCCTAAAAAAAGTTATGAAAATAAAAAAATAACACATGTCAAATTCTAAGTTACCGTGCTCTCTAAGTTCATTCGTTGTATGAAGATTCCCGTATGATGCATATCATCTTAGTAGTCCGTGCGCGCAACTATATAAAAAAAGCGAACTATAAGTTCATAAATAATAAATTTTTAGATTAATAATTTGTAGATAAAACATTTTTTTTTAATTTAGAGTGTATTTAAATTAACAAACGTTCAAAAAATAAATGCCATGCAAAATATAATATTTATAGATATATTTTTATGGTAATACTGTTTTGGGGATTTTTGTCACTTGACTTGTGTGAAACTGTAAAATATGACAAGTGCTAAGTTGGTGATATTGATATCTGTCATTAAAGATAAAGAAAAGAGTACTTTTAATTTTGAATAGTGACCTTGTACTATTTTTTGTTACTGTAAACTGTATATTATAACAATTTATCTATATCCAATTCATTTTTCATTCACTGTTTTGATAGGGCCGCAAAAGTAATTCACGAATACAATGATTACAATATTGAAAACAATATTGTACAATAAGCTTAAAAACGCTTATTGTATTAAATTTTAAAATATTATTATGCTTATACTGGAGTTGGTAAGTGTATTTTTTATTGGGATTTATCAAAACTAGTCTTTGTTACGTTCCACAATTTGAATATGTATAGATTTTTTAAGAATGAAAGCAGTTTTTCTAATTTTTTTTTCACCGGGAGTTTCAATCCGACCACGTATTATGAATTATGACCGAGAACCTTTGAAATATAAATAATTTATATCCCAGATATGTTACGAGTATAACAGTTTACCTTAAGATTTTCCTGCTGAAATACTCTTGAAACTTTTGTAAATGTTTTACAGATACCATCATCTTAAGTTAACATTATGGAGTTTTGTGACAACAACATAAAATATATAATACCGTTTGACTCTGTTGACTTGTCATTGTTACCATCCTTGAATGTTTATCCAAAATCTCAAAATGATATTATGCCTATATGGAGTATGAATAACTTGCAGCTGCGGAATGAAGATTGCTTTTATGAATTTGAAATAATTCAAAGAGACAATACTACAGATTGTGACTCATATAGCAGTTCTACAGGTATTTGTGATTGCTAGAATTTTACTCTGGATTGCCTTAGCAGCAGCTTTAGTTATTGCAAATATGGGCAGGTTTATTGCCAAATGTATACAAAACTTTCAATAATAATAAAAAAAATTGAATTGTTTAGAAAATCGAAATTCCCTATTATTATTTATTTATTGATAGCCTTGAATCTCAACCTACAATCTTTCTAAATATGAATAAATATGCTAATTAATATAATTATAATAATAGTTTATGTGATACTTCTGGAGTGCAATACTGTCACACTACAAAAGTTCACTCAGATCAGTTTTCCTCAATATGACAAAAGAAATATAAATTTGAGAGTTCATACAACATTTTTTCGTGTTGCCTTTTTGGCAGGCTTTTTTTTATAATGAATACTTAAATATGATCTTCATAAATATATGTATTCAAAGGTGTACATACAATTTCTGATTGGATTCATACTTGCAGGAATTCTTTTAAATTTTTATTCATGCCAAAAATACACTAGTTTGAATACACAGATATAATGATCTTAATTCAGCCTTACTTTACTAAGGTTAAGCCTTTTTGAACAATGATATTAACTAATCCATTCATCAAGAGTTATATTTTTTATTTGATTTTAAAGTTGTTAGTAATATGTGTAATTAACATAATAAATACACCAATTTAAAGATTCATCTATCACTTTTCAGGTGATTCAACACAACCGGAAGTAAATATGGACCCCGCAAGAGACATGTGTTACATTTGCAACATTGAAGTCCCAGTTGTCTGCATGAGCGAACACCTATCAAGTTCCAAACACAAAACATTCTTGAAAATAGCCGAGATATCCTTGGAGAGAGTTAAGAAGCAAATGTTTGTTAGCTATAAAGCGGAAAGTCCACCTGCTGGCTTCATATTCTGCCATAGCTGTGTCCACTTAGTACACCAGAGGGACATGTCGCAACATTTGAATTGTAAGGCCCACAAGAATGCAGAATTTATCGATAAACTTCTGTCGGACCTGCTCAAAGTATATTCGGACGAATCAGATGGAGCTGATGAGGCCGAATCGGCGAATGCGTCATCCGTGCAGACGTCAGCGAATAGCTTCGAAAGTTTTAACTGTGATGATTCGAGAGTAATTGAAAACGCCAACACGTCCGCTAATATAAAGGATACTGTCGACAACACTAAAAAGAAAGTTGAAAACGGTGAAATTAGTACCTGTACCTGTAATTCTAAAGTTGTTACTAAAACTGCTTCTGAGACTGGTAAATCGAATACGAAGAATGGTAAAATTGCGGATAATTCCAGCGGAGGGGAAGGCAATACCGAAATAGAAGGTATCTACAACTTTGATATAAACAATGGCAAAAAAATGGCGATGAAATGTTTGCCTGTTAGGCAAGATTTCAACAAGAAGTTAATCAACAGCTTCGATACCGATTTGGCGGATTACATGCGTGAGCTCAACACAAAAGACTGTAACAATTTGGAAGTCGTAGACGATTGTGATATAGTGGTCAAAACTAAACTTGGTCTGCGTATGAGAGTCAAGTTGGAGAACTTCCACGGCCTGTTTGCTTTGGGCAAGCGCCACATGCTGTGCAGCCTGTGTAAGAAGATCGATAGGGATCTGAAGAGGCACATCCACTCTCAGGCTCATTTGGACAATCTAAGGCTACCGATAGACGAGAATTGCATTAGAAAGGTGAGCGAAGACACATTTTCAGACGGTTTGTTTGCACTGCGTTTTGTTTAACTTTCGTTTACATTACTCATAACAACTGCCTATCTCTCACATTTCCTCTTCTCATGTTTCGACCGACAATAGTAATTTTAAAATTTATTCATATTGTCTCATGTGATTAACTTCTGAATTTAATTGCAATAAAATTAAGTAAATGCTACTCGATTTATACGTTTCAGATATTGATTATTCATTACATACTTTACCTACAGTAGTTAGTACAACGTACAATAAATAATATAGTCTGTGACACAGTGAAACAACTTAAGTATGGGCCTCAAAACTACTACCAACCAGTAGTTTTAGTCTGTTAAAGTAAAAACTTAGAGAGTAGATCTCAACTAAGTTAGAACTTTTCCTTGAAAAGTATGGACTATATATTTATCAAAGCCCTATATTCATTATTTATACTGCAAATTGAATTACATCATCACATCCGTTTCCTTCACATTTAACATTACTTTCCAGTTGGACGATGAAAAGGGCCATTGCATCCTGTGCAACGACGTCATCGAGAATCCCGACGTGCACGCGTTGTGCAGTAGAGGGCACGAGGCGCTGCTAAAGCGCTCGCTGTTGACCGATGAAGTGGAACCAATCGCGGAAGAAATCACCACCAGTCAAGCAGAAGCTACTGATCGAAGGGAGCCGTTCAGACCAGACCCAGCACATCCCAAAAGCGAGAGAAGTAATGAAGAAGGGCAAGTACAAACGGCGAGCGAACCCAGCGCCCGTGCCGAAAGCGAGACCACCGAGCAGCTCCTATGCAACGTCTGCTACGTGAGTATCGAAGACCTGCTATCGCACGTGCAGACGCCCGAACACGAATCGAACCTGGCGCTAGCCTCGCACCACCTGCTCGAGTATTCGCACGCGCACAGAACGCTCAAGTGCAAGGTGTGCCAGACCGGGTTCCCGGTTGGCCACATGCGCGAGCACGTCTCCTCGCCGTTCCACCAGAACAGCTACAAGAAGCTGCTCGTCACGAACAAGATGACGCGCAGCAGGCGGAGCTTGTTCTGCAGCGTCTGCGTCGCGTACATGCCGATAGGCGAAGAGCTGTTCCACATGTCTTCGGCCAAGCACGCCTCTCTGTCGGCGGCATGCCGCGAGACGGCCACTGTCCCAGCGAAGCCGACGAACGAGCCGCACTTCTGCAAAATCTGCTCCGTCCACGTGCCGGGGGACGCGAAAAACTTGAAAACGCACAACGACGGCGCCCGCCACAAGCGCAATCTCGAACTAGCGGACGCCACCGCCAAGGACGGCGGGAGAGTGGAGCCGACAGACGGAGCACCTCCTCGACTACAGCATCCGCACTTGATGCGGCCGACCGCAAAACCGACGCAGGTCGAGTGCAGTGTTTGCGCGACAGTGCTACCCAACACGTCGGCCCACATCGAGTCGCACATAAATCTGTACGCGCATAAAAACAACGAGTCCACGCTGAGGACGAACACTCTGAAGCTGTACCGGAACCTGTTCTGGTGCGGGCGATGCGACGGCCACGTGCCGGTCGGCTGCCAGTTCCAGCACATCGAGAGCCCCCAGCACACCGATAATACGATCAAGTGGATCGTCGAAGAGTGGGTTAGTGAGGCGAAAGGTGCCTCGACGACATCCGAGCCCGAAGAGCGGCCGGGCCCGTTGGAAATGAACGCGCTGAAGCCAACTGACAGTGCGGGCGTGTTGGGATGCCAGGTGTGCGGTGTCGTTGTACCGAACAGCATGTCCACTTTGCGGATGCACTTCGCCGGTAGGAAGCACCGCTCTATGCTGGAGCAACTGCTCGCGAAGAACGCCTTAAAAGAAGCGAACGACATGTTCGATTGCTCGGCGTGCCGCCAGCGAGTGCCGAAAGAGATACTTTTCGACCACGTCGAGAGGCCGAGCCATGTCGCCAGTGTCGGCGTCCTCGCGGAAACGGCCGACGGTGAAAAGTCCGCCCAGAACGTCCAAAAAGGCGACGCCAAAGAGAAATCGGATAAGAAGGGCGAGGGGGGTGACAACAAAGCCGAGAGCGTTCCGAAGGACCAAGTCGCGAAAAAGGAATCCGGCCAAAAGGACCAAGAGTTCTCGTGCGTCGTATGCGATGTTCAACTCACCGCGAGCGAAGCGAACGTGGTCGTCCACAACGATGGCGTACGCCACAAAACCAACTTGGTGGCGATGGTTCAGAATAGGGTCCGCGCGGTGGACGGGGGGTGCTATTGCGAGGCGTGCGATAAGAGATTCGGTCGCGCACATCTCAATGAGCACTTGGCTGACCCCCAACATCTACTAAACATGGGCAAGTCGCAGTTCTAACAGGCACTTGCAAATTTGAAAACGTCCGAGTGTTTAGGAGGAAAGTCGCTGCAAGGTCGGAGCCTTCTTTGTTTGACTGAAGGCTAATTTAGAACGCCCTAAGTCAAAAAAAGTCGAATGGTTTTGATAAGTCTCGTTTTTCGAATTGGCACTTGCTGGAACGCGCCAATGACAAATTTGATCAATACCACCAGTTGATAACGTTGTCACATTCCATAAAGACGTATTGCATCTAAGTACATATTGATTATTGAATAGCCTCCATCTTTGCGACAACTTTATGAGTCGAAGTAAATCTTGTTGCAAACATTATTTAACGAGAAAGAATTTAGTAATAAATCGCGTTTAACGCGAAAAATAAATTTTCGATATCATTTAACTAAGTTGTCGCTGTAGTCGACGACACTAAAAGTATTTTTTTAATGCCACCGAACTTCGTGTATTACAATAAGACTTTATATTCACGTCAACTTTTATAGGGCTGTCGGTTACGGGTAACATTTATATTTTCCTTACTACTCAGTCTATGATCCTCCTTAACTCTTCTTTTCCTCTCTAACTCTTCTTCCTGCATCTTTCCTAATTGATCCATTGACTTATTGTAAAGACTGAAGCGTTCCTTCTTTGATTAATATTCTCTTTTTTCTTTCTGTTTTTCTTAACGTGTCATTTAAAAGGGTAACGTGACGTATATCATTAAAAAGGGTAAAATGTCTTAACTTTTCATTAAAAAGGTAAATTAATGTGTAGCATTTATATTTTGCTGTGATTCAAGTAAGATTTTTATTTCCATTGTTATTCGAATTACGTATTACTTTAAGTTTATTATTTTTGTTCGAGATTATTATTTTATTATTTGCCTACTGGAAACACACAGCGTTAATGTGAAGAAGCTGCTTGCGAATCTGCCTTCCTAGAGCATATTTCAATAAAACATACCTGTGTTATCTGTGGTTTCCATGACTGTTACCTCCTTGATGCCAGCAGGGGGCGCTGACGCCTATACTGCGGCGGCAACCGACAGCTTGTCTCATAGCGTTTGTGAATTTTGCCGCGAAAAGAGCAAAATATATAATACTTTAATACTTAGTGTTTAAAATAATTTAAGTCTTGGTAATAATAGGCCAACTCTTCTGTTAATAATTACGTCGTTATTTAATAACGTATGGTATATGCGTGTCAGTAGTTTACGAAATATTAGTATAATATTTGGATATGGATCCTAAAGACGATTCTGAGGTGCCTGTCGCTGCTCCGGAGGGAGAGCGGAGCGCCTTGAGCTCAAGCTCATCGCAGGGTAGTGCTTCCTCATCTTCGGGAGATGAGGAGGGCATTGCTTCACCGCCACCGAACAAGCGGTCAAAATGCAGCAGGTCGAAGCAAGTCGTGACGTGTTCGGACCCGCGCATGGACACGCTCATACATCAAGTAAGTTTTTTAACTGATTATATGTCACAGATGCCGCAGTTACTTAGTGAATTAAATTCTAATAATAATCTAAATATACCATATAATAATCTAAATAGTACCATGCCATCTACTTCCAATGATAACTTTTTACAAAGACCAGATTCACCGTACACAAATAAACATTTATCCTTAGGTGAAGTTAAATTAAATATTGATGAAAATAGATTAGTATCAATAGCCAATCCTGAAAGGCTAGCTGAAATTAATACCTTGCAACAATTTAATTCTCCTGCATGGCATAATATTCGTTACAAAAAAGCCTTGCAAACTTGTATTGCTTCGCCAGGTTTTGTTAGTTTAAAGGTAAATGATGAGTTATGCCATTACAATAAGGGAAAAGATTATCTTCAAGGAACAGAGCAAGTTCTAGCGGCCTTATCAAACCAAGTTCTAGAAGATAGGCAACTTTTAAAGTTGGGCCTACAAGAGTTGGTAGATTGGGCCTCTAGTAATAAGACTGAATTGAATGCTAATAAATTATATGAAAAGATGTTAGTTGTTTTTGGTCCTGGTTCTGCCTCATACAAAAATAAGGAAACAACTCTGCAACTCATATGTGGCAAGAGAGCAGAGTGTATAGAAAATAGGCGTGAACGTATATTAAAGGAAGTAGGGAATGTCAACCTTAAACAGGCTTTAAGAAATATACCTCCTAGTGCAGAGCATTTGTTTAGCCGACAAGGACTAATACCATTAGTTGAGTCATTAGGGGGTACACATGTGTGGCTCAATACACCAGACTACATGAAGGAAAGACGGGGGTTTACTAATAACTATAACAGCAGGCCTAATAATGTTAAAAAGGGTACATCCCAACAAAGTTCATAAAAACCATATAAAAGATAGGCGTGACCCAAATAGAAGGAACAAATATAATCATAAAAAAGGAAAGCCCTTTCGTAACTCAGAATTTCAATCCCATGGTCCATCAGCAAATGGAAATCAAAAGTGACAATCAACAGGTATTCAAAGGCGGTTGCTTGAAGGATTATGTTCACATATGGGAACAAATGGGTGCCAGCCAATTCATAATAAAAGTTATATCAGAAGGCCGTATTCCATTCAAATCCAAGCCCCCTTTGCAATACCCATACAAAAATTTTCTGAAAAAATTTTCTACAAAAACATCACATCAAATGACACAGGTAGTACTAGATTTAAAAGAAAAGGGCATATTGGAAAAACCAGCGGGGATGAGTCCAGGTTTTTATTCTCAGATGTTTTTAATAAAAAAAAACCAGATGGGGGTATTCGCCCCATTTTCAATTTGAAAAGTCTCAATTTACATGTGGCAACAAACCACTTTCAATTAATCTCTCAAATGGATGTAATTCAATTCTTACAAATCAAAGATTGGATGATCAAAATAGACCTTCAACAAGCTTATTTCCATTTGTCCATCAGAAAGTCCCACAGGCGTTTTTTGCGGATAATATATGGAAAAGAAATTTTACAGCTTACAGCACTTCCTTTTGGCCTTTCGTCAGCGCCTCACGTGTTTGCCTCGGTTACCAATTGGATTGCGGAAATCCTAAGGAGACAAGGCATAAGAGTGCTAGTTTATCTAGACGACTTTTTAATAGCCAACCAGTGCAAGTCTGCCTTGGTAAACCAGACAGTAACGGTTATAAACACATTAAAAACAATGGGATGGCACATAAATTTGAAAAAATCCATTCTAAACCCGACTCAGGAACTAGAATACTTAGGAATAAGCTGGAACACAAGTACAAATATGATGTCATTACCTTTAATCAAAATTGCAAAAATAAAATTGATTATATCTCTCCTATTAACAACAAAAACAGTTTGTCTCCGAGATGCACAGAAACTACTAGGCTCACTGAATTTTGCAAACATCACAACTCTCAATGGTCGCCTGCATTGTCGCAGGATTCAGATATTTCTGAGATCCTTTGGAAGGGTCCGGCCAAGGGAAAAACTACCTTTACCACACCTGGTAATTCAGGAATTGCATTGGTGGCTGAATCATATCGACAACAGCACCAAGACAATGCACAAAAAGAAAGTAGCCCACTTTTTAACCACAGACGCAGCGGATGCGGGCTGGGGAGCACAATTGGACAACATTGTCATGTCCGGAAAGTGGAATCAGAGGCAAAAGAAATGGCACTCAAACATAAAGGAAATGTATGCAGTATATGCAGCTTTGAAACGACAAAGTGCATATGTGAGGGATACCCACATACTAGTCCAGTCCGACAACAGGACTCTGATTGCGTATATCAGGAACGAAGGGGGCACCCGCTCCAGGGCCCTTCTGGGATTGACAAGCCAACTCCTTCTCTTAGCCGATCAGCTCAATGTGACGCTGTCGGCAGGCTACCTCCCGGGGAGGTTAAACGGTATAGCAGACTGCCTCTCAAGGGGAAGACAAGTACCCGAATGGCACCTATTGGTTCCAGCCAGACTTCCCATTTTCGAAACATGGGGCGTGCCCGATATCGACCTGTTCGCATCCCAAGAAACAGCAGTTGTTCCACAGTATGCCACATGGAACTCAAAAGATGGCTCAGCCAGTTTTTGCGACGCATTCAGCCGAGAATGGGATTTTCAGCTAGGATGGGTATTTCCTCCTCCCAACCTCATGCCTCGCGTTCTATCTCATCTGAACAGCGCATCAGGAACATACATAATAATAGCCCCACATTGGGAACAATGCTTTTGGCTGAGCGATCTAGAGTCGAGAGCCCTAACAAGACCCATTCCAATAAAGAATCTCCGAAGGAATCTGGTGGATCAATCAACAGGGAGACCCCCTCCACAAGTGGACAAACTGTCACTCCATGCTTGGAAGATTGGGGGTGGTCTGATAAGGTCTGCAGTTGGAGTGAAGGAAGAAATAAATTTACTAAATAGTAGTTGGCGGACATCTACTCTCAATACTTATAGAGCACCAATAAAAAGATGGATTAATTGGTGTGGCATGAATAATCTGGATCACAGGAACCCAGATCCCATGGATGTGGCTAGATTCTTAGCACATCTTTATTTAAAATATGACTATGCATATAGTACAATTTTGTTGCATAAGTCTGCAATATCCACATATTGTGCAAATAACTTAGAAAATATATCTAAAAACTTTTTTATTCATCATATTCTTAAAGCTATTGCAACATCCAAACCTCAATCTGTTAAAAGTCCTATATGGGATACAAAGATATTATTTGATTGGTTAAATACAGTTCCTTGCACTAATTCAATGTTTGACATTTCCAGAAGGACTGCAATAATCTTACTTTTAGCATCTGGACGACGCTTACATGATCTCACCCTCTTAGATATTTCAGAGAACAACATGATAACAGAATGTGGGAAAATAACCCTGTGGCCAAAGTTTGGTTCTAAAACAGATTCCACTACTCATAGGCAATCAGGGTGGGCATTATTGAAACACCCAAATAGTAATATATGTCCTATAAGGCACATTCAACTGCTTACTGATGTCACCCAAGAAAGGCGTTTGCAGTGCAATGTAACCAGCTTATTTATTACCTTAAAGG